CATTGGCCTAGAAGCTGGAATATCCTTGTTGCTGGCAGAGGCTTTCCATTCAGGGACTCGGGAAAGTTGGATGGTGGGTAATCGATTTCGACATGTTGGAAGAGGCATCTAGCAACATTGGGCCGTATACTATTTGAGACATTGAATAATTCCCATAAATCGCAGTCTCCTAGCTATGGATCATCAGCATCTAATGGATCCTGTTGATGCAGATAGCTCACATGCTGAAATATTAATTGTAATAACTCAGGAGGCAAATCCAAGAGCATGCTGGAAAAACTCGTCCTGGTCAGTGACAATATATAAGCCAGTTGGGGTGGAATTTGAGAATGGTTTGCTTTTTTTTTTTTTAAAAAAAAAAAAAAAAAAAAAAAAAAAAAAAAAGTTCCGCTGCTAGCTCGAAGTATCCTGAAACTTCCAATATGGGTTGATCCCTTTTTATGTCCATATGGTCAGATTCAGGTATAGTTGCCCGCAATTCGATTACAGTGAACGGGCAAGAATATGTCATCCCGATAAAATGACCGCCCTGCCCGTTCCGTCAGTAGAGTCGGGTTTGTTCCTTAAAGGGGACTTTGATGTGTCAGTCGTTCAAGGCATCTGGTTCTCATGCTACACAGTAATTGCTTATCTCAAGCAGGTCTGTCCTAAAATGAGAAATGTTCTTTATTAGCAGATACTGAGCGGTGGCAGAGCAGCTGGCAACTGTGCGCAGCCGCCAATGGACGCGTGCACTCTTTGTTTCGTTGGCCTGCTAAAAGCCGATTTTCTCCTGTTATTGCGGCTACATAGTCTGATTTGACAAGAACGCGGGAAGACGGTTCGACGCATTTTCTATGGTGGTATTGCTTTTAGTGACATGGCGGGCCTGAATAACGTCGGTTTCACTTTATTCAAACACTGGCTGGATGGTAGTCTACTGCACAGTACGAGCATGGGAATTTAAACAAATAGGGAAAAAGGGGCCTATAGCATCGACAACTTCCTAATGTACGGTATGTACAGTAAACTAGGAGTCAAGGCAGGTCTTGGCTTCTTCATACATCAGATGATGAACGAGTACTAGTCCCCAGCACCACGAAGAGGTGTCTTGCCTTCGCTGGGGGTCTTAGAGGGCTGCTCTAAGAGGGCGTGGGCTGACCATACAACACGGGGCCCATGGCCTGAAGTGAAGCTCGCCTCCAAGGGCCGACACAGCTCGCCTCCAAGGGCCGTGCTGGTAAGAAACCTGGTCCTACCTCCTCAACACCGGGACACGACCGGCCTTATATAGCCTGTCTCTCCAGCGGACCCACCGCGACCAGCCGCGCAGATCCAACCTCCTTTACCAGATAATGGGTCTGTTCCCCGCAGCAAGGTGAGTATGGCCATAAAATGACCGTTTGACCGTCGGCAACACTGCCCTGGTATGATTAAAGCGAAGCGGGCAAGAACCCAATGTGACCATCCACTCCCGCCGGGAGGTTCACCATGACGGACTCGGAGGATGGAATCGGTGCGCTATGACGACGGGGTCTGGTCGTTTGAACGGAGATCTCGGGCAGCAATGTGGAGACGCAGGAAACCGACAAGGAACGCAATGCACTTTACAGCGTGCGGGAATGATCGGAAATCCTCAAGGTGAAGGAGCACAAACCCAACCATCACCATTCTCGCTCCGGGGAACACAGGGCTTGCGTGAAATGACAGTTGCGACGACACGACAAAAAAAGGGGCGGGTATAGGTGGGGGCGAGAAACGGGCAATCCATCGCATGCTCGGGTATCTGGCGCACGATTACCGTCAGCATGAGTAATTGAGCAAAAGTGGGCAAGAAACCCAGTAGGCTTGTCTTTGGGGCTTACGATCATCCCCGAGCAAAGCCTCTATGAAGCAACGAGTTGTCGAGATACTCAACGGGGCGGAAATGGACGTGGCTGGCAGATTGAACAAAAGTTCAGTAAGAGGAAGTGAGTTAGAGATGCGACGTGCGATCCCTCATTGCCTCATCACATGACTCCGCCACCTTCTCCCTCGCTATAACCTGACTTCCCCTTTTGTAGTCTCCCCACCACTATCCCGCGTGCTGGTGCTCCGGTCTCGATGGTCGTTTTCCTCTTTTCTGCTCTTAAAAAGCACCACCATGACGGGTGCATGTCCAGAAGCTGAACAGCTCATTTTTGAGGCCTGTGATTCCATTAGAGGTCAACAAATTAGTCGCATTTCCACGCGATTCGCCCATGATTTGAACGTGTCAGTACGCCGACTCCGGGTCCGCTTCAATCCGTTGATCTCGTTCGATTAGCCATCGACCAAGCAGACGACTTAATGAGGCACAAGAGTATGCAGTTAATCAGTGCATCGGGCGAGTCGATACAATGTTTATTTCGCCCACTGCGGGTATGACTGCAGACTGCGAACCAGATTTTAAAGAAAAACGCGACCGACGCAGAATCCACGTGAGAGGGTAAAAACAAGGTTTCTGGCTTCATCGGCCGACTTTCTGGTGGTTTATCATATACAAAACAAAAGCTGATAGAGAGAATCATCTGGAAGCAGAAGATTTAGGCGACACGATGCACGGGTTCCACCTACTTGACCATAGGCTCGAAAACATTAGACCAAGCAATGCGTAGGAATCCGATGAGACAGGATTACAACTCGGGCAAGCAAAAACAAAAGGCGATCACTGCGATCGTGACCCAACGTCAAATATCATGCACCAATGGACGCAAAAAGTCTTGCGCGAGGTACGTATTTGTTCCATGTTGGGCGATATAGCCCTTTTGGCCCGAGCGCCGCCAGGCCATCGGCTAACCTTGTGGAATTAGCGGCCCTTTCTAAAGCGGCGATTGGAACGCTCTGTCTCTGCGTGTGTTTAGCATCCCAAAATCCTGCCGACTGAACGGATGGTATTACCTCGAGGCGATAGGACTGCATACCATGGTGCCCGTGTTGGACCAAGAATTTCGAACCCATTTCAATGTCATCGTTGCGAGCACCATTGGCCCTATTCCATCGACTGCGGGTTAAGATCGCCTGCATCCGACATGCGGAGGTGCATCGACTACTCATCAAGCGTCGTGCCCTGCTGCAGAACTTACTCATCCACCGAGTTGCCGTTGCGTGGCTAAGTGGCCCGCAGTGTCGACAAGGGCTCAGATACTGGCGCATGCAGTTTGGCACGGTGTAGACACTGACTCGGACTTTCGTGTCGTCTGAACGCCAAGATTATCACTCTCGTGCTACAATGCCAATCCGCTGACTAGGTGCCTTGTAGCAGCCAGCACAGACATTAGCCATCCACATTCGACATATTTTTATCCTGCACGTTGGTCGGCCGTCAACCCCGTTCCTATCGCGCTTGAAACAGTACCAAGGCGGGCAGAATCCAAATGTTAAATTATAATGATAGTGGCTAAGCTAGTATACACAATCAACTCTTCTGGCCTGGATGGAACCCAGATAGACGATGGGACAAGGTCACCCCCCTCCAAAGTTGCACAGCAATGCAGAGAAGCTCGGTGTGAACGGAATACCACGGGCGGGTAGACACAAGAGCCCTCTACATCATATCATGCAAGGTCACTTTTGACAGGACATATGATATGTCCTTGCGAATGCAATGGTCTCATGAGTAAGTGTCCGTCTATTCCCCGTCTCCTGACTTGTTGGAAATGGCCATCATGAAGACAGCATGGCCGAAGATTCAGACGCGCGATAGGCTCGGGCCAAACGGGCTGTGCTAGCGAACTCATTGTTGAATATTGCTTTCCAGAACGTTGGGGGGCTGTGATGATGAGCCAACCTTGGAGATTGCCGGCTTCCGTGTATTGCATTTGTCTCTGGCAAGTTGGAGATGGGAATTATTCGTTGCTACGTGCTATCTCGCATCCAGCTTTTGGCAATGTCGCTGGCCCTGTGGCTGTGATTTTCACATACCATAAACTTTGCTATAGTCTGAAGATATGTTTTCTTGTTCGTTTCTAATTGCAGATAGTAAAAGCAAATCTCGGCATGCTGGCGGCGGCAGATATTCAGGGCGCAAGGACAGGGTTTATCATCATTCAAGCCAATGCAGGTGTCGCGGTATAAAGGATTGACCCAGAACGGAGAATAATCTGTGAGTCACTGATATTTCGCCATGGTTAGAATTATAAGCCAATCACATGTAACTTTGAAATAAGCGAAGGTGACAGCCATGCTTTATGGTAATTGCGCGGATAAATATCTTGTACGTTCTGGCAATAAGAACAGGGCCTATGGTGGCCTTCGAGTCCCACGATATTGAAAGTATACTGCAGGATTAATGTATCTGTTCTTTAGAACGGTTGCTCGCTCGAGAACCCGGGTCTGGGTTCCTATGAGTGAGGAGCCATATCCGAGGAAGCAGGCCGCTGTCCTCCGGGATTGCCATGATTCGGCGGAACCTATTCATCTATCCGAGGAGACTCTGTGGGAAGAGATCGCAAAATCATGGTGCATGTGTTATTTCATCCCGGCCGCTGACGCCGTTCAACTCGAATGCGACGAGTGCTTTAATCGCAAGATATATCGTGCATAGAGACATGTCTCCAGTGCCGTAGTGTAGAGCGAAAAGACACTGCGACCAACTTTACTTATTGGCTTGCCTAGGTCTTACTAACCGAAGGCGATTTTGGCTGACACGACTTCCCTTTTTGGCCGATGGAAGGCTCGTTGAGATTAACTAATGCCCTGGAACACCTGTTCTCTCTCTCCCAGTTGACCATCCGGATGAACAGCACTACAACCACCTGGGCAATTATACCCACAAATCCATTCTCCGGTATAGTCAGTGGTCTCACGACTCCAGCACTTTACCATGATTCTGACATACATATAAAGTCAAACCAGTTGCACCAGACAATAGGGGGCCATGAAATTTGTTTGATCTCCAAACCTCATCATATCCCAGTCCCAGAATAATGTCGCAGCGCGTTTTGCAACGTCAAGAGACGCCAGTCCTACTGCCTCCTCTTCAATCACTCTATCCAAGCATCATGCCAGGATATGCCGACAGCCCATCGGATTCCTCAAGTTCCGCTGCGGAATGCCCCTGTTGCGTATCGCCTCCCATCCCAGACCTAGCGACCCTCGCCGAAGCCATTCCAGACGGAGAACCTGGCACCCTGAGCCTTGTTACCCTGGAAGACCAGTTCCTGCGTACTGTAGTCAACCAGCCAGCAACTGAGTCCACCACCCAAGTCATATCCATTGTGCCGCGAGACCAACGGTCTTCTTCGTATTGGCCACTGGTGACCTTGCTCTGTCACCGGACGTTCGCTACATATGGGGACCAAACTAGCATCCGGAACTTCAGTGTTTCCTACCATACGAAGTTCGAGCCTGGCGATGTTTTGAGAGCAGTCTGCCGGAAGGTTACTCAAAGAAGACTGACCTGGCTTAAAGCCACAGTGACTCGAAACGACGTGCTGGCTGCCAACGCATCGGCTTTATACGATGAGATTCATCCTGAATCTGTGAACAATGAAGAGGCTCCGGAGATTAGAAACTCTGCAACTCAAAGTGACCATTAGCCATTCTGCCCAGCATACAATTGATATTCCTCTGAAGGAGTGGCACAACTGTAGTTGATACGTGGAGCTGTACTTAACGCAACCTTTCAGAATATTTCGATACTGCACATGGTTTGACCTTTAAGTTTGTGTATTATGGGGGATTTGCAGTCTCAGAAGAGTCCCCTTTACGGGTGAAGCTGGGCAGGCCCAGTTTGGCCGCTATGTAGTTGGTTTCGAGATTCCTTACGCTCTCGTTAGTCATCTTATTATACTGTACGGACCCTTCGTCAAATAGAGCTCCTTGTCGTCAGCATTGACTGCTTAGGCGGGATGTTAAAATATTATGCAGCAGGGGTTCTCTAATCTAACAAAGAAGATTTTCCTTGTATAGAGTGCCACCCATTCGCCCCGTTCTCAGAATATAGCTTGAGTCTAAATACCAAGACAAACACTGATCGCGCACACCTCCAAGCTTCCAACTTGTTATGTGTATATTCCCCGGCACTCACGCGAAACTATGACTGCTTTATGTTGCGTAGCTTCTGGCTCTTGCCTACAATACTGTCTTCGGATATTAGTACTGAGACTCGATTTCCGGAACGATATAGAATTGACAAAGCGTCTTGCTGATCTCAATATGAGGCAGAAACTTAATTTCCAGCAGCACTCAGTTGCTGACGGTTCCCTGATGTGAACGCTGGTTAATGCGGAAACCCGAATAGCTAACTGAAAGTAGGGAGCCCTTGCAAGCGGATGATAATGGGCCTGTTTATTTTGGAAGGTCGGAACGGATCGGTGAACCAAGGCCGATCACTCGGTGGGCCCCTGGCGAGCCAGAACTGCAACAAGGAATACCTCGGGTAAGAGTATACTGGAGCAAAGTACGCTAACAATATATCTGAGGGAAAAGCTGGCAAAAGGGGAAGAATCCCTAAATACTAACTACAATAGTCGGGTTATCTCGTCGTCGAAAAATGGTTAAGACATGCTACGGTTTCAGTTTGGCCAAGGTTTAAGATTAACTGTAGACGTCAACGTATTATTGGGGCTTAGAATCTGGGCATCTATGGAAGCTGAAAATTGGCGGTCAACGCTATGTGTAAGGACAACGCGTACACAAGAGGGGAGCTTCTGGTTCCGTCTCACAGTAGGTATAAAAGAATTATAGATTAACCGACCCCTCCGGAAACCTGCGGGATCGCGCCCTTAGCGCGATCCCGCCAGCCAAACGGCCAGACGGGCCATACGGCCAATTTTAATGCTTGAAGCTATTCAAACTCGAATATCTCAACGAATATTGAAGCTATTGAAATAAAAATAAATACAAATGAAACCTCTATTCCTCCGCTTTCCGACGCACTTTTCGAATTTTCTTTTGAATGATTCCTCGCTCCAAACACGCGTCAATAAGTTCGGGAAGCACTTGAGCATATTTTCGCTTCCACTTCTTTTTTTCATTGCTAATATCGATATTCATCTCTCGGCGCTTCATTGACTGCATAGAATGACTTGATACAACTCCTCCAGAGCGAAGACGACGTTTAGAAGCCTTTGCACGCTCTGCACGTTGTCTAGAGGGCTCTGTATAGCGTCGTATCTCTTCCTGCATGGTCTCTGCATACGAGACTAATTGAGTTGCTCCATTAATGATCTTATTCAGACCATCATGTAAGAATGAAGGCTCAATATCATGTAAATGAAGAATCTTATTCTGCAATATTTTGAAGCGCTCAACCGTTTTTGGTGTACTGCCAACTGACATGATATCATGACTGCTAGGCGTTGAAGGAGTTGCTGGCCGCGCAGGTTCAGCAAGATGATCAAGAACGATTGCTGGATTGAATGGCGATATTCCCGTTTCTTTGAAGCCATGCCGGATAGTCGTTTTCTTAAGAGTTTTGGTGCGAATCGTCGAAAGAGCATGTAAAAACTCATTTTTGTTGAAATGACCACATCCCGAATATGTTGCATTGAGTACTGCTTCGGAATGCCAGTGCTTCATTGCATGAAATACACCAACGTCAAGAGGCTGTAGAATATGGCTTGAATGAGGCGGAAGAAAGAATAGAATAATATTGTGATTCTCGCAGAATTCAACAAACTCTTTCTTACAATGAGATTCGAAGCCGTCACAAATAAGCAGTGTATATTGACCTTTTCGCTTATTTTTAATGTCACGCCAAAAGTTTTGAATCCATTGAAAGCCTAATTCATCTGTCATGAAGCCATTTTCGGACGTAGCGATATAGTATTGACCTTCAATAGTGGTGACGTCAAACCATCCTTGAATGATACTATTCCCGCGTAGAATAATGAGTGGCGGAGCGCTCCATCCACCGGTTGAAATAGCTTCAACTACCGTGATCGATTCTCGCTCGGAAGAGATACCAATATAAGGCTTATCTCCAGGAAGATCTCGAGTAACTACCCATTGATCTCTGCCCATTCCTATACGGAAGCCTGTCTCATCAAAGTTCCATATATCATCTTGTATAATCCCGTTGATTTCGATGACCTTTTTCAACGATTCAAACCAAGCAGCGATATTGGTTTTATCTTGAGCTTGTTTTCGCTCGATTTCAATTGCTCGAAAGCGTTGTTTTTTGTATTGAGGATGGCGTTGAAGCCAGCGTTGAAGCCAGTGTTCTCCTACTACCGGCGGAGGAGTTGTTGAATCGGTATGAGACCTTTTTAGAATGACATTGGCTGCATTCACGATCATTCGAGGCAATGGACGAACGAGATAGCCTTCTAAAGTGTTTAAATATTGACAGAGAGCTTTATCTTCCTCTGAATTCAACTTCAAGTTGGTGGGTGCTCGCTGAACAAGAGAGACTCTACCCTTCCATCTTGCATCGAGAGTTCGTCGATTGAGGTTAAATTCTCGCGCAGTTTTTGAGACATTCGGTTTTTTTTGATTGCGTAACGCGCTGATAGCTGCGAGGATTCTATCTTCAACTTCCTGATTGAATTTGGCCATGTTGTGGTGGAATAATGACGCGTTGAAGTAGGAGGGTGCAATTATTGAAGAAATTGGCCGTATGGCCCGTCTGGCCGTTTGGCTGGCGGGATCGCGCTAAGGGCGCGATCCCGCAGGTTTCCGGAGGGGTCGGTTAATAGATCGAGCATCATAGTTATATGTTTCATATCCATCCGTGACACTACGGATGTTGGGTATTGAATGGATAAAATATACCCGGGCATCTTTCGACAATCTCGGGTGAAAGGCTGGGCGGGCATTCTTTCCCCTCGATAATTTTGGTTTGAATTCAGTGTCTTATTGCCATATTCAATCATCACGCTAGTAAGGAAGGCCAACCATCCACGAAATCCGGTGAAATATCGTGCAAATAGTAATTCCTTTTAGAAACCCGAGTACACACACCCGATCAGACAAATGATATTTGCATTCATGACCTTATCAATGAGGCCAGGGGTGTCTGAACATTGGAAGGGGAATGGTACAGTATGAGCAACTGGGCAATTGCTGCTGCAAACCGATTTATTCGATGTAGTTTTGTTCCGTCAGTAAAGCAAAATATTCTGTATCGCGGTATGGGTTTGCCCGCAACACTAATAGTAGACCTTGTGGGGTGCAGAAACCTGAATGCACAAAACTGGATGTGAGCAAGAGTGGTGACCAGATACTAAGCGGTCAGATACAACTTAAATGACCTGGTTAACGTTAAATCACGACAGAGCGTGAATGAGCAGTCAAGTGGTCCAGTATCCAAAAATTCCTTTGGGAGCAGCGCATCCTATCGTTTCCCATTGCCCAGTCCGCTGGATTGGCTATTATGTGAAACTTCTCAATCTGTAACATACGGGTACATACAAGCCCCTTCAATACACGAAGTGTATGTCCCTGTGGCGCAGTGTATTGAAACAGTCCGGGAGACCGCACTTGTAATTGTATTACGCCAGCCAACACCCACGGTATAGCGAAATGTTTTCCCCTTACCTCGATGTCAGGAACGTTCAGGCATACACACTCACTAGAATGTGCAACTAGCCAAATGTTCTCATTCTTACATACAAGACGCTTTTACCGTTGCGTTACCAATCTGACAAAAGTTCATAGCCCCTATGTGCGTAATACCGTGATAGGCATAGGCTATAGCCCACATTCCACTCGTTTTTCCCGCGAACTTTACTCTTTACTCCTTGATACAAACTTCCCACAGAGCCTACTTATTCCATTTTGACACATGAACGATGCAGCTCTTCCTTCACAAGAAACTGCCAATATGCGTGACAAGAAGCAATCCTGCAACTGCGTCTCCCCCACAACGAGCATTGAGAATAGGCTAAAATAACACCATCTGCCTAGACTACAACTACTCCTATCTTCCGCTCAGTGTGCACAGTACTACTCCAGTAAGTCCGCGTGAGTTCTTTATGTCTATCAGCACCTACAGGAAAGCAGTATTGCTACAGTGGTTCCCGCAAACCGGCTCCCCGTAGTCTACAACGTCTATTACGGGGGCAATGAATGGCATTAACCGAAGAATAATGTCAGTAAACAATGCGGCTGATTGTGAAATATCAAGAGCACGAATAAGCAAGATCTTCCTCCCAGAACGTAGGATGTACTCACTGGCGCTGTACGTATGATGGGATCTAAACAGCCGGCGAGGAAGGACGAAAAGAAGAGTATGTCATGATGCAGCCAGCTTGTCACGGAAAACCTGCCAGTTGCGAGAGAATAGAAAGGGATAAAATCACAACCCCTGGGCCCTGAGGCCATAATAATTTCAACTAAGGTCCAGCCCAATCTGAAGCTCTCACTCAACCCATCGGTCCCACCTTGTCACCGAACCGAACCGTCTAATGTCGAAACGCGAGATCTTGTTTCCGCGTTTCGACCACGTATTCAACCAACACAGCCGGCCAATAACAGGTACATGTACCACATCTCTTCAGCTCGCTCAGTATTGTTCCCACCACCCGATGCCTGACGCAGTCGATGATATCGCTCTCTCTCTGTTTCACCTGCAAAGCCGAGGTCCCACCCAACGCCCTCCAGCATTGCCGCATTAGAGTTTCTTAAAATTCACCAGAAGGACTGTGTATGGCAGCATCAAACCCACAAATCCCTCCTACCAAATCTGCAGTGTTAGTTGGAGACCATCGACATCGTTTTCACTACAAGTCGTCGCAATTGAGCTCGAGAAGAAAGCAACGAAGCACTTGGCTAGTGGAAACGGCATCAGCAATGTACCCATGATCATGATCCTTGAATTCAGCATTGCCAGCTTTTGCGAGATTCCTAGCGGAAATGGGACCATATGTAGACAAGTGTTACCCGTCTCATCTGCAAGCTCACCATAGTTGCACCACGAACGCAACTAGGGGCAAGTACCAATCAGGGAAGAGGAAAAAGCGTAATAGCTCTTATCAGCGGAGCGCTGACGGAGTTGTGCAACACAGCGCAAAATTCTGCAGCCGCCAGATAAGGGAATGGCTAGGAAGCAAGCCCAGGCATAAATGCCTTCATTGGCCTCGCCGAGGCTCAAAGTCCCCCTGGTGAAGCGGTCCATGTAAGGTCTAGAAAACCTACATAGCGATAGTAGATACCTGAATATTGCCGTTAGGCACAACACGTCAGCGCATTAATTCAGGCAAGTCACCAACTAATTGGGGTTATGACGACACAAGGGGCCACAGGTTGCCGTTAAAGTAACCTCTTTGATTCAGAACACAGCTCCCAACTTGGAGCCACGGATACACCGGGCATTCTCCCGCACCGTCTATAAATTCTGTGAGAATGAACGAAACCAACAAAATGAAGATTCACCGCGTCTACTCTGATTACACTTACCTTGCGCAACAAACATCAAAGGCTTGTCCGAAACAAAGGCCCGTAACTGGTACCAGAAGCGACGACCAAGTAAAATACATCGAACCGCAAATCATCTTCCAACGTATTCCAAAAGACTTCTCTTTCGACAGGCCATTCATGAAGAAATTGAAAGTAACTGGGGGCTTTTCACTTGAGAGGGATTGACCGAGACTGCTAGATTGGAGCGCCCTTTGCGAGTTTAAATAGCCTCGATGCATTATCTTTCTGTTTCAGGGGTTTATTTTACAAATCAGTCAGTGGGTTCTGTTCAGGGACTTCGAGGTTCTGGAGACCAGCGAGGATCCCAAGAGCCAGTTTGGGCTTTCTAAGATCTACGATTCCTCTATACTATCATGCGTCGGCTATGATATCATTCAGTGATTTCCGTGCGAATATTTCGTATGACGTCTACTGACACATGTACTACGTATCGACTATCATGCCAGCAATTTCTACAGATTGCTTGGACAAGAAAGAATAGGGCTCCATGTAAGGAATTTAACCCGATTAGAATGAATCTGTTATGACTTTATACTGTAGTTAGCAAGCCTTCCAGGCCAGGATAGCCACAAATAATCAACACTACGTTCTTATTCTTTTAATCAGTATTATGCATTTTGATGGGGAAACATTGGCATGCCATTCTACCAGTAGGTATTCGGGATCAAAATTCAAAATATATCTATAATAGACTAGCGTTAATTGGTGTTCCGACAATCCCTTGACTCCTGGGATATCCAGGGCCGCTCCCATGAACATCTGGGCTTGTGTTGTCTTTCGACGGAGAAAGCCCAGAACAATGTTGGCCATGTTGGTGCAGCGCGATAGTACAGCATTTCCTCCTGGGGAAAAGGTCGTGGGCATCAGAAGGAAAAATAGCCTCCCTGATTCGTCATTTTCGTGATGGCAGTGCTGGGTTTTTTGGGGAGTGTGGCGGGCAAAAGTGAACTCGGAGTGGAGCAACGGGCAAGGGGGAGACCGCTAGTTGGGGTGCAGTTTATTGAGGTTACTCACTCAGGGCACTCAGTCTTCCGCTCACCCCGTGCTCAGTGATCGCCTCAGGCTGCTCAGGGCGTGCTCAGGGCGTGCTCAGGTCTACTCAGTGAGCAAAAAGCGGCGAGGGGTGAGCACTAAAACGGAAAGGGAAGGCTGTCGACCTGGCTAGAAAATCAAGTACGTATGTACCTAGAGTTGCACTCTGTGCCGCGTGGCTGACCGTAGTCCCCGGTCCGCATTGGGACGGCGGTGATTGGGCGGGTGGGACAGGCAGCTCCCAAGTTCCCCGGAGCCACGCAGGAAAACACGCAAGACTCCCCCGTGCTCCGTAGGGCCATCTTGCGACTCCAAGCGGTGGGACAATCCTGCCTGCCTACCTGTCCATCTGTTCTCTTCGTCATCCCCCCCTTTTCTTATGCTCCGTTAATTGTCCCATTCGCTTGGATTTCTTGTTTGCTCCGGCATTGGTCTCTCCCCTATCCAGTCGCCATTATACTCTGGAACTGGATTTCCTCCCAAGGAAATCATGGCGCGTCTCGGCCGCGTGGGTTTTCTTACCCTCGCGGTGGTATTCCACCTCATATATGCCTATTCAATCTTCGATATATACTTCGTCAGTCCGATCGTGAGTGGCATGAGGTCCTATCGAGTGGAGCGAGAACCCGATGCCGCAGCTCCAGCTCAACGTCTCTTCCTCTTCGTTGCCGATGGCTTGCGCGCCGATAAGGCATTCCAACCATTCCCCGATCCAGATGCCTCCCCGGAGGCCGAGAGCGACGACCCGATCTATCTAGCGCCTTTTATTCGATCCCGCGTCCTGTCCCACGGCACCTTTGGCATTTCGCACACCCGCGTGCCCACCGAATCGAGACCCGGCCACGTTGCGCTGATCGCCGGCCTCTACGAGGATGTGTCTGCCGTGACCACCGGATGGAAGCTGAACCCGGTCAATTTCGATAGCGTCTTCAATCGCAGTCGGCATACATGGAGTTGGGGCAGTCCGGATATCCTGGCCATGTTCCAAGAGGGGGGCGTTCCGGGAAGGATTGATGCGGAAATGTACAGCGAGTCGGTCGAGGACTTTACGTCGGATGCGACACAACTAGATATCTGGGTTTTTGATAAGGTCAAGGAACTCTTCGAATCCGCCAAGACCGATCCCGAATTGGATGCGCGGCTTCGCGACGATAAGCTTGTGTTCTTCCTACATCTCCTCGGTCTCGATACCACCGGCCACGGCTTCCGTCCCTACTCGAAGGAATACCTGCACAATGTCAAGGTTGTGGACAAGGGGGTACAGGAGATAACCAAGTTGGTGGAGGAATTCTACGCGGACGACAAGACGGCGTTTGTCTTCACTGCCGATCATGGCATGAGCGACTGGGGCAGCCACGGGGACGGTCATCCCGATAACACGCGAACACCTCTTGTTGCTTGGGGCTCCGGTGTCGCCAGCCCGAGATACACGCAGGATGGCTTTCCGTCGGGACACGAGGACGGCGTTTCGTCCGAATACGGACTCGACGAGATTCAGCGCCATGACGTCGCCCAGGCCGATGTTGCCGCGCTCATGGCCTACCTGGTCGGACTGGATTTCCCAACCAACTCCGTCGGTCAGTTGCCGTTGGACTATCTGGACGCAAGCCCCAAGGATAAGGCGCTCGCTTCCCTTGCAAACACGCAAGAAGTGTTGGAAATGTATCGCGTGAAGGAGGAGCAGAAAAGGGCCTCGGTGTTGCGGTATGTGCAATTCGAACCCCTCGCGGATGACGGCGAAACCTCCGTCGAGGATTATCTCGAGCAGATTAAGGCTCTGAATGCCAACGGTCTGTACCAGGAGTCTATTGACTTGTCCGCTTCGCTGTTGGTTACGGCATTGGAGGGGCTACGCTATCTACAGACCTATGACTGGCTTTTCCTGCGAACTATCATTTCTTTCGGCTACCTGGGCTGGATCGCGTATGCGTTGACAACGGTCATCGATCTCCATGTGTTGCATGGGACCTCCGATTCAAACCGGACCCTGGCGAGCACTATCTTCTTCTCATCCATCCTTGTCGCGCTCTACTCAGTGTTCTTGTACCAGGGATCTTCCTGGCGCTATTACTTCTACGGACTCTTCCCCGTCTACTTCTGGGAGGAAGTTTTTGCTCGTCGCAAAGCTTTGGTCGCAGGCCGACAGATTCTCCTGGGGCATATCCGTTCTGCCAGCGGTGTCCTTGGATTTGTTTTGCAGTCGCTTGCGTTTGTGGGTGTATTGGAGGCTCTGGTAAGTTGCGCTAGATTTTGCTGATCGAATAAATTGCTGACATCGCGCCTCTGATAGGTGCAATCCTATTTCCACCGCGAGATCTACACGGTTTGCTTTCTACTAGGAGCCTTTTGGCCCCTGTTCTACGGCCTCAAGGTTGTCAAAACGAACAAATTGCTTTCTGTCTCGTGGGCTATTGGCTGTGGATTGATGAGTACTTTTACCTTGCTGCCTGCCAATAAGGTGGAAGACATTAATACGATGTAAGTGAAACGAGTCGCGGAGGTGAAGTTGCCATATGTTTGATCGCTAATCCTGGGACGCGGTAGAACATACGGGGCATTGTTGATGTTCTTCACCGGCTTTCTGTATCTCCTGTTCGAAGACAGTATCTTGCGGCAAAGTAGAACTTCAGCACTGTCTGCCACTAGCTCCGGCTCGCGGACAATCATGGGCATTCAGGTACGAACAGACCCCTTCCCCCTGGGGCTTATTGCGGGGAGACACAGATCGATTTGCTGACCCTTTCCGTAGCTCGGCATGATCTTGCTTGCCCTTATCGTTACTCGGTCTAGTGCCACCTCTCTCCAGGCTAAGGAGGGTCTTCCCATGGGGAACCAGGTGGTTGGATGGATTGTGCTGGGTAAGTGCAGGATTAAGCGACCCGTGGGATTGGTGCTAACATCTCCGTGTCATCTATTAGTGTCCTCGCTTTCTCTACCGTTCTTCCACCGGCTCTACCCCAACAGCCACTACCTGCACCGATTGATGATTATCTTCCTCACCTTCTCTCCGACCTTTATCATTTTGACCATCTCTTACGAGGGTCTGTTCTACTTCGTCTTCTGCATGACCCTGATCACATGGGTTCGGCTGGAACATGCCGTTTACGAGACCACCGCCGCGCCTCCTGCCAAGGAGCAGGGGCCAGGCAAAGAGCCGGAGGTGTCTAAGAAGCCTGGTACGGAATCCACAGCCATCGTGCAGGGCCAAGCCTACCCATACCGGGCCCTTAGCCTGTCCGACGCGCGCGTGGCCCTCTTTTTCTTCTTCCTTCTCCAATCCGCCTTCTTCAGTACGGGCAACATCGCGTCCATCTCCTCGTTCTCGTTGGACAGTGTCAACCGGCTCATTCCGATCTTCAACCCGTTCAGCCAGGGGGCGTTGTTGATCTTGAAGCTGCTGATTCCGTTTGCGATCATCAGTGCCAACCTTGGCATCCTTAACCGCCGACTGGAAGTAGCGCCCAGCGCACTTTTCATGGTGGTGATGTCCATCTCGGACGTCATGACGCTGAACTTCTTTTACATGGTGCGCGACGAGGGGTCCTGGCTGGACATTGGCACGACGATCAGTCACTTCTGCATCGCCAGCTTCCTATGCACTTTTGTGGCAGGACTAGAGTTCCTAAGCGAGGCCTTTATCAGCGGAGTACATTTCGGTCGGAACGCTGTCAACGGCACCGCGGAGGGTGCTTCCCCTGGAAAGACTGACGGGGTGAATGAGAAAAAGGCCCGGTAGGCAGGCCTTGGTTTGAATAGATCGTATATTAGCCTCCCACCATGACCGAATTTCGGACGAGTCGTGGGGCGGGCAGCCATAATGAAATGTATGTATATGTGTGATATAGAATTGCTAGTTGCATTGGAATAATAGTCTAGTCTACGGCTGAAGAAGTGAGATCGGAGGCGAGTGAAGTACGCCGGTGTATATGCATGGACATGCATCTGGACAAGGAGAAAATCCCGCGAAGGGCGATCATTGACAGACTTGTCGGACGCTCAGGCAGAAGCATGTACCCAGATTGTGTGTGTTTATTATACAATATTGCTAATAATTTTTACAGTACATTTTATTTATAGCAGGTGGTGCACAGCAGATTTGATGTTTTACCGAGGCATCACGAGCTTCCCGCATGACGTTTCGCAAGCTTCCAGAGTTACCTCCCCCAGAAGAGACGCTGCCAATGCGGGGAACCTACCACGCGGATCCTCGCTCCCTTAGACTGACGGTTAGTGTTAGTATTAGTGTTATCAAGTTATTATTCGCCGCCCAGGCACAGAAGCAAAGCACAGGAATCGCCGGCGGTGGCTGCGACTGACGTTCGGGTGCGGGGGAAAAACAGGCCTAAAACCCGGAGGGGAATGGATTGCGAGTTGTCCGACTTGGCTGATAGGTTCTCTGTCTCCTTCTTTCTCCGTCATGAATCCTTACTTACTGACTTACGGTGTGCTTACTTACTGGCTGACTGACTTTACGAGTACTTCTGACTGGGACGTGTCCCGTGAGTTCCCGCGTGGCACCAGCGTCGTCGGAGAAAAGTCCCCAGAATTGGACCAGTCAGATGCTTGAGATGAGAAGGATGTCTCGTCGTATGCATCCCGAGCACAAAGAAGTGAAGAGCGAATCCGGGGTTCAGATGCAGTAAACGGTGACCACGAGGAGCCCGGGGATCATACTTCGTCCTAGTCCGTGGTCGAGGACTAGTCGATCCAGACTCCCGACCAAAGGACTAGAGAGGAAGGACTACTCCGAAAAGAGTCATAAGAGGACCTTCGAGGCGAGCCCAAGCTAACTTGCTCAGTAACTAGCAGGAAACCTAAGTGAGTTTGCTGAGTTCCTCGCGCGCCCACAGATTTGGGACGAAAGTTCCGCCGACCTAAAAACTAGACCGTCTCTCGCTGGTGCTTGCGGATCTACGATCGCAGAGGGTTTCAGGTCGAAAGTCCAGATGACTTGGACTTGGATCTGATCTCCCGAGAACCAACTGCCTACGTGTTTGAGATAGATTGTTCCCCGTCGTGAAAATAGCGACGGCATGCGCGCCTGGTACCCTACCCACGGAGCACATTCCTGATGGAAATAAGGGCAACATAATTGGGGGCGCATAAAGCCCAACGGACGAGTGGATTCGGATCAACCGGGTCCACCGGTGGAGAACCGGCGACCAGCACTGGAGGTGGAAATGCCAGGGGGTGCCTCCTCAGACGATATCCTCCCCGAGTGATATTAAGGACCAAAGTGCCGCGAAGGAGATGGAAGCAAGCAACGGACGCGGCCGGGATGAGGACGCCGTGCAGGAGGCTTTCATGTAATATAGCAGTTGTACTGTAGACTTGTAGTAGAGTGCTTCCTGGAGAGTACGGCGGAGGACCGTACAGAGCACGGAGTCCCTAGCAAGAACAAGAAAAAGGCAACAACTGAACGACGACCTCAGCACGATTTATAAACCGTTTGGACCCTTTCTGGCGAGGCTGGACCGGGATTCCAGTCAAAGTCAAGGCTTCTTCTCCACCAAGACGATCCTCTTCGTTGATAATATTAACTGTTAAGCTGTTAACTACTATTGCCACTCCCCGCCGACCTGTTCCTGAGAGCCCTGACGCCGTCGTTATCGTTGGATCTGCCCGGCGTATTTTCACCCTCGCAACTCCTCTTCCCTTTCTCTTCATTTCCATTCTTCCCTTTGCTTCTCCGCCAACTTTCCTCGTGCCTGCACTTGACTATTCCCCTCAATTCCTATCTTTGTTTTCTGGGATTTTTGCGTTTTTTTAAATTCACTCTTCTGGGTTTGAACTTCATCACTCCCTACCACTCAACTCCCCCACTTACTCCCATTCCCGGACCCTTTAACCCGCCCTCTTCGATCGCTCCGGACGTTATTTACATCGCGTTTCTCTGGATGGATACCTTTTGGCCATGAGCACAGCAGGAGACATTCACACCGACTCTACGAATTCCAGACCCAGCCCAGCGCCGAGTGCTGCGGGCTCGACGGGCACTTCCGGCATTACCGTGCGTACTGGAGCAAACGGACAGATGAGTTTCAGAAGGTGTGTTGATAATTCCGAGCGAGAGATAGACAGGAAAAGAAGAGAGAAGGCTGCGCTGGTGGTGGAAGAGGAGGAGGAGAACAGTTGGTCGCGGGGTTCTCAGTCGAGGCCTGAAGCCCAGAGGCGCACACCTTGCGTGTTCTGACGGGAAGGCGGATTCGGAATCCAAACAAATTCAATCGGGATTTAAGTGTCAACTTATAAATGCTAATCGTTGTTTTATCTAATCTAGACAACGTGCGTCGCGCGCTTGTGAGGTACGTTTCTCCTTTTTTTTGGTGTCCTGAGGTGGACGCGACGGCGAGAAGCCTCGGCACCTCGGCCCATCCGTTCGTGCAGCTCATGCGATCGATGAGTGATGCTAACTGCTGTCTGGATTGCGTGGTGCAGACCTGCCATGCTCGAAAAGTAAGTGTTTTCTTATCATTGTTATATCGTATGATTGTTTTATCTTATTTATTTATTCTTGTGTTCCCTTATTGTTGATCTTTTTGATCCTTCTCCTCGGTCGCTTCCAAGACTTTTCCCGCCGGTCGCATCGATCCCATCACTGACCATCATCGCCTTCACACAGGTACGTTGCGATGCTGCCAGTTTAGGTGTTCCCTGCACCAACTGCGTAGCCTTTTCGATTGAATGTAAAATTCCCACGCCGAAACGCAAGAAGAATCAGACAAAACCGAAGGAGGTTGACGGGTATGTGTCATGGCCTCGAAGAAACGCGACCGGTCGAACTCAGGCTGACGATGTGTGCTTGGATACAGAAGCGAAGAGCGCAGCGAACAACCCGAACCGAAACAGGAGACGCCGGCGAGAGATAGCGGCAAGGATGCTTTTGGGTACCGGAACAATCAAATCGTCGACGGCATGCCTTCTCAGGCCGTATCGGAAACGGAGGCCGTGCAAGAGGCACATCTCAACAACGCCTACGCCCAGTTTATGAAGCCCAAGTTCGCGCGGGCCCCGATTAAGGAAGCCGGTCGCGTCGCCTATCTAGGCGAGTCGTCGAATCTGTCGCTCTTGGTGCAGGATCGCCATGGGACCACGGACGTGGTGCATTACCCTCTGCCGCCCAATATCCGGGGGTCACGATCACGAGTCACCGAACTCGATAACTTGGAGTTGGACATTCTGCACCAACGCGGTGCCTTCCTGCTGCCGCCGAAACCGCTGTGCGACGAGTTGGTAGACGCATACTTCCAATGGGTGGCGCCCGTGGTTCCCATCGTCAATCGCAGTCGCTTCATGCGGCATTATCGCGATCCCAAAAATCCGCCCTCGCTGCTGCTTCTGCAGGCAATCCTCCTCGCGGGGTCCAGGGTCTGCACGAATCCCCAGCTGATGGATGCAAACGGGTCGACGACCCCGGCCGCCATGACCTTCTACAAGCGAGCCAAGGCGCTGTATGACGCCAATTACGAAGACGACCGCGTTACTATCGTTCAGGCCCTGGTTCTCCTGGGCTGGTACTGGGAAGGCCCTGAAGGTGTGTTTCGAATTCATCACTACTTATGCAATCAGATGAATGTTGACATGATCCAGATGTTACCAAAAACGTCTTCTACTGGACCCGAGTGGCGATGGTTGTCGCACAGGGTTCAGGAATGCACCGAAGGTATGATCCCTCTTAGGGTTGAGATCGTGAAATCTAGATCTAACTGATGTAGCGTGGAATCCTCGCAACTTACGAAGCCGGATAAAAGGCTATGGAAACGAATTTGGTGGACATTGTTCACTAGAGACCGGTCCGTAGCAGTGGCGCTGGGACGGCCGATTGGCATCAATACGGACGACTCGGACGTGGGAATGTTGACGGAGGATGACTTTATCGAAGACGAGATCGATATTGCGGCCGAATATCCGCCCGACCCCGTTCACGTGCAGTTCTTCCTGCAATACGTCAAGCTTTGCGAGATCATGGGTCTCGTTCTGTCGCAGCAGTACTCGGTGGCATCGAAATCGAGACGCATGAACGCCATGGATCTGACCCATTCCGATATGGCTCTGGCGGATTGGCTGCAGAATTGTCCCAAGGAGGTGTGTTGGCAAAGACAGCGACATCACTTCTGGGCCGCTCTTCTGCACGCGAACTACTAGTAAGTTGGAATCTCGCATGTCGATGCAACGCCTACTGACCCAATTTAGCACGACGCTCTGTCTTTTGCATCGAGCCCACATGCCCCCGGCTTCTTCGGTGCCGAGTAGTTATCGGGTCGAAGAGATGGCGTATCCGTCGCGTACCATTGCTTTCCAAGCTGCCGGAATGATTACTTCGATCGTCGAAAACCTGCAGAATCACCGAGAGATGCGATATACCCCGGCCTTCATGTGAGTGTGATCTATGCCTTGCACACCGATGACCAGACCTGCTGACTCGATGAACAGTGTCTATAGTTTGTTCTCGGCTCTGATTATGCACGTCTATCAAATGCGATCTTCCGTCCCCTCCGTGGTGGCAACGTGTCAGGAGAGAATCAACATCTGCATGCAAGCGCTGAAGGACGTTTCTAAATCCTGGCTGGTGGCCAAGATGGTTCATACTCTGTTCGAATCCATTCTCGGGAACAAGGTACTGGAGGAACGTCTCCAGAAGGCTGCGGGCAGAAGACATCAGCGAGTGCGACCTGACGGCACCAGCCAGCCGCAACCTGTTAGGAGGCCCGATCCGCCGAAGCGCAAATTTGACGATATGGACCTGGGACTGCCGAACGGAGGGCCCACGCCTCCCGTCTCGTACGAGCGGTCTCGCCCGCAGACCCCGGCGCTCACTCCGTCCAGAGAGATGGGCCAGCCCGGCTTGACGGTGCCCCAGGGGTCGCCCACGGCGCCGCGCGAAGGCAATTCTCGCAGCAACACCCGACCGACCACGCCGTTCAATGCGCAGTTCTCCCTCCCTGCCACGCCACCCGACCTCTTCCTCGTCACGCGTACCTCGCCCAACCTGTCCCCTTCGCTCTGGGAGAACTTCCAGCCGGACCAGCTGTTCCCCGACGGCACCGCCATCTTCCCGGAATTGACGTCGCCGCAGACCAACACTGTGGACCCGCAGCTCCATATGCAGCCGCATCTCCAGCAGCCGCAGGCCATGGACCAACGGTCTATGATGTCGCAGCCTCCGCTGCCGTCGCGGAGCCTGTCCGGGGCGCAGGGAAGTCCGGAGATTCTTTCGAACATGCCGCCGGGGATTGGCTTACAGAGTCAACAACCGCAGATGTTTGGGCTGGAGAACCAGCACACGTGGCCGATGCAGGGGCTCGATGCTCCCATCAGCGGGGCCCCAATTGATGCAGCTAGCCAGGATGACAACTGGAGCAGCAGCTCTCGCAGCGGGCCTACAGCGCCGACCACACTGAACGTTGAAGATTGGTACGTATTCATAGTCAAGAAATACTGTTCCAAAGATGTCCTAACTGTCTCGATAGGTTCCAATTCTTCGGCATCAACGGCACATTTGAAATGCCGACCTAATGCTCGGTCGCATGCGTTCTTCACGACTGTTACAACAGAGGCTTATTGCGTTATATTCTTATTCCATTGATATTATACGCTGCTCAGTCCCATCTGCGAGGAAAGGCGTTTGGATTGCAATTGTGTTATTTTTACTGTTGTATACCTGGTTGGGTTTAATTTGTGTTGATTGACTTGGTCTGAGGGGGTATTTGCTGCATAGTTATGGTGACGATCTCAAGTTCAGATGTTCAGATGAAGGGATGGGTTCTACGTGGATGAGTTGGAGAAAACCGCCCAGCACTGCTGACGGGCGTCTGCATATTGATAGGGAGGATGCTGAATGGTTGGTTTGTACATAAGAGAAAGTAGTGGAATGATCCAGCACTGGAATTGATGTCTTTGAAATTCTTCCCTATGACACACAACGAGTGAGGTATGTTACTTACTGTACCTCTACAGCGACTTCCGAACCGCCTCAACCCTAAACAAGTCAGCACCCAACAACATAAACCAAACCACATCCAGGGGGAAAACAAGAGAGAACATACACCAAGAACGTCCCCGCCGACACAGGCACCGCTCTCCCCAACGTCGGCCCCAGTCCCCGAAAGAACCCTCGCCAGCCATCCACACGCCAGATATGCCGCACGGCATCACCCATGCCACGATAGCGTCTCTGGGCCCCGAACCCGTCCGCCTGCATGGTGCTCTTGACCACGTCGAAAGGATAATTCATAGCCCAGAGGATCTCGCCGGTGATGGCACCACACGCCGCGACTTTCCACCCGGGGATCTGCACCTCCTCAGTGCCAGTACCAATACCCTCCACTGCCTTACCTCCATCCCTCTCCCTCCTTTCCACCCCCTCCATCAACGCCCCATAAACCGCAAACCAAATCCCATAACTATGAAACTCCCTCAACACCGTCGCCGACTGTCCGCGATACAGCGCCCGCAACCCACCCCGTCTCAGGATCTGGCGCACGCAGTCCGCAGTCCCATTGTAGGTGCGTTCTGCCGGGTTCGCGGATTGCATCTGTAGACGGATCCGGATGTGTTCCATGGGCCCGGAGACGAGGCTGTTTGTGAGGCCGGCGAGGCCGCCGGAGAGGTAGGTTTGGGGGGTGGTGAGGGTGGGGATTGAGAGGGTTGATTTTAGGGTGGAGGTCACGAGGTGGTAGGTTGTGTAGACTATGCTTATCTATTTGGGGTTAGTTTTGGAGTTGAGGGAGGGTGAGAAGGGTGAGGTGGGAGGTAGGCAGGGAGTGTAGAGTATGGAGGAGGTGGTATGAGTATGGGTATGCATGGTTATGGGTTGAGTTAGGGCTGGATTCTGGAATAGGATGAATGGTTAGGGCTGGATGCTTCAATATGGGATCACTTACGCAGGCGCCGACTCCTACGAACGGAGCGAGAGATCCCTGGATCGTTAGGTACTTCTCACATTGCGAGATATAGTTATACTATATCAAATTAAATGTAGACAGGTCATACTTTATAAAACCCCTTCGGGCCCTCCTGTTTCCATAAATTCCTAGCAATATGAACCGCGCCGCCATCGACGCGGTTTTGCATGCGGACTTTGACAATGTCTAAATCGGGTCATGTTAGGGTTAGGGGCAGCAGGCACTAGGGTTGGCAAGGATGAGATACGAACCGAAAGGTTGACCTGACAGGATACATGTTAGTAAGACTAAGCTCAATGAGACAGAAGAGACTTGCCAATCAGCACTTGGGTGATCCCCCCAGCGGCTCCCACCACAACCTCCTTTGCGGCCGGGGAGATGCCGTTGTCGGAGGTCTGGACAAGGGGGCAGGGAGCAGTGGTCGAGAGTTCGGAGGCCATGTTCGTCTGGTCTGGTCTGTCAGAAGGAGGGGTAAGGAAGCGATCTGAAGGGACACATACATACTACATAGTTCATTGTTACTTCACTTACCACGGGGCAAGATAGGACAGCCACGAGACATCGGCATGCCAGCCGAGAGCACGACGGGGCGGAACCCCGCGGCGGAGATCATTCTGGGGATTCCATATCTCGATGTAGGCATAAGATCCTTGCTGAAGGAATCTAGACAGTCGGGAGTCTTCCCACCGGATCCAGATATCAAAGACCGACGGCCGGGAGAGCAACCGATGGTCGACCATCGCCACGGGGTATGAAAGGGAAATTGATAAGACAGGACCATGGTCGATGCTTTTATAGATTCCCCGTCATCCCCAACTTGTCGAGGTCAATCATCACCACAATTCTCTCCACATACACAATGGCTCGATTACTGGTGAAAGCCACTACTCCCCGGCCAGGCCTCGTGGGACTTCCCCGGGCGAGTCCGACGGTGCTGTATAAGCTCGACGGGGGGAGACGTTGGCAACACTACCGAGGAGTGGGCTCGACCCTGGAGGTCAGTTCCTCCCACACGAATACCTCTTCCTCTTCCGTTTCCTCTTCTGCCTCTTCTACCCCTCCGCTGGCCGCCCTCCCCAACAGCGTCCTTCTACGCTCCCTCCTCGTCGCCGCCATCTCCTCGAAACCCTACCTGCTGGGACCGTCGCTGTGGGCATTGTCCATCCTGACGCAGCCCGGACGGGGACTCTTGCTGGACGTGGACCGCAATCCGCTCCTGCACGGCATCCTCAAACAGACCTTCTACAAGCAGTTCTGCGCGGGCGAGAATCCCGCCGAGACGCAGGTGACGCTGCGGCGGTTCAAGGAGCTCGGGTTCCGTGGTACGATCCTGACCTACGCCAAGGAGACGGTGTTTGATCATAAGACCAACACGTCGCACGGGCTGGGGATTGCCAACGATCTATCGCAGGAGAAGGCGCAGCATTGTCCGACTATTGAGGCGTGGCGGAAGGGAACGGTGGAGACGATTGATTTGCTGGGCGATGGCGATTATTTGGCCGTGAAGTATGCTTCCCTTCCCTTTTCTCTCCGTTCTATATTCCTAGGTCTACGTTTTCGAGGATAGTCTCTAACTACTCGACAGACTGACCGGAGCCGGACCCTCCGTCACCGAAGCGTTCTCGGCCGGTGAACTCCCTCCCAAACAGATGCTGGACGCCCTGGAGGAGATCGGAAGCAAGTGCCAGGCGCGACGGGTGCGTCTCCTGGTGGACGCAGAGTCGCAGCACTTCCAAGCGGGAATTCTACGGGTGACGCTGGACCTGATGCGGCGGTACAACCGGGAGGGATTCGCCCTGGTTTACAACACCTACCAGGCATATCTCAAGTCCACCCCAGACACATTGGCGAAGCACCTAGAGACAGCGCAGCGCGAAGGGTTCACACTGGGCCTGAAGCTAGTGCGTGGGGCATACATCGCATCGGACAAGCGGTCGCTGATCCACGACACCAAGGCAGACACGGACCATGCCTACGACACGATCGCGCGGGGGGCGCTGAGACAGGAGATCGGCGAGTTCGGGACGCGGAAGGCGTTCCCGTCGGTGAATCTCTTCCTGGCCAGCCACAACCAAGCCAGCGTGGTGGGCGCGCATCAGCTGCATCGCCAGCGCCTGCAGGACGGGTTGCCCACGGTGCCGGTGGGATTTGCGCAGCTGCACGGCATGTCGGACGCGGTTAGCTTCGGACTGCTGAAGATGAAGGGCTCGGACGGCACGCCGGAGGTGTTCAAGTGCTCGACGTGGGGGAAGATGGGCGAGTGTCTGGCGTATCTGCTGCGACGGGCCATTGAGAACCGAGACGCGGTGGGGCGAACGGGGGAGGAATATCTGGCGTTGAAGAAGGAGTTGTGGCGGAGATTGGGATGGAGGACTGAGTACTAGACAACTAGTGCAATGCGGGGAACGCTAGGACGCAGATAGTAAGGAATATGAGACACGATCATGACTTAACCTGTTTATACCTTATCTTCTGTAACTAAACAGTACTGGATAGTGGAGTATAAATTAGGGCTTCCTGACGGGTGACTTCCCGATCTCCCCGCGTCGGTTCAACTTCCGTCTTCTTTTACTTCTCTCCACTGTACAACTCTGTACTCTTTGAACTATTACTCTTAACTACGCCTAATTCCTCTAGTAACACAGTAACAAGTTACACACCCCCTCCCACTACAATCCACATAGTCATGGCCAACTCAACCCTCTGCATTCTCGGCTGCGGTAAGTCTCTCCCTCGCATCCACACCAAAAATGACCTCATCCCCTCCTAGGCAACCTGGGCACATCCATCTTAACCAGTCTCCTCCACGCCCCGCCCGCTACTACCGCGGAGAATGCGCTACCATTCACCCACTACGTCGCCTGCGTCCGCAGCGCCACCTCCTCGCAGCGCCTGACCCAGCGGTTCCCGCAGCACTCCCAGCTCACCGTCGAGCGGGACCCCGTGGCCGCCGTGACCGCCGCCGACGTGGTCATCCTGGCCATCGACCCGGCCGATATCCAGCAGGCATTATCCCAGCCGGCGCTAGCACAGGCCTTGAAATCGAAACTCCTGGTCAGCGTGGCGGCCGGGTGGACGACCGCGCAGCTGCACGAGACCCTCGGCGACTCGACCCGAGAGATGCGCATCGTGCGCACGCTGCCTAACATCGCGGCGCAGGTCTCGGAATCGCTCACCGCTATTGAAGTGTCCCCTTCATCTTCTTCCACGGAAGACGAAGTGACACTCAACCTGGTCGAGCAAATCTTCACCCGCGTCGGCAAGACTATCCGCGTGGGCCCGTCGCAGATCGACGCCATCACGGCCGTGGGTGGATCGACGCCCGCTTTCTTTGCTATTATCTGCGACGCCCTGATCGACGCCGCCGTGGCTACGGGGGTGCCGCGCGATGTTGCTGGTATGGCGGTCGTGCAGGCCATGAAGGGCAGCGCGGCCATGATGCAAGAGGGGGGATTGAGTCCCGCCGAGTTGCGCGACCAGGGCACTTCGCCGGCGGGATGTACGATGGCGGGCGTGATGGCGTTGGAGGAGGGGAGTCTTCGGGGGGTGCTGGGACGGGGAATGCGAGAGGCGGTGGGGAGGGCGAGGGGGATGGGAGATCGTGATTGATTTTCTTGCTCTCTCGTTTGGAATTGGAGTATTTAGTATAGACATGACAATGGCGAATGAGTATGACATTGTGAACCCTGTTCATAGTCGTGACTTAATCGATCTTCTTTCGTATGAGCTTAGGACTTGGGATGTACAGCTGGTACCAATACAATGGAGGATATAAGAAGTCCATAATCGTAACTCTATATACATACAATCAAACAGAAATCTAAGCAAAAAACAACCTCAACTCCGTATTCACCAAACAACCCACCCCAAACGCCGGAATAATCCTCAAACACCGTCCCACCGTCGTCGAGAGCACATGCTTCCGAACAAACGCCATCCTCTCGGCCCAGCTGGCCGTCGGCCTTGAGAAACTATCCAGCCCGACCAGATGCACCGGCGTGGCGACGACCTGCGATAACACGGGGATGACCATTTGCGCGATGATGGTCGCTTTCTGCGAGATTTCATGCGGATGCGCTTCCCCCTTTATCTTCATCGCGAGGTCCTCGCGGGTCTCGCTCGACGCGGAGTCCAACATCCCCGACGTGGACAGGTACTCTGCGCAGCGCGGCGCCAACGTGAACGAGGCGACGATGGTGATGACGTCGCGTAGAAAAAAGGCCCCCGTGGCGAGACGGCCTCCTCCTACACCTGGTTTCCGTGTGCCCGATCGCATGCCCATCTTCGAGATCTCCTTCCCGACGACTTCCTTGGACACCGTGGAGACGGCCTCTTGCGCCGTCTTTGCTGCCGTCGTCACCGCCGTCGCACCCCCCGCGAACAGCTGCGCAAATCGTAGATCTTTCCAAATCCCTAGCGGCACGTTCACGGCGACGGTCGTGGCGCTGGCTAGTAGGGCGGCATGCTGGTATTGCACTTGCGACGACAGCGAGTCGCCGGTATTAGCGACGGTGTAGGTGGTCGCGTAGAGGGTCCAGACGATTCCGAGGGGACGGGCGAAGGAGACGGGGGGTTTGGGTTTTGCGGGGAGAGAGGGGGAGTTATTCTTAGGGATGAGAGACTTGTCTAGCTACTGGTTAGTCGGTGTATAGCGTAGTGTATACACTAGAGGTAGGGAAGTTAGGGTTACCGATCAGAGCGATGACGGGCGAAATCAACGAGGCGGAGATGGAGGCCGCGGCGAGATCGGGCCAGAGGGAGGTCATTCTGCTGGTTTTGTTTTGACGGGGAAGTTTTCCTCGGGGTACTTCCTGTCGTTTATCTTTTTATTATCTTATTTGATCATATCTGCATGTATACACCGAGCTTCTCTCCATTTTGTGGGGATCGGCTCTCCTCCCGAGTCGGATGCCTCCCCGGCCTTTGTTACGTCGTTGCGCCGCGGTTTGCTGCAGGATAAAAGGCTGGTGGTGCAGCTGTTGGAGCTTCATTTTTGTTACTTTCTACACTTACACACTTTCATCTCATCTCTCTTCCTCTTCTCCTTTACCTTCACCTTACCTACACATCATGGCCAGCAGACTCATTGCTCGTCCCCGAGTTCTCCCCGCTCGGGCACTGCAGTCGCAGACTCGGGGCAAAGTGACGGCGCCTTTCCGTCTGCCCGCCGCGCGCAACGAGCCCAACGTGAGTTATCCACCTTAAACAATTGGAGTGAGACAATAGCCATTGATTGACTTTGATAGCCCACATACACCCGCGGCTCCCCCGAACGCGCCAAGGTCGAAGCGGCCCTCAAGGACCTGCGCGCCCGCCTGCCCGTCACCAGCAACGTCGTCTACAGCAACAAGGTGCAGGCCACCGCGCAGTCGACCTCGCAGCCCCTGCCGGCCGAGCACGCCGTGCAGTTCACCAACTACCCCCATGCCTCTCCGGAGCAGGTGGCCTCGGCCATCGACGCCGCCCTCGAGGCCAAGCAGAGCTGGCAGGACACGCCGTTCGTCGACCGTGCCGCCATCTTCATGCGCGCCGCCGAGCTGGCCACCACCAAGTACCGCTACGAGCTGATCGCCGCGACGATGCTGGGACAGGGCAAGAATGTCTGGCAGGGTGAGATTGACGCGGCCGCCGAACTGGCGGATTTCTTCCGTCTGAACTGCCATTATGCGGCGGAGATTTTGGAGAAGCAGCCTGATCGGGGAACGGATGGCATGTGGAGGTATTTCTTTCCCTAGATCTTATTCTGAAGAGGGTAGAGGAGGTGTGCTAACGAGAACAGTCGCGTGGATTACCGCCCCCTGGAAGGTTTCGTCTACGCCGTCTCCCCCTTCAACTTCACTGCCCTCGGCGGCAGTCTCGTCTCCGGACCCGCTCTGATGGGCAACGTCGTGCTCTGGAAGCCCTCGCCCGCCGGCATCTACGCCAGCACGATCGTGCACCGCATCCTGCGCGAGGCCGGTCTCCCCGCGGACGTGATCCAGCTGGTGCCCGGTGACGCGGAGGAAGTGACCAACGTGGCGCTGTCGCACCGCGAGTTCGCCGGTCTGAACTTCATCGGTTCGTCGGCCGTGTTCCGCCAGCTGTACGGCCGCGTGGCCCAGGGCATCGCAGCCAACACCTACCGCGAGTTCCCCCGCGTGGTGGGCGAGACCAGCGGCAAGAACTTCCACCTGGTGCACCCGTCGGCGGACATCACCAACGCCGTCAACCACACCATCCGCGGCGCCTTTGAGTACCAGGGCCAGAAGTGCAGCGCCACCTCGCGGCTGTACCTGCCTGCGTCCAAGGCCGACGAGTTCCTGACCCAGCTCAAGGCCGGCGTCGAGCGCATCACCATCGGCAACCCGGACAAGGACATGGGCGCGTTCATGGGCCCCGTCATCCACCGCGGCTCGTTCGAGCGCATCCGCCAGGTCATCGACGAGAGCAACGCCGACTCGTCGCTGAAGACGCTGGTGGGCGGCACCTACGACGACTCGGTGGGCTTCTACGTGCAGCCGACCGTGTACCAGGCGTCGTCGCCGGACCACGCGCTCTTCGAGAAGGAGATCTTCGGCCCCGTGCTGGCCGTCTACGTCTACCCGGACGCGGAGTGGAGCGGGCTCCTGAAGACGGTGGACCAGTCGGGCGGCGGGTTCGCGCTGACGGGCGCCATCTTCGCGCAGGACCGGAAAGCGCTGCGCGAGGCGGAGGACAAGCTGCGGTATTCCGCGGGCAACCTGTACCTGAACTGCAAGACGACGGCGGCGCTGATCGGACAGCAGTCGTTTGGTGGTGCCAGGAACAGCGGTACCAATGACCGCGCGGGCAGCTCGGATCTGCTGCGTCGGTTCACCAGTCCGAGATTGATCAAGGAGGAGTATTTCGAGATTGACGGGTTTGAGTACCCGAGCAATCAGTAAATGTACTATTTCTCATGTCATGTCATGTCATACGATTGTCGTTAGTTAGTTTGTTCTTGTTATCAAAATGAAATCTAGAGCTATCTGAAGCTGTCTAGTCGGAGTAGACGAAACTAGGGCTAAGCAGACTCGGGAAGCCTCCCGGTGCGGAGAGTCTTCCGATCTCCAACTTGCAGCTCCATTCAGAAGTAAAGAGCTGTAGACAAGATATAAAGACATCTCTCTCCCTGTAACCAATTCACAATAATTCCAAGTCAGAACTCTCTCATTCGAAACAAGAACACTATCACCATGGCCCCTCCCATCATCATCGTCGGCGCCGGCGCATTCGGCCTGTCCACGGCGCTGCATCTCTCGCAGAAAGTGTCTCCCGGCGAGATTCTCGTGCTGGAGCAGGACACGCAGATGCCGCCGCGGTCGTCGGCTGCGAATGATTTGAATAAGATTGTGCGGGCGGAATATGAGGATCCGTTTTATACGGATTTGACTTTGGTATTTCTCTCTCTCTCTCCCATTCTCTCAATTACATTCTCTCTGCCTTCCCCGCATCGCAATGAATCTATACTCCACATCCCCACCAAACCACCCAACATGGCTACTAATTACCAAATGCAATTGCTAACTGCTACCTCTACTCTAGAAAGCCATCTCCGCCTGGTCCGAAGGCCCCTTCGCCGGCCACTTCCACCAAACCGGATTCCTGCACTGCGTCTCCAGCAAAGCCCCCCAACCTGCCATCGACACCTTGAACCGATTCCGCGCGTCCGCCGACTCGCACGCCGCCATCCACCCCCACGTCGTCTCCCTGGGGCACGACGATGCCGCGAAACCCCACCTCATGGGCCCCTACCGCGGCGCCATGCCCGGCTGGCACGGCTACCTGAACAAACTCGACGGATGGTGCCACTCCGCCAAAGCCCTGGTCGCGGTGTACGAGGCGGTCCGCAAGGCAGGCGTACCGGTGTGGTTAGGCGCGGGGGTTCAGGAACTAGTCTATGAATCCGCAGGCAGCACCAGCAAGGGGGCAGCAGGCAAGAAATGCACCGGCGTGAAACTCACCTCCGGCGGCTTCCTCCCCGCGCGTCAAGTCATCGTCACCGCCGGCGCCGGCGTCTCCCCTCTCCTCCCTGCCCTGAACCGCCAAATCACCGCAAAGGCCTGGTCCGTGGCACACATCCAGCTCACGCCCACCGAGGCGGCCCAGCTCCGGGGTCTGCCCGTGACGTACGCGCGCGATCTCGGCTTCTTCTTCGAGCCCGACACGGACGACAATCTCCTGAAAATGTGTCCGATGGGCGGAGGGATCGTGAACACGGACAGTGCCACGGGCGTCTCACGCCCGGACTATGAGCCATTCCTGCCGCGCGAAGACCAAGCGAAGATGCGGGCGTTGCTGCGCCAGACATTTCCCGATCTGGCGGATCGGCCGTTCGTGAGGCCCATGCTGTGCTGGTTCGCGGATACGAAGGATAGTGATTTCATTGTGGATTATGTGCCGGGGAGTGAGGAGAGCGTGGTGGTTGTTTCTGGGGATTCGGGGCATGGGATGAAGTTGTTTCCGTTGGTCGGGGAGTGGGTGGTTGATTTGCTTGGGGGGAAGAAGGTGGAGAGATGGGCGTGGAAGGAACAGCAGGAAGGGGAGTGGAAGGGCGAGAGTAGTTGGCGGTTGGGCAGTTCGATGGAGTTGAGGGATTTGAAGAAGGAGGGAAGGGGGAATAAGTTGTAGATTTCATCTCTGTTGATGTTTGTTTATGTGGATTATGTGGTTGTTGGATTAGAATGAATACATGTTTGTCTTTTTCTCTCTTATGGATTCTGCTCTCATTGAACATGACTATCATATGACACTGATTGTATGTGGATTAGAATACATCTTACTCTAGACTATGCTCTCCTAACATGTACTTGACATGGACAAATATCAACATTGCTGTTGATATTGATCGAATTGATAGACATGATATTGACAACAGACAAAATGCTAGACATAAGACATCGTTCATACCATACATAAACCCAATCTGCATCCATGAATACATCACTCTACATCACCAAATACTATTCTCCGTCACCGCATGCGCTATCCAATCCACATCCCCCGTATCGATTGACTCCGCCACTGCCAGAATCTCCGCCGTCGTCAATCCCTCCGGCATCCCGCACTCCATCTGCGGCGACGGCATGCCCGTCTCGTCGTCCAACTGTCCCAGCGTCCCTCGCAGCTGCTCCAGCTCTCCACGATGGAACGCTGCAATACGATTACCGCGCGCCACCATCTCATCCAGGATCGGCGCCCCGCGGTCCTGCCAGCTGGGCCCCGGGTCGAGCAGTCCGGCCGTCGCGGGTCCGGCAGCCAGCAGAATGACGCTGGAGACGAACGTTGATTCGAGGTCGAAGGGGAGGAAGCTATCTGTTCAGGATTTCTATCAGTTCGATTGCTTTCTTTCACACCACGAAGGGGAGAAGTACCGAGGAGGTTCTGTTCGTGTAGACTCGCGAGGATATTCAGCATCTGTTGCGCCGAATCCAGACACATTTGCAGCAGCTTGCGCACCGTCGGCGACGATTGAAGCGCCATGCAGCGCTCAGGAGACTGAAGACGGATTTTAAGAGCGCAGAACAGTAACGGTCGGGTGGCCAGGACGATGCACTGATCCGTTAGGCATGTCTTTCTCAAAGCATTAGGGAAAATACCTGATGGTAAAGCAGATGTAGATGCGCCGACAGCCTCGAAACCCCGCTGATCGATGCCTCCTCCAGCCGCAGGTCGTGTGACTGTCGCAGCTCGTTCGCTAGATCCGCCGTGCTGGCCAGCGCCGTTTTGGTGCGCACCAGGAATTTCCGATTTAACCGACCGTCAGGCCCGTATACCGCTGGTCATGGTCAGCAACACACCTTAGACAGACACCGACAACAGACTTACTGCGGTTGATCTCCGCGATGATCTGACACATCTTGATCTGCATGCTCAGCGCCGCCGCCCGCTGCGGCGATCCTGGGTACGACGGCATCAGATCATACACCTGGTCGTCCTGGATGGACTGTGGCAGCCCCATCAGCGAGGTCATCTGCCGGTCCAGGATATAGATCGTCCACCAGATGCGGCGACATCGCTGCACGGTAGCGTACCCGAGATGCTCCGGCATGTTGGTGTGCATTCCCTGCGCCAGGGCTATCCGCAGGGCTTGTCCGATCTATCCGATTAGCTTCTAGTCGACGAAGATGATTATGAGTCCAAACATACATAGTCATATGCGCAGTTCCGAAAGTCCATCGACTGCAGATACAACGCTATACAGCAGAGGATCTCCGTGGCGACGATGGGATCACGAGACAGCCGCGTCGTATCAGGCAGCAGCTGCAACGCCTTGACGAAGAACTCACACCCCGGCGGACGACCGTCCTGCGCCTTTTGCACGACAAAAGCCTTACCGAAGCCCAGGATGAGCAGGTAGTGGATGTACCAGAGCCCCGACGTAGCCATCTGCCGGTGCGGGTCCTCGTGGAAGGCATACAGCCCGCCCATAAAGGTCTCCTCATCGAACAGATGGAACAGCTGGCCGGCGTGGAACTTGACGGCCGTGATGAGGTACAGGGAGAAGTCGAGGGTCGGGGCCATGGGCAGTTCCGGAATGCCCAGTCGCATCCCGTCCCATCCCAGATCATACGCGGTCCCATCAAAGTTCAGACTCCCCGTGGGCAGTGAGGACTGATAGAGGTGCTCGTGGGTCATACTGAGGATCTTGCGGGCAAAAGACCAGTTGGAGGACGTTCCTAGATAGACTGGACGGTGAGCTGCATTTCTACGAGGGGTTACAACGGCAGGAAGAGACTTACAGGTCCGGCCGGTGGCCGACGTCATGAAGGTCGACGGCCCGCTGGATAGGGGGTTGGTCAAGTCGGTGGTTTCGATATTCGGCGGTTCAGTGAGAATGGTTTCTAAAAGAAGGTGAGTATGTCAGACTGAAAGGGCAAGAACGTTACATACCATCATCAGGAATCGGGTCGGGTTCGTGACTCTGCGGGCTAAAGATCTCATCGCCGCGTTCTAACTGGGCGACGCGAGCCTGGAGATCCTCGATGTACCCCCTGGTTACCAAGACTTTCTGCTCACGGTCATCAAAGGTACAGGTTAATTTGCGTTTGTTGCACGTGCTACAAGGCAGCGAACCCGAGCATTTGATCTTCTGGCGACGACACCGTTGGCAGCTTCATTTGCAAACGACAAGGATAATTAGCGGTGAGGAAGAAACCGGGAGAAGAGTAGAACAAAAGCCACGTACGCATTGGATGACCGCTTCTTGACCCTGCGTGATGCCTCCATGGCTCTGGAACGATGAATGAGAGTCATTGTTGCGACCGAACACTTCGAGATGGCGATGAAGCCATTGAGCGGCGGCGATGGGAAGAATGCGGGGTTGGCGATAGACCGTCTCCGCAGTGGGTCGGTCGCTGCGTCTTATCTCGTGTTACTTGATAGTTACTTCGCTTGTCTTTGGTCCTTGGGTCAAGATTGTAGGACCGGGTTCGTATCCGGTCGCCAGATCTCCACGTCCTGCAACGTCGGGGGGCTGACCGAGATAGCAAGGAGATAATGCGTAGTCGGCGATCCAAACCTTGGCCGTGGTCCAGGATGCGTTGGCGTCACTAAAGATAGCCGAGATGGCCATGGCGTAAAGCCCCTTCCGGGGAAAAATAGATTGCGCTGCCGGCTGATGAGGGATTGACATTTTGGCAACGTGGAGAGTCGATCTTCCAAGACATTTTGCGGGGAGTCATCACCTGACAGGTCAGGACACGCTGTCTTTAGTCTTCCCTTGATTGTTTTTGTTTGTTCCTGTTGTCTTACATAATAAGCTGTTTGTTTGTTTGTTGGTCACAAATAAGAATATATATCAGTGCATTCGAGCGATTGACAGAGGGAAGAAGTTGGATTCAAGATACTCTAGTAGTAATAGAGGACTTGATGATGCAATTTTAGCTCCAAATTTGCATGATAACCCTCAACTACGTTCTATAGTATCAATACTACCGAAAATGTCACCAAAGATTTTATTTATACAAAGCAAAGCTAATTATAACTAGGACATGCTCGATCATTCTCTCAAGTTGACTGCCGTGAATCCGGTCCAGTGCCAGTCCACAACATCCCCCAATGGAGATAACAGTCAGACTCGTCGGTCTTCGACATATACCTCAGGACGCCCACGATCTCTTCCATCGATAAAGACACTGCCACTGGCAAAATGACCACCCCCGCCTCGTCTAACCTCGTAGTAGACGATCCGGGGTTGAGGGAGGCCGTTACGGTTCAGTTCATCGGCGGCGGTGTCCCGGTGATTCGGCAATGCCATTCGACCCTGGTACAGAGGCACAACAATATAAGTCCTACTGTGACTATGCGGGAGAGATTGATAATAACGGTAGTACTCGTCCACAAAGTCGTCCATTCTGTTGCGCACGTTATTCAAACCGGCACGCGGGTCCCGAGTCGGGTAGGGAAGGGGGGGAATGTGGGCGAGCACGGCGGCCCAATCCGAGACCATCAGAACTACAAGTCCACCGTTGAGGTTACTGGTCCCGATAGAGTTCATCCGATGGGTTCGGGAGAATTGCATGGCTACCACCCGATTTGGGTACACTTGGACTGCCTCTTGCATATGCAGCGCGTCTTGGAAACGCGAGGTGCGATAGTCACCCGAACGGCGGCGATAGTCAGGCATGATGGACGGTGGTAGATGAGGTGAGTCTTCGAGGCTTTCATCTGATGTCGACCTGGCAGTGCATCATGCGATTGAGTATGGAGTGTCATCTTACTTTTATGCACCATGGTAGGAGAGGCAAACAGGGATCCTGGATATCCAGCCAGACAGCATCTTCCGGAATGAAGTGAAGAAGTAGCTTTGTTCCGGTAGAAGATATCAGGGGTTGGATTTGCGTGGAGGACAACGTAAAAGTCCGATATCCCTGCCGATGGCCAGCACCGGTGAGTTGGTAGCCTGCCTGTTTGAATGCATTGCTCGAATATCAGCTCCATACTTGGAAGTTTCTGTTGGAGTTAGCTAGGTAGATGAAATTGATAAAAGATGTCGTATACTGCTATACGGAAGAATCCCTTTTGGTGAGCTAGTTGTATGATATGCTTCCTGTCAAGGAAGATACCGGGATTTGAATAAGGACTGCCTTATCGAGGGTAGTTCCCGTGTGTTGGTCGACATATTGATAGAGCGACCTTCCTGATGATGCTTGCCTGAACGGTAGGAGAGAGGAAGTGCCTCAGGTATGCAGGTATTCAGGCACCTTGCTGCCTCAGGTGTACCTCTTACCCGAAAGAGCACTAGCGGATGACGACATCGCCGTCCTGTCCCATCCACCAATCAGGTCAATCCAAGTGGGCCCATCCAGCTGCAGTCCCGTGATTTGACTCTGGGGAAGACCGACAATTCGTGATTCTTCTTCTTCTGCCATCTTCATTCCTTCATTCCTGCATTCCTCATTCATCCTCTCCTTGATCCCCTTTTCACGACCATTGTCTCTTCTTCCCGTCTGCATTGGTGTTGCCATCCACCTCCCGTTGAACTCGCCGTGTCTCTGACTCACTTCCCGTCCCGTCCCCGCAGCGATGTCGGCCTCAGGATCCGGTGCGCCTCTAAAGAAGGCTTATCCTCACGTCGACCTCGAGGGCCACAATCTCCCTCCTTCGCCGGCTCCGTCCAGTCCGCATGCCGGTAGACGCTATAACATCGCGACGGAGTTGGTCTACACCGATAGCAATGACCAGTACAACGCCAGCAGCGTTCCCATCTACCAGGTATGTCCGCATGATATGAATGGGCACCGATTGCCTGGAAATTCTTTCCAGGTCGATCTCGGTCGGCCATCTAATCGTCATATTAATTGTGCTTGAATAGAGCGCTACCTTCAAGCAAACGTCCGGCGACGGCGGCGGCGAATATGACTACACCCGCTCCGGAAACCCCACGAGAACGCACCTGGAACGGCACCTGGCCAAGGTCATGTCGGCCCAGCGGGCTCTCGTCGTCTCCTCCGGTATGGCCGCGTTGGATGTGATCACCCGACTTCTGCGTCCCGGCGACGAGGTGGTAACTGGCGACGATCTCTACGGCGGCACGAACCGCCTTCTCAAGTACCTGTCCACGAACGGTGGAATCGTCGTGCATCACGTCGACACCACGCGGCCGGAGAAGGTGCGCGAGGTCCTGAGCGAGAAGACTACCATGGTCCTGCTGGAGACGCCGACCAACCCGCTCATCAAGGTGGTCGACATCCCGCAGATCGCCGCGGCGGCCCACGAGGCCAACCCCGCCTCCCTAGTCGTGGCGGATAACACCATGATGTCGTTCCTTCTCAACCCCTTGGAGCTGGGGGCGGATATCGTGTACGAGAGCGGAACCAAATATTTGTCGGGCCACCACGACCTGATGGCGGGCGTGATCGCCGTCAACGACCAGAAGCTGGGCGAGCGACTGTACTTCCCCATCAACGCGTCCGGCTGCGGACTGTCGCCCTTCGATTCGTGGCTGCTGATGCGCGGCGTGAAGACCCTCAAGGTGCGCATGGACCAGCAGCAGTCCAACGCGCAACGCATCGCCGAGTTCCTCGAGTCGCACGGCTTCAAGGTGCGCTACCCTGGTCTGCGGTCGCACCCGCAGTACGACCTGCATCACTCCATGGCTCGCGGATCCGGGGCGGTTCTCTCGTTCGAGACAGGCGACGTAGGCGTGAGCGAGCGGATCGTCGAGAGCGCCAAGCTCTGGGCAATCAGTGTCAGTTTCGGGTGTGTGAACAGCTTGATCAGTATGCCCTGTCGCATGAGTCATGCCAGCATCGACGCGAAGACGCGGGCGGAGCGCGCGATGCCGGAGGATCTCATCCGACTTTGCGTGGGCATTGAGGATGCGGATGACTTGATTGATGATTTGCAGCGAGCGGTAAGTTCTAATCTAGAGGTCAGATTGGCATGGATGCAGGCTAACGTGTTGACAGTTGGTGCAAGCCGGAGCCGTCAACGTGACGCTGGATGATTTCCAGGCAAACACGACTGTTTAACGGGCGATGTATAGACGATTGGGATTAACGGCGTTGGGCGAACAGCAGAAAAGAAGTCTTTATATATCGTACATACAATTTATTTTCATATTCTCCTATACTCCCAGCTTGTTCTGGACTGTAGAGGGATATACGCTCAGCCGCGGCCAATCAGAGGCGGCTGATTGATCCGGCATCGGAGCGACTCCGGCTTATTCTCGTCCGTCATTTTTGTGATCTCATTTCCTTCTTTCTGTCAGTCCTTCTTTGTATTCTGCTTTTTCGTTTTTCGTTTTTCTTCTGGTTATTCTTCCTTGTATAGACAATGCCCCAAAATGCCCTCTCAGACACCCCCGTCGTACCTGCCCTCTCGCCCAGCTGGAACACTCGCCAGCTGGGATCGCGCTTTGGCGTCGACGTCGCCAGCGCCGCTACGGCTGGAGCTTTGACGTGTCCAGCCATCACCGTCATCGACCGGTATCTATCCTCGACTCCAGAATGTTGATTTACAAAGTCAATAACAGAAACTAACGCTTTGTTCTGTCAGTGCCATCATCGAAAAAGCTGCCAAAGGCATCCCTATCCGTCAGACCATCACCTCGTGCTTCCGATCCATGATCTCCCATCCCGGCGGCTTCTTCCTCAGCACCCCTTTCCTGCTCATCTACACCCTTTACACCTCGACCTACCTGACCGCCAACGCCATTGACACCGTCACCTCGACCCTGCGCAACCAGTCTTTCTCGACAGTGTTCCCCGGGACCGCCAAGTTCATCACCACGACCACTGTAAACATGGGGATATGCGTCTACAAAGACGCGCGATTTGCTAAGATATTCGGCGCCAATCCTCCTCCTTCATTGTCCCCGTCCACTGGACAGTCGTCGTCGCAACCCCAGTCGCCTCCCCAACCGCGCATCCCCCAACAATCACCGGCCTCCTGCCACCCCCCGGCCAACAGCACGACCAAGGTGCCCCGGACCTCGTTCGCGCTGTTCTGCCTGCGCGACAGCATCACGATCTTCGCATCCTTCAATGTCCCGGCGCTCGTCAGCCCCTGGATTCCCGACGTCGTGGCATCCTCGCCACGCGCCAAATCCACCATGGCGCAGTTCGCCTGTCCGGCGCTGATGCAGTTCGCTAGTACCCCTATGCACCTGCTCGGTCTGGATCTGTATAACCGGCAGGACGCCCGGCTGGGGTGGCGGGAGCGAGCGTTGCGCATCCGGCGCGATTACGTGCCCAGTTGCTTCGCGCGCATGGGCAAGATTGTGCCGGCGTACGGGGTAGGCGGGGTGGCAAACGTGCGGTTGAGAGAATGGGGGATGAATTTGCTGGAGGGGAAATAATGCCCTTTCCTTTCTCGCGTTTGACCTCCAATGCACTATTTGGGTGTAGGCGATCGGGGTGCGACGATGATGATGACAGGTGTGGTTGGTGAGTTGGTGATTCAAACTCTCTACTCTTTTTCTTACATTTCGTTTCACATATTCTGGGATCTAGGGATTGGGTTAATGGCGTTTAGACATGACTTGACATGGTTTGGCGTTGGTGGGTGCATATATTCATTTCCATTGCTTCCCTTCGGGTTCAAGTACTTTATATAGTACCGTCTTACTTGGCACAGCACAGAGCATAGGTAATCAGTCATGAGATAGATTAATAGAATCTAGACGAGGTATCTCATCATACCATGTATCATATCGGATCATATTCACACATCCTCTTTATTCATAGAATGCCTCATCCCTTACTACATAGAAACCACATATATACTATGCAAGATGAAGAAATGATCACCACGAAAACGTCTCCGTATGCAAAATCACATCTCCCCCATCCCCTCGTCCCTGCGCATCCGCCGCTGCATTCGTGACATCAAACAGCATCGACGCCGGTCCGCACGCATAAATCGCCACCTTCCTGTTCTTCTGCTGCAAGACCTCTGCGATCCGCGCCGCAAGTTTCGGCCGTCCGGCGTAGAACAGCCCCGTCTGTGTCTGCGTCTCGCGATTCATTCGCCTCCCTGTGTCTTTCCTGTAGGTATTGTCGTCCGTCGCGAGGAGCTCGATGTCGGGTTCTACCTCTTTGTCTCTTCCTAGGTCTGGTTCTCCGGTTCCGGTTCCATCACCCTGGGTCTGTTTCTGGGTCTGTTTGCCCTGATAAAGAGACGACGAAGATGATGAAGAGGGAGAGGCAGAAGAGGAGACAGAAGTATCATGAATGTCCACAACCACGTTTCCCTCGTGCTTCAACTCCCCTGACGAACCAGTGGACGGTGATGATGATGAAATCAAAGCCTCACTCTCCTCCCGAAACCACCGCGCCATGGCCGTCGACCGACACGCAAACACCACTTTCACCGTTCCATTCGCTCGTCCGCAAGATGAAGACCTCAACCTCAACGTCTCAGCTAGCATACCCAATGCGAATCCGCCGCCTGAACCACCTGCCACAATCACCACGCTATCAGTATCAGTGTCAGCATGAGCATGAGTATCACCTCGCCCCGCACTCCCAATCCCAACCGCAGTCCCACCATACGGCCCTTCCAAAAGCACTGTACACCTCCAACCCCCACCCGTCGCATGCCTCGCCAACGCATCCAACCGTGCCGTGAGGCCGTTATGCGGACGAACGAAGAACACCAACTGCGAGGGCTTCCCCAGCGCATCCGGGTCATGGGCCAGCGAGGCGATGGTGAACGGGTGCGCGGTGAGAGCGTGCAGGCCGAGTTTGCTCGGGGCGAGGAAGCGCAGGAAGAGGTGTTGTCCCGGGTGCCAGGTCGTGAGCGTGACGGTGGGGATTGTGATGCGGAGGAGGCCGCAGGGGAGGGGGGTGATGGTTGCCATGTGCCGGCCGTGAATGAGGTGCGTGCGGATTTGAGCGGAGAGGAGGGAGAGAATGTAGATTGCGCCAGTGGCGATGAAGTAGTCCCTTTTGGTTCATCTGTGGTTAGAGTGGGAGATGCTGGGTAGAAGATATATGAGGTAGGTGGATGGGACATACCACGAAGAGAGACGAAAGTCACAATGCAGGAAGAAGAACAGGATAAAGACGAGAGCGGCGAGGAGGTGCGTGGCTTTGAAGAACTCGTAGTATCGATTCCTGTTTCACTCTTAGCCCTGACGAACTATCCCATACAGACTTCCTAGATGATAGATGAGTTCAAAGAAAGCCAACATACCGAATTGAAGGCAACGACATAACCGTCAAATAAGCCTGAAAGATCAACGCCACAACGCCCGTCCAGTAGGCAATGCTCGTGTTATACTGCTTGACCATATCGCCCTTCCAGATATGGAAGATGATGAAGGGGAACGTGTGGATGAGAGCCAGCACGAACATGGCGTAGCTGGTCCAGTGATGGAAGACCTAGTTATGCCATTACCAGGAGTCAGCCAGTCCTAGTGGCCAAGATGCTTGTACCATATCAACATACCTGCAGCTTCTCATGCGATACGCCCGTCAACGCTGATATGAGATTGGCTTTCGTGCTCAGAGCCCTAGACAGCATCAGCATCCATCATCATACCTCTATCCCCTATCCTCAGGATCAACTCACAGCACAAACGGCAACAAAGCCAACGCCATCCACCCCGTCCTCGTCGCAATCGGCGGACTACTTCCATACGAGAGTTCCCTCGTATTCGGCCAGTAGTAGGGCTTCGGACCCAAAGTCATCGCTAGTAGGTAACTCAAGTCAACACCCAAACCAAACAACACACGCATAACAAGAACACCACCCCCTGGGTAAACAAACCAGCAAAAAACACCAACCCCACACATCCCAACCCAATCACGCCCAACGAAGGCGACCAGTACCGCAAAACAGGTACTCGAAAGGATCTATACGAAAGATAGCGGCCCGTCGCGGTGGCCTTTCGCCAGGGAGAACTCCGCCTGAGGGAGCTCGGGGCGTAGAGAGAGAGGAAATGTAAGATGGTGAATAGGCCGACCGTGGCGATTAAGAAGTAGACGGTGTTAAGCGCGTAGACGTGGTCTGCTTCGTACCTGTTCTCGTCCTCTCGTTTCCCCTTCGTTAGTTTTGCTGGCTTGTTCTGTAGGGTATTGACAGGGAGGAGGAGAATGAAGCATACCAGTATCGCCAGTGTCCAGACCGATATGCACATTGCTCTGGAGTCAGTTCGCACTCGTCTGCCCGCGACGAATGTAGCCAGACCGGTTGGTCCAGCCATGGGAGGCCGGACCCCGATTCGTCCGCATGGTCCATATGCATTGTTGATGGCCGTCTGTCGTCTCCGGACTTCGAGAGGGTCGGCCATACAGGGCATCAGGCACGGGTCGTGTAGAATAAAAGGCAGGATAGACGGTCTAACGAATCGTGTCATTGTGATAGACAGCCGTGCTGATTGGCCGAGGGCTGCTCGCAATTGAGCAGATTTCTGGAAAGGTGAAAACGAGCTAACAGAGAGCTAAAAAAGGGCTAACAGAGGGTATGAGCACATTTGCGTGCATTCTGCAGGGGGAACGGGATCATTGCCAAGATGTCATTCAGTTACTATAACCTAATGGGGAATAAAGATATTCACTCATCATTCGTCTCTGCCGCTGCCACTGCTGTGGGTACTAGTTACTCTGCAGCGACACCATGGCAGACACTGGCATGGGATACGACGCCTGCTCCGATCCCTCTCCACTATCGCCCCATATGCCGTGGTCGTGCAGGGCCTGATACCCTCCCCGGAGACTGTCCGCCTCGATCCCCTTGGCCCGCAGCACGCTGGTGGCCACTCGGGCCGTGTCTCCATTGTAGCAAATCACCAACACATGATGGCCTTGCAGGGTGCTAACCACGTTCGCCTGGGCGTCCGTGAACAAGGCCTCTAGCTCCCGCCATTGATTCTCAAGCACCGTTGGGTCAGAGAACGGTTTGGGAGTGTGCGAGTCTAGATTCTGCAAAGGGATGTTCACCGATCCCGGCAGATGCCAGGCGGAGAAATCCACCGCGGTTCTCAGGTCGAGAACGCAGCACGCTGGCCGCAAGGCCATGCTGCTCAGCAAGCTCTGCGTCAGCGCCTTGGGAGGTTCATAAAAATGAGTGAAAAGAACCACCGGGCTTCGCTCCCAGCTCTCGTCGTATCGGTAGAGATCCACCTTGGTGAGGTGCTGGACAGGAGATCGATTAGCATCAGCAGCTACAACAGACATGGAAGAACGTACCTCATTCTGAATGGGGTGGAATTTATCCGCCCCAAGAATACTAAAGTACTCGCCAATGTACTGATACGGCAAGTCGCAACACAGAAACACGCAGTGGACGGCACCATCAGGCCCTGTCAACTCCGACAGCGTGCCGGCAGCCTGACGCTTTTCAATCATCTGGAAGAGTCCCTTCAAGTTGAATCCCGAAGAAGGTCCACACACGATGCCCTCCCGGCACAAATCCAAGGACAGAGAGAACGAGTCAAAGGAGTTCACTTCCTCGATCACGTCGACCGCAGACTTCCAAGGAAACTCGACGGGCTTCATGAGAGCAAAGGATCTTGGACCAGGTACCCGGTCTCCCGGGGCAGTGCAAACTCCCAGCCGGAGCACAGATGGCTTGATGTCCTTGAAGTATGTCCCTAGACCCGTCATCGTTCCGGATGTGCCCATGCCCGCGCAGAGCACGGTGATCTCTGGTAGCTGCTTGTATATCTGTGGCCCTGTCCAACGGATATGGGACTGCCAGTTGTCATCATTCTCGTACTGGTTGGGGTTGAGGATCTGTTCGGACCGCAATGACTGATTCCGGGCACTCTGGATGCCGCCTCGTTCGTCGAAGGGCTCGGGTTGCGAGGGGCCGCCAAACAGCGTGATGTTGAGGCCGAAGAACTGCATCAGTCTCAGCTTGGCCTCGCTGGTCTTGTTACTCAGGAAAGCACGTGTGTCATTGATGCCATGCATGACCCGAGCGATCATTGACATTGAGATCACTGTGGAGCCGGAGCTATACTCGATGATGGTATTCGTTTTCCCGGGCACCACACTGGATTCGAGCATATTCATAGCTATGGGCCGCTAGATTAGTAGGACGCAATTGAACGCTCCGACAGGTACATACCGGGCATTGCTTTAACATTATTGGCCGGGTGCATGGTCATCATCTTCGCATAGATGCGTACACCATCCTTACGATAAGGGTTCAGATGCTCCGGCAGCTCAACCAATGGTAGAGGGGGCTGTGAATCGGGATCGAAGTATTTCTTCAGAGAATCCGGGCCAAAGTACACATTGCGTTCGTTGAGATTAGACATCGTGGCACAAAAGCACTGGATGCAAGGGAGAAAAAATCTGCAAGGGCTCCGGTGACGGATCAATCAGGCTACATGGAGGGGCAATGGCCTCAAGTTATAGTTCTGCAGCAACCCCTCTGTGGTGCATATTGTTCATTCGTGACGGGCTGCGTGGTGGTCTGACCCACATGCCAGTAGACTTCTGCATCGCATAGTCACATTTCCCCTGAAGGGAATCCCCGGGCATGAGGAAGCGCCATTTCCCGCCTGACAAAAGTGATCGGAGCGCCATCGAGGGTGGGATATTTCTCAGAGTGGAAGCCGTAGCCGAATCAGGATGGCGAAAAAAAGAGGATTCAAGTTAGTGGTCATGTCCTCAGGGTGTCAAGCTGGGTGGGATCTTCACAGTCCGGCCTTCTATAGACAGTAAGTCAGGCTAGGACAAGTAAGATCTACGCACGGTCATACCGCAAGGTCCTTGGAAAGACACTGGGTAGCACTTTCTCACCACAGGTCCTCAAAAGCCACGCCAACCCTTGTCAACATACTTTCTTGGCAAGCCATGCATGGCGAGTACCTTGTTGAGTTTTTTTGAGCAGGTTTGCGGCCGGGATGCTGATCCCTTCCAGAACCCTAACCGGCCGTATCAACACGTCTAGTCCGAGACCCTCTTTCACTTGGCAGACTCTTCAAGGTTGATTTGATCTTCATGAATATCCTCGCTTAGCATAGCTCAACATGTTCCCACCGGTCGGCGGTCCTCACGGTCTCCCCACGGTCTCGCGGTCTTAAAGGGAATAATGGCCCTCGGCATTCAGGAGCTGATCACTCCCAAACATCGGCTAAGGGTACACAACGACAACGATGACTGGAACTGTCCTCGAGCCCAAGGCAAATGCATCCGACCTTTCGGACTCGTCTGCAACCGCTGACACATATGGTGAGTCCAAGCCTTCTGCGCACGTCTTCAATGAGCAGACCAACTATGTGCCAAAGAGGACCATCATCACGGTAGGTAGCCACCAGTTGCCTAACTCAGCACTAGACTGACAATCCAGATATTTCTGGCCTGTTCCACGGTCGACCTCATAGCCTTGATGGATCAAACTACCCTAGCCGCCAGTTTGTCTATCATTGGCAATGCTTTGCACGCCAGTGACCAGACTTCGTGGATATCTGGCGGTTACTTTGTGTAGGCCGACTACTCCCACTATCCACAGAGAAGATATGATCTGACACTCGTTAGTACATCGACCTGCTTTCAGCTTTTGTATGGTCGACTCTCCGACGTCTGGTCACGCAAACTGGTCCTCTTTGTCGGTCTGGGTATCTTCTTTTTCGGATCCTTGGCCGCCTCGCTGGCTCAAACCGCAACCCAGCTCATCATCTTCCGAGCCTTCACCGGTGTCGGCGGTGGTGGCCTCATGACCGTCGCGCAGATGATTGTCAGCGACGTAGTTCCGCTGCGTGAAAGAGGCAAATACCAAGGGATTCTTGGTGCGGTGGTCGCTATCGCCAACGGTATCGGTCCGGTAATTGGAGGTGCCCTGGCCTCAATCAACGAAGATTCGTGGCGGTGGATCTTCCGTCTCAACCTTCCCCTCACTGCAATTACTACCCTGAGCGTGCTCTTCTTTATGCCACTGCGCAAGGTCACCGGTGATTGGAAGGTCAAGCTGAAGGCGATTGACTTCTTTGGCGTCGTTCTCGCCCTCGGTGGCACCGCCGTGCTGCTGCTCGGTTTGACCTGGGGCGGAGGCGAATATCCCTGGCAGTCGACATATGTAATCGCGACTCTTGTTGTGGGCTTTGCCATTTGCGTTGCATTTGTCCTTTGGCAGTGGAAAGGCACATCAGTGCCCCTGGTGCCAATGCGGATCTTCACTTCGCGAATTGTCAATGGCGCGTGTCTCACCATGTTCGTGAACGGGTGGAACTTTCTTGTTCAGGTCTACTACATACCGACTTTTTATCAATTGGTCTTCGAGTACTCCACTGTAAAGGCGGGTGCAATGCTCCTACCTATCACTCTAATGCAAAGTAACTCATTCCCTCTTTCATCCCGTCCTAATGTTTGAGACTGACATCCTTAAGCCGTTAGCAGTACAGTCTCAGGTCTCGTGGTCCACTGGGTAGGCCGATATAGAGAATGCATACTCTTTGGCTGGATGATCTGGGCCGTTGGGTTAGGCCTCTTCTCCACCTTGGACAAATCTTCTGGGCTGGGGAAGCAGATTGGATATGGTATATTGACCGGCGTGGGAGTGGGAAATACCTTGCAACCGTGAAGTTTCCACCCCAGAATCGTCGCAGGAAACATGGCTGACCGGTACAACAGTGCCCTCATAGCAGTACAGGCTGGGGTTGACCGACGAGAAATGGCCGTTGTCACTTCTTTCCGAAAGTATGTCTGTCTTATCCAACTACCCTGAGTCACCAATGTTAATCAGTTCGACAGCTTCATCCGAAACCTGGGCGGTACGCTTGGCCTCGCTATTGCCGGGACAATCATGTAAGTGCTGAGTATCCCAACCGACAGGTTTCAAACTCTCATGGACTCCAGAAACAACCTCATTTCCTCCGCAGTGTCTTCTCTGGGTCTAAGTGACTCCGAAAAACGGTCGTTCCTGTCGAGCCCCCAGAACTATCTGTCCCAGCTCCCTGCCAAGGAAGCCGATCATGCTCGCTCCCTATTGATACCGGCGTATCAAAAAGGATTTCGCATTATATTCATTATCGGTGCGGCTTTATCAGCACTGGCCTTCGCCTTGGCCGCTTGGTTAATGCCCCAAGTGTCGTTGAATCGGGATGATGACGAGAAACTGAAACAAGAAGGAAGAGATAGAATTAAGGGAGAGAGCTCAGACGAAGAGAAGAGAAACTGACGCCAAAAAATGGATAGATAAGCAAATTGTATTAATCCAGTGATGGAAGGCAGCTCGGGTCATTATCCAAAAGGATTGTCATATCTCATCACATCATCAATGTCAGTCCCAGGGAACCCAAAAAAAAACGAGAGTAGAAAAACATCCAACCCCCTTTTGTTTACCCCATTCACCATAAACGCCAATACTATGATAGAACATCAGACCAAAAGAGTTGTGTGGGGAGGTGAAAACCATTAGTGTGCCCGAAGGGCAAAAAGAAAGACAAATAACAAATGCAAAATCAAGACGCTAGAACGTACAAACCTCAAATGTCCTCGATGACAATCGTTTGCTCAACGAGCCAGTTGACAAAAGCCTGTCCTTCTATCTTCCACCGCCCTTCATACCACACTTCATTCAGCCAGTAATTGCAGCCTTTCCCCTGCAATTTTAGAATTCGGCCTTTGCTTTCTGTCATTGCGAAGTCGTCGTTGACATGTAATGCACCGACACCGACCCCTGAGGTGTCTTGACGCATATTCCATTCACGTTCTGCTTTCTCGCCAGCACGGCGTGCCACGTCTTCTTCATCCACGTCTTGGTAAAGCTCGCATTTAGTGCATTCCGAACACCGAGATCCCGGTGTTAGCCGGAAATGTTCGCAGAAATGACTGTACCCTTCTCCTTCGGCATCTTCTTCATCCGGATCCAGTTCTTCATTCTGTGCTTCAAGCCTCGGTGCTCCCCTCCCCATAGGAAAGATATTTTCTTGATTTGGTATCCCTCCTTGCTGACGCCGCCCAGCACGGCCCCATCGAAACACCGAATTCAAAGGAGGATTCAGGCCCTTGCGGCAGAGATAACACATCGAATAGCCACACACGCAAGTCAGCTTGTTACAACCTGAAGACTTGACGAATGACATCCCACAGCGAGGACAGGTGCGCTTCACCGCGGCCGTTCGAGCGGCTTCCACGGTGGCGCGTAAGTCGAGTAATAATGGCTCGTGGCAAACATGCGGATCGCGCCACGGTTTCTGACAGTCGATACAACTGATCCGTCGACAGGCCGGGTTTGAGCAGTTGAACGTCTTTCGGCGAGCTTTCAAAGACAGGCTGAGCACAGCGTTTCGTAAGATCATGGAGAGAAGAGAAGGGTCGATCAAGAAGAGAACGATCACCGGAATCAGGAACACGGGTATCAGATCTAGTAGAATGAACATCAAGATAATCGTATCACCGACTTTCTGACGGCGAAATCGCCATTTGATTCCTTCGGGGGAAGTATGATAGGCGGAGTCAACTTCTGCATACGAGCAATAGGGGCAGCGGATCAATTTCAACTGGGACTTGAGGAGGGCTTCCGAGGCAAGTCGGCCTTCAAATTTGAGGTAAGTCTCGGCCCCCGCCTTATCCAGAAGGACGGCTCGTTTGACAATCTCAGCGTTCAAGTTCCCATGACAGGCCTCGTGGCTAAACGGTGCGAGGCATTTCAGGGTCGCCTTTTCGACGTCCACAGACTTGCTCCATCCCTGACCGAATACCGCCTCCTGTAACGTTCGCCGGATGCAACCATAGCAGATGACATGGGAGTTGTCCGAACAGGTCGAAATACGTTCGAAAGTAACATCCATCAAACAACATTCGCACTCGTAGATCGCATTAGCCGCCGTGGCCTCGACTTCATTCAACTCCTCCGCCAGGGACAAGTCTCTGGCTTCCCGTTCCTCGCGTCGCATCCGGAGCATCGGCGCCAGCAAAGCCTCGTGCAATTCTCGATTCAACTCCCCGCACCCGGTGTCTTTAAGAATAGGGCCCAGCTCACCGTCCGGCTGGCGCTTCCAGAGAACGAGAGGGTGCTCTTGTTTGTCTTTCTTACTTCTGAAAGGAAGAATGTTGTTGAAAGTCGCTCGCCACGTCTTGCTCGCAAGGCCACGCAAAATTGGACGAGCTCGAATGTAACAGAAGTTCACTTCCGCCAGTACCGCATCCACGGCGCTCCTGCTCAGGCTGCTGAATTCCTTGGATAGAGCAAGTTTCACCGAAGCTTTGTATTCATCGGTTCGAAACTGCTCGTTACGAGGAACCACCAACTGCTCGCCATCCACGGGGGAAGGAACGACGGCATCGTCCCCGCTCCCCGCAGACCCCGTCGGCACATTCCATCGTCCAGCCACCCACTCCTCTTTATGTCGCAGCAGTTGGTCCACGCACACCTGCAGTCGACTGAGTCCGTCGAACCGCACCAGGAGTTCTCGAAACACTTCGATTTTCACGTCGGGGAATATCTGGGCCAGGATTTCCAGGGCCTCGTTGAGCTCCTTTTGGTCTTGCGTCTTGTCGGAGGAGGCTGCCACGGCGGCAGTGGGACGAGATCGTAAGGGTATTCCGAACGGATTATTGCGCAAGGCTTCGGTGATGGTGGCGGATTGGTGGTTGTCGCCGGCAGGATGCGGGGGGGAGGTGGTCGACGATCTAGAGAAGCTAGGGACAGATAGCGAGAGCACCATCGTTGCGTCGGAGGAATGAGGAGACTTTGCTACATGATCGTTCCTGAGACGCAACGAGGTAAGAGGCAGAAGAAACCAGAACGTGTCGATATAGAAAACACGTTCAAAAGGACAAGAGAGGACTTGAAGATAACAGGTGAGGAAGATGAAGGGAGACGGAATGGAATGTTGGATTGGAGTTGGTCTTTTCGGAAGTCCCCATCGGTTACATTACTGTATCTGACAATACCATCCTCGGCCCATCCCGGGAGCTTCCAGTCGTCGGACTAGAAGTACCTTGGTATTCTACAGGGTGCAGATGGTGCAGATGGAGATAAAGAGTGCTCTTCATACAAGATCAGAATATGTATCAGTCTGGTAGCTATTACCCACAGGTACACATGTTAATAATCCACAACAAACAAAAGGAAATAATTCCAATAACAGTCATAATCTATGTACACAATTTGATTCACACTGCCCATACGCGTAGTGGGACGTTATTAGTTTACAATTTGGCCTTGGCTCCCTCCAGCAACTCGGCACCAGCACCGGTGATGGCAGGCTTGCCGGTTTCGACGACGGTGGCCTGGAACAGGACCACGTTGCCCTCCTTCCACATCTCCGTCTTCAGGGTCTGGCCCGGCAGGACAACGCCCGCAAAGCGAACCTTCAGGTTCTTGAAGGCGCCAAATTTGCTGAACACGTGCTTGCCGGCGACACCCAGGGAGCAGAGTCCGTGCAGGATGGGAGTCTTGAAGCCACCAACCTTGCTGAACTCAGGGTCGATGTGGAGAGGGTTGCGGTCACCGTTGAGACGGTAGAGCGCGGCCTGATCCTCGGAGGTCTTCTCCTCGACAACCACGTCCGCCTTGCGCTGGGGAGGCTTGTAGGCGGCAGTGGCTCCCTTGGGGCGAGACGCGGTGGGCTTGGGCGAACCGCCAAAGCCACCGCTGCCGCGGATGAAGACTGTGGACTCGTTGTAGAAGAGGTCCTCGCCCGTCTTCGCATCCTTGGTCGTGTATCCCGCAACAACCAAGGCGGCGTTGCCCTTGTCAACCACGTCAATGAGCTTGGGGTAGGTCAGGGTGTTGGCCGCGGTGGGGATGGGGAATTTGCGGACTTCCATGTACTGCTCGCCGTGCAGCAGCATCATAGGGGAGAAGTTGGCAACGATGTCCTCCATGTTCCAGGGGGTGGCAGTATTGAACCAGGGGATCACACCGTAGGTGGGAAGAGCCTGGAAATGCTCGTTGTTCTCGTAAACCAAGGGCAGATCGGTGCGCTTAGCACCCAAGCTGAGGTTGTAGAGAATGATGTCCCGGTCGACATAGTCAAAGGGAGTTCCCTCGCTGGAGCTCTGCTTGGCCTTCTCGATCGCCTGCAGAATGTCATTGCCACCCTCAGAGGCCCCACCCTTGCGGTTGCTCATGTTCGCCATGATCTTCTCGGCACCGGCCTGGCCGTCTTCGGGGTGGTCGGCACGTCCGTCGTCGAAGTTCGCAATCTCCTTCCAGTGCTTAACAACCTCCTCGGGAGTCAGCTTGACGTCCACGGGGAATCCGTGACCACCGGTACGCTGCCAGCGAGTGCGGGTGAACCAGCCGCTGCCGCACTCGTACAGACCCTTGGTAGAGGGCTCGGGCACAATGTCGGAGCAAAGAAGCACCACGAGCGGGGCAACGTAGTCGGGCTTGAAGGCCTGGACCATCTCCTCGGGCATGATGGTGCGGGTCATGTTGGTACCCGCGTTAGGAGCGATCGTGTTGACCTTGATGTTGTATTTGGCGCCCTCGAGAGCAAGAGTACGGGAGAAGCCGAGGATACCAAGTTTCTGAATAGAATTGTCAGTGAGAGTACGGGAAATGAGATCGCAAGGAGTCTTACCGCCGCAGCGTAGTTAGCCTGTCCAAAGTTACCGTAGATACCGCTGGTGCTAGCAGTGTTGACGATGCGGCCATACTTCTGCTTGAGCATGTGGGGCCAGGCAGCCTTGGTCACCTTGTAGGTACCACGCAGGTGAACATTGACAACGGAGTTCCACAGGTCGTCGTTCATGTTGGTGAAGGCCTTGTCGCGCAGGATACCGGCGTTGTTGACCAGGATATCAATGCGTCCGAAAGCATCGATAGCGGACTTGACGACAGCCTCGCCGTCCTCGCACGAGGCCTTGTTACCAACGGCCTGTCCACCCAGCTGCTTGATCTCCTTAACGACGGGCTCGGGGTCGACAAGGTCGTTCACCACCACGGAAGCGCCGAGCTTGGCGAAGAGCAAGCAGTATGCGCGACCGAGACTAGAACAGATTAGCATCCAGGTTTCATCAGATTGAGATTTGTTTGTTCAATACATACCCGGCACCACCGCCAGTGACGAGGGCAACCTTGCCCTTGAAGTCGGGCTCCTGTCCCGGCTGTGCGCTGGGAAGCTTCAGGCCGTCCTCCAAGAAAGACATGAAGTCGGCAGGACCAGTGGGGTATTCGGGCTGCGAGAAGTTGTTGACGTCGTTCCACTTGCGGGCAATAGCGCCGGGGGTCAGCGACGCATCGGTCTTCAGCAGAGCACCCTTGGCCCGTTCCCAGCGCAGCTTGGCCACATGGCCACCACCGACCTCGTAGATTCCGCCAGACTCGGTAGTGTTGGAGGAGTGGACCAAGGCGGCCACCAGGGGCACAACCCAGTCGGGCTTGAGGTTTTCCAGGACGTCGGGGGGCATAACGGTGGCCGTCATACGGCTAGCGGCTATTTATTCGGTTAGCTTTCCCATATTGCCTGCCACGGAAGAACATCATTTTTAACATACCAATAGGCGCGATAACATTGGCGATGATGTTGTACTTAGCACCCTCCTTGGCGAGGGTCTCGGTGAATCCGACCTGACCGAGTTTGGCGGCTTCTTCTGTTAGCTCCACGACCGATGCACACATGCCATAGTAAACCCACCGGAGTAGTTGGCCTGTCCGAAACTGCCGAAGAGGCCGGCTGCAGAGGCAGTGTTGATAACGCGACCATACTTTTGTTTCCGGAAGTGGGGCCATGCAGCTCGTGCGCACTAGAGGTTATACGAGTCAATACATGAAGGTATGTAGGAGAGAAGTCGCAGCAGGAATATATACCTTGTAAGCACCATACGTGTGTACCCGGTTGATGAGATCCCAGTCCTGGTCTTTCATGTTCTTGAAGCTGACATCCCGCAGAATACCGGCGTTGTTGAGGAGGACATCGATGCGACCAAAGTTCTTGATCGCCGTCTCGATGATAGCGTCACCGTTCTCAACGCTGTCGTAGTTGGCAACAGCTTTGCCTCCGGCAGCTCGGATCTCTTCAACAACGACGTCCGCAGCCTAAAATGAGTCCACAAGTTAGTTTCTCACGTGTACAAGGGCATGTGTGACCACCGGATCGGACACCTTACCTTTGACGACTTGCCGTCGCCGGAATGAGATCCACCCAGGTCGTTGACGACAACATTTGCACCTCTCGAGGCGAAGAAAAGAGCATATGCCTTTCCCAGCCCACCACCGGCTCCCGTCACAACGACGGTCTGATTGTCAAAGCGAAGCTCAGACATACTGGACAAGAATGAACGGAGAGAAGGAGGGGAGGGTTGGAGTTCAGTCAGTATCGGAAGGAGAATAGGGGAATAGGGATTAATAAAGAGGAGGAAATGAAGAAAAAGAAAGGGGGACGAAGCTGATAATGATTATAAATTGGGAGGAGAGAGGGAGATGATAGAGACGGGGGAAAGTCTGGGGGAGAACAAGAGTAGAAGAAGACCTTGGGATCTGAGGAGACAAAACGGACGGTCGCAGGGCTCGGCAAGGTGAACCTCGGCATCTTTGCAGGTGAAGCTCGGAGGTTTGGGTCCCACGGCGCCAAGCGAATTTGGGGCAGGCAGATGATCCGCCTTCACATGCCGACGCTCTGCACCATGATCTAATGGAATGCCTGAGGATTGCGGCCATACAAAGCTACCCCGGGAATCGAATGATTACTGATTACTCCGTGATCCGTCCATCTTGCGGAGTTGAATTCGACCTGATTCTAACCTCGGGGGACTTTGACTGCTCTCAAATCCGTGACTCTCCCATCTCACCGGACACTCCCAACAAGACACTAACAATAGCAACCACGACGACGTATTTGGTAGCGATCATCGAGTAACCGCACAAAACCCAAAGGAGACAGAATAACCCAACCAGAATAAAGGATGAGATCGCACTAAATGTACACCGGTGTACTGTGTAGTCTTCAGGTTGTTTCATTACATAAAATTGTCTGGCTACGGAGTGCACCGAATGACGCCGAATGACCATTTCCAAGATCCTGCTAGAGAGGAATGAATGGGTCCGCACTAAATGCTCGATCTCCGGGGTTCCGCGATGCGCTACCTGGTCATGTGCCTGTGCAGGGGGTTTTGAATAAGTCTTAGTAATCATGAACTGCATAAGTCCAAATATGTACTCTGTACTCCGTACCTTGTGTACATACATGTGCACTTCAGCAGAATGATACTATCAGACCAAGCGTTTGGTATGCTTGACTGACTCCCATCTGGCCTTTCAGAACATCCGAGGAAACAATTGTTTGGGCCCTCTACTACGAGCTCTATCCATTCGCGTTAGAGGTAGACAGGAATACGCATGTCCATGTTACCCAATTGATCTAATCAGGTCTTCCGCTAAACAAACCCTACTCATTTAATCACTGGCCTGGTATCTCTTCCGGTACTCCTCCAGTCTCGTAAAGTCTCCCTCGTCACCCTTGTTCTTCAACAGCACGATCAGATCCTCCAACGTGACGATGCTCGTCGTGGGCACACCGTACTCGCGACGGATCTGGCCCATAGCGCTCATCCGGGGCTCGCCATCATCGATGCCCTCCTTCTCCTTGGGTCCGGGCATCTTCTCCAGACGGTCCAGCGCGACGGCAAAGCCCACGACCTTGCCTCCCTCCTTGGCCACGAGGTCCAGCGTCTCCCGCATGGCGGTACCCGCGGTGATGACGTCGTCGATGACCAGGACGTTCTTGCCCTTCAGGGCGGCGCCGACGATGTTGCCGCCCTCGCCGTGATCCTTCTTCTCCTTGCGGTTGTAGCTGTAGGAGACGGACGCCCAGGTCTCGGGGTCCAGGCGGTGGAGCTCAAGGAGGGCGGCGCAGGCAAGAGGGATGCCCTTATAGGCGGGACTGAAATGGGGGTTCCAGTCAATTTACGTTTCCACAGGAAGGTCATAACATGGGAGAACTCTATGGGCTTACCCGAAGATCACATCGGGTTTGGGGATGGAGGGGTTGGCCGCGAGGAAAGAGACGATGGTGTGAGCATAGGCGGTGGAGAGGGCGGAGAGGAGCGCAGAGGTGTGGAAGGTTCCGGCGTTGAAGAAGTAGGGAGAGTCTTGATCCGGGATATCAGCAATTATTACGGCGAGGATTCAAGAATTTGGAAGGACATACGACGACCGGACTTGAGGGTGAAAGTGCCGAAGGTCAGGACATTGGCGGAGAGACAGGACTCCAGGAAGGCGGTCTTGTAGGCGGGGAGAGTGGCAGCCATGGTGATTGATATGGATTAAGATTCAAATAACCAGGGGATCTATACACAGCACATACACTGAAAGGAGCAAGTCAATCTGAGCATACGGCGGGGTATCTAGAAAAAAGATTGACTGCCCGCGGGTGACATAAGCAAGGCCCCTCGTGCGCTAGGGCTGGTTTGGGTTTAGCGTATGTATCTACCAATTCATCCGGTGTGCCTGTCTCTCTATACTCTGTACTCTGTACTCTGTATAACAACAATGTTAACAAGAGCAATCGCAATAATGTTGAACCTCCAGATTGATCACAAAAGAGGCAATCAGCTCTGGCACTCTCATCATGAAACTAAGACCTTGGCACCGCCATCTGAGAGCACGGTGCAATGCCCACCGAGTGCTTCTCGATCAAGCGAGTAGAATCCATTCATCTGTACATACAGAGTGGCATTTCGCATGGATTGGTTCATGTAATAGTGAACCAGAATGAGAAAGCGCCCTCGGCCTAACATAGTCCGCCGAGCAGCCTCCGCAGCGTTTCGGACGAGATCTAGTCCGGCGGGTGGGTAAACGCCGTGGCAGAACCTTCTCCAGATTCCACCCGCTCGGCTTTACTCCGACATACATCAGTAAATAGCAGTTTATCAACACTGCGCATTCTTCTGACTTTACAACAACCCCTCCAGATCATTAAGTATTTCAAACCACTCAGTTCCCGTCGCGCATCATGCCCGAAATCATCGATGACAAGTCACAACACTGTATCCCCTTCCTCCTCGAGCGATTGAAAGCCCATCAGGCCCGATATGGGGACGACCCCACCAAAGCCCCTCCGTTCTTCCTGGGCCTGAACGGCGTCCAAGGCGCTGGCAAAACCGTCCTGGTATGTCAAACATATTTCTGTGTCTCAGTGCCATGCAATATTTTCTTCCTTTAACTGATTCAATTCAACTAATCACCGTCCCTCCCACCGCCAGGTATCCGCCCTCCAATCAACGCTCCGATCCCCACCATACTCCCTCCCCGTCGTCACCCTCTCCCTCGACGACCTATACCTCACGCACGACGCCCAGCACGCTCTCGCACAATCATTCCCCTCGAACCCCCTCCTCCAACACCGCGGTCAACCAGCGACACACGATCTCCCGTTAGCGACACAGGTCTTCGAATCCCTCCGCGCCGGCCGCCCCACGGCCATCCCGCAGTATGACAAGTCCGCGTTCGCGGGACAAGGCGATCGAGTCCCCCAGTCGCAGTGGGAGATCGTCAACCAACCGGACCAGGAGGAGATCAAGGTGGTCATCTTTGAGGGATGGTGCGTGGGGTTCCGCGCGTGGGATGAGGCAACTCTTCGCGAGAAATGGGAGGCTGCGGTTCGCCAAAAGGAACAGGGCGAGTATAACGGGCGTCTGGGGCATGTGAAGTTCGAGGACGTCAAGACTGTGAATGATGCGTTGCGCGCGTATGATTTGATTACGGAGTAAGTGGATTGGTTGTGGTTGCATTCCCTATCTTCTATGACATGGTCAGACAGATTTGCTAACCACCGTGATGCGTCTACATGCAGCCAGTTAGACGCTTTGATTCATATGTACGTCTCTCTTCCTCAGTGCATACATTGCCGAGGCTAACCATATCAAAGCGACGCTCATGGCTCGCATTACGTCTACGACTGGCGACAAGAACAAGAAAGGACACTCCGCGCCGCGAAAGGAACGGGTATGACGCCGGAGCAAGTCACTCATTTCGTTGATGGCTGTACGCATATCCCCTACCTCTCTCTCTCCTCTCTCTCTCCTCTCTCATTGAAATGAAAGAGACAACCAAAATCTCCTACTAACTAAAAAAAATAGACTACCCCTCCTACGAACTCTTCACCGAGACCCTCCGCGAAGGCGTCTTCAAGCCAGCGCCCCATGCAACAACCGCTACTACCTCCTCGTCTGCTAGCTGGCAGGGCAGACAGCTTCGGTTGGTGGTTGATAGGAACAGGCGGGTTCAGGAGGTGATTAGGATTTAGATTTGTTTAAGAATAGTAATAGGTAAGGTAGCATAAAATTAGTAGATATCTCGATCCATAACATGGCCTCAATCCTATTACACAGACGAAGAATCGAAGATGTCCATCAAATAAAGAGTTAGTTAATATTTAACTATCTTGTACTAGAACCTCTGTCAGGACATTATGCAAGAGAGCGTTGAAGAGGATCAGAACTGTCGGCAACCGCTAATTCTTACCCGGGTGCACTGTCTTCATCTGATGAAAACCCAATATTAACCCAACTGAGTCAATGATCAACCCTTCTAGTCGAAAGTATAGCCCCACGATGCGGTATCCTGGGGGCGGTCGGAGGGTACGAATGCTGTAATTGACCCCAGGTGCTAAATGGCGGTTTGATTCGGAGGATAATTCGCGGTGATAATTGGTTCTGAGCTTATAAGGGTAAGATTAGACATCCAAGGTAATAAGGGCTTGATGCTTACTGTCACTGCGAGCGGGTAAAGTTCAGATGTCCGCACATCGATTTCAGACAGTATTTCGTGGGGTGCGTCTAATGTAATGGATGCTGGATCGGTATGACAAACACCGACACAAAAGGTATCCGACCCTGTTTGTGCGGATAGGCCGCGGATACCTTCAAGGCCGCCAGCACCGTATATTCTGATAGCTTGTAGACCTTGTTCAAACCATAATGTTTCGACAGGGAATCTTCCAAATTTGTTCACTAATTCTCTTTCTCGATCAGGGTGTTGTTGCACGTAAAGTGTTTCATCAATGAATTTGTGGCTAGATAGTGATGGATGTTTATTTCTCATCAGAAGAGTTTCTTCGAATGAAGGTGGGGTTTCATAATGCCAGCTGATGTCCCGAAATTTAAGTGCCTACTTATTTGATTAGCAATATCCGAGAAGGAAAGGTTTTGCACTCACATCACGAACGACCCGAATTCTCGTATGCTTCTGTCTTAGGCTAAACCCTGCCCAACAGCGACTGGAGGCAGGATCGCCAAATAACCACGGTGAAGCGCCATATTTTATACTTGTGATTCCCAGTTCATCCGCGGCAAGCCCAATTGTTTCGATTAGCATATCAGAAACATCAAATTCACAGATGCTTTTGGTCCTGACGCCAAGGAATAACTCTGACTCTGTCGAAACAAAACCGATTCCACAGACGTAACGTTTACCTTCCAGACCTATACTGCATACTTGAACGATTCTGGTGTGATCTGGAATATTTATGAAACTTTGATGTAGACCAAATTGATGGTTTACTGCCTGGAGAGGAGCACGTGGATTGAATGTCGGTACTACCTGGATTTTCCAATCCAGAAATGGTAGCAGTCTAGCGATTCGCGCCGCCCTCTCCACAAGTTCCCATCTTCGGTCCAGTTCGCTGAACCGAGCCCAGGCGGAAAATGCAATCATCAGAATTCTCTTATCCTCTTCTCTGTTCATGATTGTGGTCGTGCTGCAGCGGTAAAAATAAAGTGGATTTGTGCGACAGAACAAGTTGGTGTAGGACAAGGTCTCTTTGCTGGCACGGAAAAACCGAATCAGATCTGATGGCGATAGGTATTCGAGGATAATTATCAGGATCTCTGACGGCAGTTTTAGCAGATGAGATACGAGCCATCCGGCTTTATCTGGCTGCAAGAGCAATGCTGTTTCTTTCGACTGAGGGAGACATTTTCGAGGCCTTATAAAGATGGACGGATCTGGGCAAACTGGAAATGCTCCTAGGTTAGATTTTCGGTCGCTACGAATCAGGAAAGCTTACCGGAAGAATGTAGCCTCCAGTCGGATCCGAAGTTCCTTTCTCGGTCAGGCAGAATCGCCTGGCACAGTTTGAATGCTTGGTGAGGTCCGATCCCCGATCCACCAAACTCACGCAAAAGAAGATAGCACGACGTATGGATGAGGAAGGCGTCTACGGAGGTGAAATAAGGAGATGGGTTAAGTCTGAATTGTGTTCGCTGGTCAGGAGTGGCGAGGTCCCTTGATTCTTGCAAGGAAACATCCTTATTCAAACGAAGAAAGCCAACGTTGATACCTCTGTTTCTCAAAAAGACTTTGGCATTTTAGATGATGTTGAATAGCAGAGGCACCTGGTAGAGAAGTGTACCTGTATTAAAATTCTTCGTCCAATCTGCCTGGCCTACCCCACAAAAACAAATCACACACATACGCGACGATTCCATTGTACGTCACCAAGTCGGTATCAGCTGGAGATCGACAAAATTGTGGGCAGTACGGAGTAACATAATTTATCTCTTGTTTGATGTTAACTAACTACACAGGATGTTGATGACAAAGATGTATTTGCTAACGTAATTCCCGGATCAATTCTTGAAATAGGTTAGTGGGACTTAGCACTATGATCTGGGAAAAGGAGGAAGAGTATATTTGGTGACACCATTTCCCGGAATCAGGAGCCAGATTACTCTTAAGAACAGATATAGTTATCTCAAAAGACAGCTCATTATTGCCTGCTTTCAATGCCTGCTAATCCCATGTGTCGGCCATAGTCCCTACGAAAAATCAAGGATTATCATCGTGACCATCGGAAACAAAGACTATTCAATTCCGGAAAACTAGGTATATCCAAGCGCACCTACTGCCCCAAACAAGACAGTCTGGAAATCCTCGTGTTATACTTATGCGGTCTCAACACGCTTGTCCGACGTGACTCTCAGTGAATTGATATTTTCAAAGCTGCCTGAGAATTAGCTAGTTGTTCATCATCTTCATCAATTCATTCAATTTCTTTCTCTTTGGTATAGAAGGTTCGGGTGTCTGTATAAGAAATAGAGATTTCTACTATCTTTCTAACTGTAAAATCTCGTATTCGATGAGAGAAGCGCGAGTGTCGTTGAGGTCCCTTTCCATAGTAGGATTTGCTGCGTTGCGGGCCTTGCCAAGCTCAACAAGGAGTCTTATCGGTAATCTTCAGCCATTTTACGTTCGTAGGCGGAGTTCTTCCTCCCTTTCCAGCTTTCCCATGAGGATGGCCACATTGGCGTCGACCGGCACTGCCTTCGTTCCAAATACCTCACGAGCCATGGGCTAGTCCATGATTTTCACAACTTGCGCTCCCGTAACACGCTTTATGTCGCGAAACAGGTCATCAATATGAGTGAAATAAGTCCGCATATTTCTTTCGGAAATGGCAAAAATCATCCCGACAACCTGTAGGTCTCGGTTGAAGATCAATGCACCGGAATCTCCGGGCTCCGAAAAGGCACTGCTGTTAGTGATCGCGTATTCTCTGGTGACTATCGGCCTCTCTACCCCATTGGCCATCTCCGTGAGAATGTGAAACTCTGCGAGCTCGCTGTAGTAGCCCGCGGTGTAGCCGGTGGCCCGGCCACACTTGAACACACGGTCGCCACCGCTCATCTTCACGCCAGAACCATCAGCCAGTATACTACCGACCTGAAAAGGGAATGGTAAGTCTCCAACAGCCGGACGCTCGAATGTTGCAACTTCATTCAGTCCCCTCCGCATGGGCAGAGGTTTTATGAGAGCCCAATCCATGTTAGAGAGGCTGATGGCCCCCGGGGCCATAGTGGTAGGAACGATCGAGTTGAGTCCCGAGCACGCAAAAACATGTCCGAGGTTGTTAGATTGTAGGGTACGGAACGACTGAATCCTATCCTTCGCTTGTTCAGCATAATCGAGAGCCTGTTGATCGATCTGAAAGTTTCTCACGTCACGAGGGCTCACAAACTCGTCATTTTTAAGATAATTCTTGACCTTCTGGTAAAGATATCTGGTGGTCAGTGCCTCCACCTGGGCATCCCATTTCCGAATGGCTCGGTTTAAATCAAGGACACTCGGCTGCTGGACTTTAAGCAGGGATTCGGCCACCTTATCACCGGGAGTAATTCCCTTGATCCGCCACCGTGCAACAGCTACGTTCATTAGCAAGGAACCATTAGTACTTTCAGGGAAGTTGCTGCCTTTACCTAATTGCTGCTCGGCTGAAAGAAGGTCACCGGGGGGTAGCACGCACTTTGCACAAGTTAATCCAAACTGTTCCCATCTCCCATTGCCATCCTTCATCTCAACCCAGCCGCCAAAAGTCCCAATTGCGTACTCAGTTCCCTGAACACCGATGCTCTGCCCGACTTGGGCAGGAGCTGTGAGGGCTGTTAATGGAAGTCTTGGGCCACTAAATCCACCTCCGCGCAGGACCCTATCTTTGACAATCCGAACTGCCACACTGGACAGCTCAAAGCTGTCGAGGATCCAAACAAGGTGTTCTCTGACGCCGCGCCAATCCTTGTTCACCGACGGGTCGACCGTAACTAGGACTGTTACCTGCTTCTCCTCTCCGGGAGCGGTGATCTCGTAGCAACCCAGTGTGGTCCATTGGTGAATAATAGATTGCTGTATAATAGCCCATGCTACCCTCTCCCAAGAAAAGATGGGCAAGGTGTTTCTGACTGGATGGAGGATTATGGGATCAAAAGCTCTTGGGTCCGCGAGCTCAACAGACACACCAAAGACCCCATTGCTGACGAGAAAGGAGTGGATTATTCTTGCAGTTGTAATCCACTTGTCGTCAATGGAAGACCTGTTGGCGTCGATGTAGAGAGTGAGAGCCGGTGTAGGTTCTGGGTCATAAACCGACGTTCGGCCGCAAAAGCCCATGTCATGGAATCTGATATCGGCCGTTGCCAAGATATCTCTTACTCCTTGGTTGAGTGGGGCAACGTTCTCAACGACACGGCTGTAAAAGGGATGGTCTGTTGGGACTGCGATAGTTTTGACTGGGATGGCGCATAGATAAGGCCCTCCAACCCGGAGATCTTCGTCGGAGAAGCCGTCCCACTTGACAACATGCTCCTCGTCACTTGAAGAGCCATGATTGCGACGCTTCCTACCATCTGAGGACGACGGTCCGGATCCGACGAGGTGGAGGCACTTGGGGGATGCATAACTTTCCTCCCTCTCCGAACCTCTTGAAGCCCGAGGCGGGGAGGACAGGGCCGTGATCGTAGACATTTCAAGATCTAGGAGGCAGGGACTAGGATTGGAATCGCTGGTTTGGAGGTCTAAACCGATAGCAATAACAGGTGGTATTGGTATTTCAGCGATGGAAGGCGCGAAGGTTCGGAGAGTGGGAAAGGAAGAAGTAAGTATGACGCCGAGTTTACTCATGAGAGGAAAGACTTTCCGGACGGGCCTTGGTAACTACCGTGATATAGTGACAGAGCTGAAGCCGTATGATCACAGTGAATGAATGACCACCTACTCTGTAGGCTCCATTTCACCACCATGGAATGGATTCACTCTTCTCAGGAGAGGTACATACGTAGTTAGGCGGTTTTACTATACAGTAGGAGAGGAATCAATCTAATTTTTTCAACCCGGATACCCTCGACCGAGTGAGTCTACTTCTGCCTTCTGTCGTCCTCTTCCGGACAAGCCACTGACCGGTAGTAACCCTCCTACGCATACCGCCCCTGCTCCGGTTGACGCCAATGTGGCCATCCTCAAGGGAAGGCTGGAAAGGGAGAAAGAACTTCTCGAGCTGGGGCCATGATTTGGGAAAGCGCAGATGCCGTAGAGGGGATTCTTAAGGCAGCGGTCATTCTCATTCCTGTATTCTAACGATCATTCACCTTATTTATTTTAATCAATATCATCAGAAGCATTGTTGAATTCTTCTATCTCCTCGCTAAAAGTGTATCCAAGCCCCGTAGACGCCAGTAGGGAGGAGCTTTCGGCGTAGTTCGAGAGGCCATGGGTGTGGCAGACTTTCTGCTCGAATGCGAGGTAGGATTTGGGCCAGGTTCCTGTCACAGGCCGAGAAGGTAGGTGCGCTTCTACCAAGACCGTTTAGTTTTTGCATGAAATGGAGCGTTTAACTACTAGACTACCAAAAGACCAGAAGACCAAGTCAACAGACTAGGTACGCGCATCGCTTTACATATACATAGTGGTTCTTGGTCAGTTCGTACAGTTGGTATCGCCAGGTTGGCAGGCCGCTAGGTTTACTAGTAACTAAGTTACTAGTAGAGGATTGAAAATGTCTGATATCAAAGATTGCTAAATAAGAAACTCTTAATATTAAAAAAAAAAAAAAAAAAAAAAATAGCTACTGCTTTCCGTTCCCTGTATTCCAACATTTGGCAGCCTGCCCCTGGCACTTCGAATTCCTACATCATGCAGTGGAGGTCACAGGATAGTCAAGACGAGCTATTATATGGGTAGATCCATCGAAGATACGGGGCAAAACAAAGTAATAGAGAAGAATAATTCATATTATGCAGTGGTAGAACATATACATCAAGTATTAATCAGCAGGTTGATCGGACCGTCCACGCGCATCTCGGCCGAACCGTCTGTCTCCCTGGACAGAAATTGTTCTTCATGGCTAGCATAGTAGGCCATCACAAGACTCGACAACATTGTGACATACGGACAGCTACGTGTATAGGAGTACAAGAACTACGCAGAGAAGAATGGAGTTGAAGGTTGCCTAAGCTTTTGAATTTTTGTGTACCTGGATCCAGACCATTATACTGCTAACCGAGAAAATGAGCCCTTAACCCAGACAACCGAGCAACAGCCATCGCCCAACAGGATGAAACAATCTAGTTCATCTGGCGGATGAGGCCGTTGATGTTCTCCTCACGGTTACCGTAGTCACCACCCTCGATGAAGTGCTTGAACTTGCGGGTGTGGAAGCCACCGGTGGGGTTGGAGAGCTTGAAGGGCCACAGGAAGTTGTTGGCCTGCTTGAAGTTGGGGCCAACGGTGTAGATCTCGTGGATCAGATCCTCCATACAGACGATGCCGTACTTGCCGAGGTTCTCCTCGATGATCTGGTTGTCGGTGAGGGCAACACGCTGCTTGTCAACCTTGCCGTAACCGCGCTTGTAGACGAGCTCACGGACGGACTTGAGGTTGGGGTATCCGTAGGCGATGTAGGGGTTGATGATGGTCAACATCTCCTGGGTAGCCTTGGAGAGACGGATGAAGGTACCGTTGTTGATCTGGAGCAGACGGAGCAGCTGCAGGATCTTACGGGGCTGGGGAGGGATCTTGTTGATACTGGACGACAGTTAGATTGTGATGCAACTAGACAGTGTGAAAGATAGAACATACCCCTTGATACGGATAACGAAGACCAGCTTAGCCTCGTCCTCGACCTGGAAGTTACCGTCCTTGCGGGCAACACGGCCGAGACGGATCTTCTCACGCTCAGCATCGCGGTACTCCTTGACGTAGGACTCAGCGCGCTTGAAGATGGTAGCACGCTTCTGCTTGTTGGCCTAGAGTTTCTCCGTTAGTGAGAAGAACATTTCATCAAGTTGATGCAAAGCAATTGGTAAAGCAATGTGTCTCATCCCCGAAAGATGGTTAACGAAAGCGACAGCATCGACCTTGTGGTCTAGTCGCGTAGTGGTGTGTTGTAATCATCGAACAAAAAAAATGAAAAGAAAAGAAAGATTTGCAAAATACTAACCTCCTTCTTCTTCTGGGCCTCCTCACGCTGAACAGCGCGAGCCTGCTCCTGGCTCTTGCGCTTCTTCAGGAGGGTCTCGGGGACCAGCACCTGGTTGTTGGTGGGGACGGTGCTGTTGGAGGTCAGTTGAGTCCGTCCATGGCAATCAGACAAGGCCAAAACTTCGCCGAGTGTAAGAACTGCAGCTATAGTGCCACATTCTCATACTGAAGGCTAAAAGAAAGCACTCGACGACATCAATTTAATCAGTGAGGCAAAAGGCCAAGGTCATGATCCTGGTCAAGCATATTCCAGCGTTGCCATTGTGGATCCATTGAAGACGCAAGCTCTTTCTTAATCCTCATCCGACAAAACCCCAAACAAGATGTTCGGGAATTGTATTGACGCTTTTCGTTCCCATCTCGATAAGCCGGAGAAAACTCTGACCAGAGACGGGAAGCGATAGCCGACAACAATGATTTTTAGAGAGAAGGCAGCATGGCTTTCAACTCCAACACCCCTGACCCATTCTCAGTTCCAATCCTTTGCTTCTGACAATTAAGTGAGAGGCGAGCTCATGGAGGGAGACGATGGTCGCGGGAAAGATCGAGCTGGTGCTTAGCAGGTTTTTTTCAAACTGCAGCATCTCCAGCGAGAAGGACGACTATAACCCCAATCCTTACAGACTCGTGCGACGAATCAACCGGAAGGGATCATAAAAGGGAAGCATACGTAGCAGTCGAGGCCATTGCGACGGTCCGTAAGAGTTCGCGAGTTGGGCGGTTGGCGAGGGCTGTCGGGGTGAAGAGAATTGAAAAGGAAATCTGCTTTAAGAGAGAAAATCGGTTGTGGGCGGTCGGGTAGCACTAACCTCTATACGGCTAGCCTAATGGAGCCAGCATTTTCTTGGCACCTCATGCACTTAGATAAGCCGTGCCCTTATCGACCCAGGGTATGCCGAGTCAGCTGACCGATACCGATAAGCGCCCCCGGACGGTTTGGAATGACCGCATCCTCAGTATGGCGGCGATGTTGTCTAGATAACACCGCCAACCCCGCAAATCACACATCAACATCTCAACCATGTCCTCCCGCCGAGGTGTTGGCCTCGGAGCCTTTGCAAATCGAACCCAGGCCAGCCAATCCTACGCCAACCATGGCGCCAACCTTCGCTCCACCCACCTCTCCTCGCTCCAAACGCAACTCTCCGTGTTCCAGTCCGTCCTCCACAGCTTCGCGCTGGAGCACAGCTCAACCATCAAATCCAACCCCACCTTCCGCGCCGAGTTCGCACGCATGTGCAATACGATCGGCGTCGACCCGCTCGCCGCCAGCAACGTGAAAGGGAAAAATGGCCGGAAGGCACTGGGCGGCGAGACGGGCAGTTTCTGGACCCAGATCATGGGCGGGGATATGAATGATTTCTACTTCGAGGTTGCGGTGCGAGTTGTGGGACTGTGTCGGGACACGCGCAGTGAAAACGGCGGCTTGATTGGTGTCGAGGAGTGTCGGAAACGAGTAGGCAAAGGGAAAGCGATCGGGAGTGGTCTTGAAGTTACGGAGTATGCGCATCTTGAACCCCTTCCTTTCCGTCACTATTAGCCCTTCCTTCGCCTTGTTCAAAAGGTAGAAGTAAGTAATTGGGTCACAATGAATACTTACATGCTCTAGTGATGATGTCCTCCGTGCTGTCAAATCGCTCGAGCCTCTGGGGTCAGGCTTTTCTATCATCCGAGTCGGAAGCAAACAGTATATCCGATCGGTCCCGAAAGAGCTGAACACAGACCAAGCCACCGTGCTAGAGGCTATACAAGTACTCGGATACGTGAGCATATCTATGTTGCGGCTGAACTTGAACTGGGAGAAAGCGCGGGCCCAGACCGTCATTGACGATCTGCTAGCCGACGGTCTGGTCTGGCTCGATGCCCAGGCTGAAGAGAATGAGTATTGGTCACCACAGAACCTACTCGATGATAGTGGGTGAATCGGTGAACTTACTTTCTCGGTTTAAGAACTAAAAATGTTTTGGGGAGGCATTCGATAAGTGCACCAGCGGATTAAACGGACAATGTTGTGAGCGGGGTGGTATATATATATCGACCCACCCCGCATCTTCAACATTTGATTCTAGGCTTCAACCTTAACACTAGTGCACGCACTGCAGAAGAAGACGTGACCCATAAAAATATCGATGGTGCAGCGTCGAGTTTCGAAATTCTATAACCAGGCATCAGGCTGGGAGGTTCTGACAACCTGGGCAAGACCACGAACTACCCCTCCAATCGAAGCTACGATGCGTCACATAATGAATATCGCAAAGACTACCTGGCTACGTAACATGATACCCTGAACATTTCTCGAAATCTATTTGAAATTTTTATTCCCGTCCTTTTCATTCCCTCATATAATTCAATAAGACTCATCTGTAATTGTAGCAGTACTGTATGCAAGACGGAAAGAAAAGAAAAGAGTTGAGGACATCCTCTGCCGTAAATGAAAAAGATATGGAAAAGGAAAAAAAAGAGAAAAAGAAGCCATAATGGATAAAAGCACATGGAATCATACGCAGTTAAATTCCAAGAGAAGCATTAAAACCATGAAAAGATATGAATGCCATTACTAACATTTTTTAGGCCTTGATAGCTCCACCCAACGCACCACCACCGAACTGCTGTCCACCAGGGCGGCGACCTTGTTGACCGCCAGGGATTCTGGGGCCACCACGGGCCTGGCCCTGACGAGGACCACGGCCACCACGGGCGCCGGCGCCCTGATCGCGCTGGAAGGCGTTGGCCATGCCTTGAGTGCGCTGCTCGAGAGTCTTCTCGTTGGCCTCCAAGAGGTTCATCGACTTGTCGGCGAGAGTGACGATCTGCGACTGGAGACGAGACAGCTCGACACCCTTGCGGAAGACAATGGCGCCGTTGACCTGGTCGAGGGCAGCAGCCAACTCCTCGTGCGAGATCATGCGGCTGATGATAGCAGCAATCTTCTTCTCGGGGAGCTCGAACATGTTGGCCAGAGTGCCGATAGCCACGCTGTCGTAGAAGGGAGCGTAGGTGAACAGGTAGGTCCGCAGGCCCTCCTCCTGGATCTGCTGGGACAGCATCTCCTTGATCTTGTCGGGCTGGGGCATCAGGTCCCAGATCTTGATAGAGCCAAGCATCTCGGCGGCCTTCTTCCAGTCACCAGCGGCAAGGAACTTGGCACTCATGATGACACCATCACGAGTGTTCTCGGCGGGACCGGTGAAGACCTGTCGCTCGTTGTAGTCCAACATACGGCGGAAAGTCTTGGAGATGATACGGCGCTTCATCTCGGGGGAGGACGAGGTCTGGGCCATCAGGGGAACTTCCAGGAACATGCTAGAGGTCAGGTAGATACATTCAAGGAGTTCCAGGTTGATGTGCATGTGGAAGGGCAGCTGGCGCTGACGCTCAAGGCGCTCTTGCTCCGGCGACACGGTGGAGTAACGCTGGAGGATGATGCCCTGGGCAAGGAGCTCTTTCTGACGTCCGCTGCCGCAGACTTCGGAGAGGGTGTTCTGAGCCTCGTAGATAAGACCGGCGCGGAAAGCACAGAGACCAATCTGGACCAAAGTGCGGTTGAAAAGAATCTGGGTGCTGACGTCGAAGTTCGAGATGCTCTCGGTAAGGTGCGACATGAGCATCAAGTCACGCGAGCGGTAGTACTGGTCGTGCAGGGCAAGGAAGTAGATCTGAGAGAGCATGGCACGCGCTCTGATGATGCCATCGCTGAACTTGAAGAGGTAGTTGCAGAGCGTCTGGACGAGGTTCGTCACATCGCCAGTCTTGCTGCGAGGGGTGATGGCCGAATCCAGGCTGGTGTCCAGGGTCTTCCAGGTACCCTCCTCCAGGATCGTAACAACCTGGGAAGGCTTGAAGTAGATGTGTTCCAATCTCCTCATGACCACCCGGTTCAGGCTGTCCTGTCGGGGGTCGCTCTTGTCAGACTTGGTGAGACATTCGACATAGGCCTGGGCGCGGACAATGGCGGTGTAAAGCTGCTTCTCATCGCTCAGGCGCTCGATATACTCGGAAGTGTGGGGGTCAATGTGTTGCAAAGACCGGGTGAGTTCGTCATCGAGTCTCTCAACGTAGGAAACCATGCTGCCGGGAATGTAGACCTTCTCGCCGTCGGTGGGCTGGGGCTGCTTCTCATCGTCCTCCCACTCTTCGGCACCCTCGGCGACAACGTAGTCGGGGTTGCTCTCAAGGACGGAAAGCAGAGTGGTGAATTCCTGTTCAGCGAATTTCCACTGATCGATGCTCATGTAGTTCGCGGAGGATGAGGAGGTGAGGTCGAAGCGGGTCGAGATGAGGGTGAGGTAGACACGGATGCGCTGGTAGGGAGACTGGGAGACTTCCAAGAGCTTCTCCATCGTTCGGATCTGCTCAAGGCGGTCTGTGTTCTTCTTTCCACGAGATTCGACAATCACACGGAGATGCTTAAGGATGCTCTCGGGGGTGTACTGGAGAGTCTTGCCACCACGGCCAACGGTAGCGAAGCCGTCATCGTCGGCGGCGGAGACGGCAGCAGGCGCCTCGACACGCTCAACCTTGGTCTTGACGGGCCGGGGGGCGGCGGCGGCAGGCTTGGTGACCTCCTCGTCGGTCTCCATGTAGGTATCCTTGTTCGCGCGGTACTTCTCGACCTGAGTGGCGTACTCCTTGTTGTTCTTCTTGATACGTTGCTTGACGGCGTTGAATCCCTTGGCGTTGCTGGTGTTCATCTTCTTGTTCGAGGACTTCTGCTTGACGATGGTCTCGTTGACGAGATCCTCAAGGTCCGCAACGGTCTTGACGTAGATCTTGGGGGTAGGGCCAGACTGAAGAACCTTGACGATCTGGCGGTTCAGCTTGTCGAACTCTAGAATTCCATGTTAGTAAAATGCACCGTGTTTTTCTTTCAACTTCTTCCCCGGAATCCCCCTCCAAAGAAAAAAAACACGCACCGGCGGAGATGACGGCCCAGTCGTTAATCTTCTCGGCATTTTCGATGAGCTTGACGGTGCCCTCAAGTTCCTCCAGCCGCTTGTCCTTAGCACTCTTGACGACGGTCACTTTCTCCTCATCCTCACTTTCCTCGCTCTCCGAGACGTCCCTCAAGAAACGGTTGGGACCGGTTTCACCACCGGCCTCGTCATCGGAATCCTCCTCCGAGGAGTCCTCCTCCTCGCTGGACTCTTCCTCCTCCGACTGCTTCTCCGCCTCCTCACGATCGCTGTAGAGCTCCTCCTCGTCGGACGAGCTGCTGTCGCTGTCGCTACCGCCACCGTAGAAGAAACGCGACATTTTGGGCTGGTTTATCGGGTGATCGGATCGAGAGACGTCGCGAAATTCAAATAATCGGTCGCCTGAGACGCGAGCGTGACGCACAGTCGAATAGAGATGGTCTAGGCGATTCCCTTAAACCAGTTGGTTGGCTCTTCGCTGAAGGAAAATCCAGTTGTGAGGTTCGGGAGCCGCAGATTGGTCTGCGCGAGCCACACACGAAATTTAAGCGAGTTGGCGCCTAACCGCATGGGGCAGGTGGTGCCTGAGGCCACACACGGCAGAGTCATCGAGACTCCGCCTCCATCATGTTAAATGTGGAGATGCCATCCCTCGCTCTGGACTCTATGGAGTAGGGAGTACAGGCAGAGCGAGTTTTGGGGGACTTACGGAGGCCAGTGTCTTGTTAATTGTTTCCCACCCGGATTAAGGTGCGCCGCGTTTAATTCCAGACAGCTAAGAGTGTCAATATTCCATTCGAGTATCCAAACTACAGTAATGCTCTTGCTCTTTTTATACGGGGCTAAAAAGGAAAACAAAAGGAAAGGTGGCTATAAACGGAGTGGCAATGTCAGTCAGTGCCCTATGTAAGAAAGGAAGAAGATAACATGAGATTCGACATCGTAATGCAGTAGCAGTGACTAAGACAAAGAAAGAGAGGGGGTGGGGGTGGAGAAAGATATAAAGATAATTGAATCGCGGTCTTTCCAAATACTCCAAGCTATGCCGAAATGAGACACACACGCGAATATGAAGGAGTTGCGGGGGGAAAGTTGTAAAGCTAGAGATGAGCATACGAAAATCTGAAAGCTCAAATATAGAAGCAGGAAGACGGCGGTATCGGCGAGAGGCACCACGGCGACGAATACTCGCAAAGGGCAAGTTTCGCGTCACTCGACACCGTGAGAGGGTTGAAATGACATTGCGCTTCAATGTAATTCAACATGACGCCATCCCATGCGCCCGAGGGCAATAGGACGGATGTATCTCGACAATCGGATGTGAAACCACCAACTCCTTCGTCAGCCATGGGCTGGACGGGCAGGACTTGATAGCAGAGCAACCTGCTAGAGGCTCCAAGAAACGTTTCAATCACCACAAGAAGCCGACGACAATTTGGAGCAGCCCCGCGTTAATCACCCAAGAAAAACGCGCTCGGAACACTCTTGTTCAGAAGTGTATGCTGGCTATAGTACAATGTTGATGCACCTTCGGTGCCGCTTAAAACTGGCCTAGGATCAGTGCGTTCAATGCCATTGGTTGGGCGCGGCGTAGCCGTCACCCCCCAACACGCCATCCTCAAGGGTGCGAATGAAATCCCGGTTACGGGTGCCACCTGCACGGCTTCCTCGACGACGCTGGTTAGCAGCGTTAGGGTCAGCGTACCCCTCAGGAGGCGGAGGGTAATACGCGGGACTGGGTTGCAACCGAATGGGTGCATTAGGGTCCAAATGACTGGCGACTCGCTGGATAGTAGGCGGAATTCCTCCTCCTTGTGGGTCCATTGTTGAAGCACGTTGGCGACCGGCCCTCGTAGTTGCCTGCGCATACAGACTTTGAGACGGCGCGTATTGAGCTTGGGGCATTTGACCCGGCATCATGTTCATCTGGTGGCCGTACCCGGGAGGCTGAGTTGGATATGGTGGGGGAGCACCTTGCTGATGACCGGTAAACATGCCGTTGTACATAGGAGGCGGCTGTGCATGAGATGGCGTGTGGAACTGATTCATCTGCATCGAGTACGCATTCTGCGCCGCGGTTTGTGCCTGGGCCGCCTGGGCCGCCCTCTGCTTACTTGTCGCCTCCGCCTGTTGTTGTTGCTGGATTCCAGGGGCGACCGGTTTGCTGAGCGCCGAGTATTTCAGGTTCATCGGCGGCACAAAGGGTCCCGTGAACTTCTGTTGAGTAATGAAAGGATGCAATTTGGCCTGTTGGGGCGACCACCGCTCAAGCGGGTTGATGGTCAGTAAACCTCGGACGAAATCGATGAAAGCTGTTCGGTTATTGATTTCTGATCAAAAACATTAGCAAATACTCGGCGCGGTTGGTGGGAACGCTACATACCCCGCTCGATTTCCGCCTGTTTCATGTTTTTCCGTGGCATTGGATAGCTCCGGATTATTTCTTCCAGCGTTGTAGCCTGGAAATACTTCTTGCTTGGCTGTTCCTTCGTGTTATGTTCTCGAGAATACTGCTCCAGACTCTTCAGACGATACGTCTTCCTTCCGAATTCATCGTGAGTCTTCTCGAAGAACTCCCCGGACTGTTTGCCCATCTCCAGCATCCAGGGAGGAGGCAAGCCCATCATGTCTACAATGCGGCACACCTGATTGTATTCGGAAGATCCTGGAAACAGCGGTAGACCGAGGAAGAGCTCGACAACAATGCAGCCCAATGACCACATATCGATCGCAGAGGAGTACCTGGAGTGGATTAGCAGGTGGGGTTTGCGGGGGACTAAAGGTAAATCTACGTACGGCAAGCCAAGTAGAACCTCGGGAGAACGGTAGAATCGCGACTGAATATAGGTGTAAACTGTTTGCCGTTCGTCGCACGCAGATCCGAAATCAATGACTTTGATTATGGGGCTTTCCAGGCTAGAAGGAGCTGGGAGATTAGTCCTTGTAATACATGACACGGGGGATGGACAACTGACTTTTTCAGGAGTATGTTCTCCGGTTTCAAGTCACAGTGGATCAAGTGCGCCTTGTTCAGAAGACTCAATGCATTGAGCAATTGTTGAGCAAACACCCGTACCAGCGTTGTGCTTAACCCTCGGAATTGGTTTTGTTTGATGAGTTCGTAAAGGTTAACACTGAGCAATTCAAAAGTCAAACAGAGATGCTGTCTGTGGATAAAGGTGTCCTTCAGTCGGAGTAGATGGTGGTCGTCGTTTTTGTCGTATCTGCTGTTAAGCTGTGGTGCCACAGGGTAAGCTATGGTCCATAAGAGGACGACGTAGAGGAACGTACCAGGTCCAAAACAGAGACCTCCATCATACTCTGATTGAAGTAGGCAGTTTTATTTTTGATGACCTTGACAGCGACGACTTCCTGAGTTTTCAGGTTCTGGCATTTCACGACCTGTCCGAAAGTGCCTTGACCAAGCACATCAAGAATGAGGTAGCGGTTTCTAGATCAGTGGTTAGCGCCATTACACACGGCGAGTCCGGACAAGAGATGCCGAGGCCTGAACGCACTTGTGACCAGCTTCCTCGCTCCCCAGGATATCATTCACATATAAGATGTAGTCGCTATCTTCGTTATCGTATCCATCATTCTTGACACCCTTGCTGGGTTTGGTGAGTACTCGTCTCGGGTTCCTCGATGATTCGTAATTGAAGCCCGGGTTGCATATCCGATAAGTGGCGGGCAGATGCATCGTCAGAGCTTGAAGGGGCTGCGCAGATATTAGGGAAAGTTACAACGGCCCCGGGCGACTCGCAAGAAACTTACACTAATGAAGCCGCCTTCGGGATTAGCTCTTCTGTATGGGGGCTGCACATTGATGCGTGGCTGAAGCTCCTGGACCGATTTGATTTTCTGGAACTTGGGCACCGGTCCGCGGCCTGGTTGCTGGCTGGCGCCAGACATGGACGTGGGGCGTGGAGACCTCCCATCTTGTCCAAAGGCCGCACCGAGCTGAGATCCTGCCGAGGGAGGGTAATATTGGTCGAGGCCCAGGTCTGTAGACTGCAAAGGAGGGAGCCTAGGGGGTCGCGATCCAGTCGCTACGCAGGGGTTAGTTACTGAGCGTCATCCGAGACAGCACGCATGCAAGTATAATCAAACAACAAGGGGCAAGGGCTCACAGGGAGGCGACTGATATGGTTGAGGGGGCGAAGAGTAATTCGGCATTCTCGTCGGCGAGCGTCGAGTCTGGTTGGCAGCGGGAGGATGGACGTAGGTAGCGGGACCCTTCCCGGGACTCGAATTATACGGCATCGTGGGTGACAGGACGTTCATCGGGGAGTACCTGCGAGCCGCCGAAGACTCTTCGTGAGGGAAGTACTGAGAAGAAGGCCGGCTATGGTGAGTTGGCCTGGCGGCAGAGTATTTCGCTCGATTATACGGGTCCGCGTCCTCCATGGTGGTGTCGGCATCAGTGACATAATCGCGGCTACGTGGCGTCGCGGCCGGAGATGATGCCATAGAAACCGATTTCGAGTTGGCGGTCATGGTTGGAGGCTTGGCCGTCAGGGCGGGTGTTTGAAAAGCTTCATAGGTATAGCCAACAGGAGCCTGTTGTGCTTGTTGTGGCTGACCACCGTACTTAGCAGCAAGCGGCTGCCCGTTATTGAACTGCGCGGGACGGCCCATTAAGGGATCCTGATAAGGCTGCCACTGCGAGTCCATCTTTCATCCGCCTCTTTGTGTTCCTCTCTCGCGATGAATGTCTGGCCGGGGAGTGGGAGGAAGGAGGGAATTGGATAGGATGATCGATCGTCTGTTGCCGTGGACAGCGCACATGCACTGCGACCGGGAGGTAGATAGCAGCGGGGACGGCCGACGCAATCAGGCGGAGACGCGGAACACGAGCGAACCCCGATGCAATCGAGGGGTGGGAGACGAGAAGGAGGAATTGATGCTAATTCCGATTTGTGTGGCACCTCATTATCCGCAGGGTTGCTTGGTAAAGGTAGAGTGACGGACGGTGGGAGTGGGTGGTCCAAAGGGCGAAGGTTGCAGAGGAAACGGGGGGGCGGTCGCAATGCACAGTGGGAAGGGAATGGGTATCGACACGCCAAGGAGGCTGGGGGCAGGGCAGAAGCCAGAAGGACTTGCTTGCACACCCGGAGTAGCGCGGGAGTAAGTCCACGGTCCAAAATGAACAACAGAATAATAGAGAAAAATTAAATGGTGGGAGACACAATTAAAAAAGACGAAAAAAGAAGAGAAAAGGAAAATAAAGGGGAGAAGGTGGAAAGCGACGCCCAGCGAGTTGAGCGAGAGAGGCTAATGCGGAGGGAGGAGGGGGCGAGGAGGAACGCGAGAAGAAGAGAAGAAGAGAAGAAGAGAAGAAGAGAAGAAGAAGCAGCAGAAAGAAGCAGAAACACCAAGTGGAAGTCCTGGGGGCCTACCACTGGGATGTTACGCGGTTTCCAATAAGGCAGCAAAGCCAAGTTCCGCGTAGGAGTAATGATGATGGTGATGATGACAACAATTGTTATGCCCAGCGGGAATCACTCAAGGGATCAAATCATGTGTACAGGTGATTATTGTGTAGTTAGCAATCAATACAGTCAATCAATCAAGCATAACACATCTACAAGTTCCTTGTTTAATTTAGTTCACAGTGATTTAAATACCCCGGGATGGCTGTCTCAAGTCAACAGTCCGGAGTACAACCTCAGATCTAATTTTACGTGCATGCGCAAGTCAGGTCTGAGATGGATGGATCTCGTCTAGTCTTTCCCTAGTCTTTGCTCCGTGCCACGGCCTGCCTCTTGAATCTTGACCAACCTCTTGGACGATCAATCGCCCAGTGGAGCCAAGCCGCCCCCTTAGAAGCGAGTTAGCGACCGTCGGGCTTGACTTTTCTGTTGATCCAATCTCCAGTGTTGCGACTACTGGGAAATTGCCCGATAACCATCGTGATATTCTTAGACACGCCGGTTCTTCACACTTGACCAGCCAGTCTGTGATCCTTACCGACTGCAGAAGCCGAGAGTAATGATTTCATCCGAAGTATCGGGATACGGGAAAGTCAGAGTAAGAGAGAAGGATAGCGGAGAGACTCGAGACCTAGAAGTAGTTACTCCGGAGAAGCTTACAGTTGCAGCCCAAAGCGGTGACGGTGACGTGGGAGGCGAACGATGGGGGGATGACTCAGGCCGGAGGCGGTGGGTGTCAGGCAGCCGTCGGTGAGTCCATTCTGCCGGCACTTCTGCCTGGTACGGAAGGGTATCGTCACTTTCGTCAGGGTCCTTCGGCGCAAACCAACGCATCCCTCTCTGTCGCATTGAAGCAGTGGGCGCGCACAGTGTTGGGGATCTCGCGCACAGGCTAGGATTAGGTCTAGAATCTCTCCGAAGTCCTCCGACCCTTTAATGTTTCCTTCAAGTTAACCTCCACTTTTTCCCTGACCGTGCCATCTGCGACTGTGGCAAAAGCGACATCTTGGATCTTTTGCTGGTTTCCCTTTTCATTTTCTGTATCTATACAACTATAACTTCTAGCCCGAATAATTTGTGCAGCTTATGAAGAACCGAACAACGCGCTCGAAGACTCACCGAGACTCCACTAGACCTTCGCCGAACCTTCATCACCCCCTCAATCATGGCTCACGACGAGACGAGTGATGTCGATGCTGTTGTCCAGGATGGGGATTCCCAATTCCGGAATCAAGAAGACCGACCGGAGCTGTCCGAAGGCACCAGTACTCCCAACCCGGCACCTTTGTCGGGCGTAGACGAAGCAAGCCGCCTCCGAGAGCTGCAGGCCGACGTTCGAGACCAGGATGATCTCGAGAGGGATATCTCACGCCAGGTATATCCCAACTATGAGAAAATTCCCTGCTAAAGTATTATTCCCTCTAACTCAAGTAATAGGCCGATAAGTTGCTCCTGGAACAGGCCGATGAACGCGATAACAAGCGACTAGAAAAGACTAGTCAGGAAAAAGAGTATGACCCTAGTTCCCTCTTGTCTATCAGAATGCTCATACTCCTACTAGAAAAGTCGAATCGCAGATCTTAAAATTACACCAGCGCCTGTCACAGCCAGTTGGTACTGCCGCCCGTGTTCGCATTCAGAATGACATGCAAAAATTAGAATCCCGCAATGCTACGTTGGCAAGCGACTTGAAAGAAATCCGGCAGCGCATGGACGAGAGGCAACAGGGAAGAGAACCTGACGTGCAAGAAAATGGGACGGGAAGGCTGCCTCACGAGTCTCGGCGAGACTATCTCATTCGAACCGGAAAAATTACACCTTTCTCAACTATGGGTTCTGGCCCAACCGAAGGGCCCTTATATAACCTTCAGGATACGCTGATTGATGCCGAAGATGAGCGCGATGAGAAAGATGCACTTGAACAAGTTAAGCAACGTTCGGCTGTCTCTCATCGAAACCTGGTGCGTCCAGGTTTCGGGTTTGACGAGGCCAGCGAAAACTCTATTGAAGAGAAACCCGAGCGTCCTAAAAAGAGACGGAAGCTAGAAAAAGAGGTTCATGCACGAGATGTTTCGCAACCAGATGATCCAGACCTCACGGCAGAAAGCCCGGCGGAAGAGGCTGCTTCCGACGATGGTTCAGGGAGTTATGTGGCATCTGAAGGAGCAGAATCTCTGTCTTCTGACGAAGAGGACTTTATAACCGAGGAGAGAACCACACGGCCGGCAGCTTCGGGTAAAACGAAGACAACGGATGATATGGAAGACTTCAGTGGAGTAGATGACGGAAACGAAAAGGTCTACCAGTCCAGACTTCAGAGCTGGGTCGAGCGTAGGAGCGCTGCCCGACGACGCACTCTGCAGGCGCAGGAGACGAACATGGAGCCCGACGCTGGCCATGATGAGCAGGAAGAAGAGTGGTTCATGCCACACCCCACCGTCCCGGATCTACCATACGATAACTCCTATCGTATACCCGGCGATGTACACCCGCTCCTGTTTGATTACCAAAAGACTGGAGTTCAGTGGCTATGGGAATTGCAGCAGCAGCAAGTAGGTGGTATAATTGGTGATGAGATGGGGCTGGGGAAGACCATCCAAGTTATTGCCTTCCTGGCTGGACTCCACTATAGCAAAAAACTAACGAAGCCGGTCATCGTCGTATGCCCCGCTACGGTCATGAAACAGTGGGTCAATGAGTTTCATCGATGGTGGCCACCGTTCCGTGTTTCGATCCTACACACCTCTGGCAGTGGTATGGTCAACATCCGGAATGAGACCAGCAGAGAAGATGCGCTCTTGACGCAGACGCGGGATTTTCGCGGCGTCTCGGGCGGCCTGAAGGCTGGCAGGAAAGTGGTCAAGCGCGTTATAGAAGAGGGTCATGTGTTGGTGACTACGTATTCTGGTCTACAGACGTATGCACCTCTCTTGATCCCGATAGAATGGGGATGTGCGATCCTCGACGAAGGCCATAAGATTCGGAATCCGAACACATCAATTACCATACACTGCAAAGAGCTTCGAACCCCCCATCGCATTATCTTATCCGGCACCCCGATGCAGAACAACCTCACGGAGCTTTGGTCGCTTTTCGACTTTGTCTTTCCTATGCGCCTGGGAACGTTGGTTAACTTCCGAAACCAGTTTGAGTTCCCCATCCGCCAAGGAGGCTACGCCAATGCCTCCAATCTACAAGTTCAAACGGCCACCAGGTGCGCCGAAACCCTCAAAGATGCCATGAGCCCATACCTGTTACAGCGATTCAAGGTGGACGTGGCGGCAGACCTTCCGAAAAAGAGCGAGCAAGTATTGTTTTGCAAGCTCACGAAACTTCAGCGGCAAGCATATGAGGCCTTCCTCGGCTCGCAAGAAATGCAAGCCATTCTTAGAGGACGCCGACAGGTCTTGTACGGAGTCGATATTCTACGCAAGATTTGCAACCATCCGGATTTACAGAGTCACAAGTTCAACTCCCATCAATCGGGCTATGGAAATGCTACCCAGTCCGGTAAAATGCAAGTGGTCAAGTCGCTGCTAGAGTTGTGGAAGGACACTGGGCACAAGACTCTTCTATTTACACAACATCGCATCATGTTGGACATTCTCGAGAAATTCATGAACTCGCTTTCCGGATTCAATTACCGACGAATGGACGGAACTACGCCCATAGCTCGTCGACAAACCATGGTCGACGAGTTTAACAATGACCCGAACCTGCACGTCTTTCTTCTCACAACAAAGGTGGGAGGTCTGGGCGTCAACCTCACCGGGGCAGATCGAGTCATTATCTATGATCCGGATTGGAACCCTTCCACCGATATGCAGGCGCGTGAGCGAGCATGGAGGCTGGGACAGAAGCGGGAGGTCACCGTCTACCGACTCATGACGGCTGGAACGATCGAAGAAAAGATCTACCACCGACAGATATTCAAACAGTTCCTCACCAACAAGATCTTGAAGGACCCCAAGCAACGGCAGACATTTCAATTGAGTGATTTGCACGATCTGTTCTCCCTCGGAGACGAGACGCAAGGTCCGACTGAAACTAGCAAGATCTTCCAAGATGCCGACGTTACCTATGAGGGTGGTGACAGCCCTGCTCAAAAATCCAGCAGATCGCGACGTGGAGGGGGCCGTGGCGGTGAACCTCCAGAGAAGCAGAAGAACAACGAGGTCGGCAAGGTGGAGGGCATTGCATCGGTCGAGGAATTCCAAGGCGATCCAGAAAAACCGAGCGAGCAGGATGAAGGGTCTACGGCCCCGAAGTCGGAGTCACGTCTGATGGAAGGCATCTTTGCTCGTTCCGGAGTCCATTCCGCTCTGGAACATGACCAAATCGTGAACGGTAAACGCGTCGTCCGTGCAGATCCCAAGATCATCGAGGCTGAAGCCAAGAAGGTGGCTGCCGAGGCCGCCGAGGAGCTACGACGAGCAGGCGAAGCCGCCCGATCCGTGCCAATTGGAACACCAACCTGGACAGGTCAATTTGGTCTCGCCGGAAAGCCCGCGGAGCCGGCATTCGGTGGAAGTAGCAGCTCAGCCAGACGAGGGCCGGCCGGTCCGTCGTCTGCTAGTATCCTGGCCAATCTCTCGGCCCGCACGCCCTCGTCTCGCAGCGCAAGCAACAGCCCTGCGCCAGCCAAGGCTACCAGTGGGATTGACTTCATCACCAGGATTCGCGATTACATCACGTCTCAGGGCGGGTCAGTCTATACGCAAATGCTGATTGACCATTTTAATCGTCTCTGTACCACGCCTCAGCGGTCGGCGGAGTTCAAGGAAATGCTGAAAACGATTGCGGTACTGGAAAAGGGCGGTCGCAACGGACGAGGGAAATGGTCGTTGAAGCCTGAGTACGCCCAAAAACGGTCCTGATTATTCCTCACGGAAAGATGGAATATTCAGCTACTGGATCCAAAGGGCGATGGTGTACCGCGGACCAAAGGGAGACATATAATTATAAACATATATTTGACTGTACTATGGGAGACTTTGTCTGTTGCATTTGGGTTTAGGCAGGGAAATAGAGTTGGAACATGGCGTCAATCATATGAGATATGAGACCGGATACTTTGTTAATGCACGTGTACGATATGACCTAAGGTAACCGACGAGTGAAACCGAGGCTGTTGAACTGTAAACACCGCAGTAGACGTGGAGTAGGTGACTCCTTTCATTTCCCACATGCATAATTGTATTGTTTACCCCTGAAGTGATGTCAGTCGGGGTGTGTACCAGATCGCGAGAGTCAATGGAACCGATGATCGTCACGATATGAAAGTGTTGGCACTTGGAACTTGGAAATGAATGCAATGACATGACAATGACATACTGACTAGCTCGTGTTTTAGCCATTAACCTAAACTAGATCGAAGCTATCAACTCTAGTTGATGTGAGACGCGCTGTGCAGGGCTGATTCTAATTAGACGTTCGATTATATACTACAGAGTGCCCTTATCAGGGATCTAAGTGGATAGAAAATCTCCGCCAGAGTACAGTAGAAAAACATGTCCGATGGAGAACGATGTAGATCGTCATTCCAGATTAACCATGGATGCCCTGCTTGTTAATTTGTTATCTACCCCTGACAACTATTTGTTTGAAGATCGACGCGAGACAACAAAAATAGCAACAAGGTATCTGGACTGTATCGGCACATACATGCCGTGCGGGAAAAGTACCTTTGCAATACCAGGTCTTCACAATGACGGTACCATGCTATAGATCCTTGAATGACTACTACTTCTCTGTATAGCTTCATCCCCTTCCTTATCTCCGATCCCGACGCGATCTCCTTCCCACTGCACGCTTGTCACATTCTCCAGTCGGGCTGAATGTCTCAGTGTCCCCCGCCTTCATTCCCCGGCTGACCGACGATCGTCCTCTGAAATTCGCCGCCCATGGTTACTGATCCACTCGCCTGTGGAGATCGACTTTCGTGGTTGCTGCGTGCCAAGTCAGAGTTGTTGTACCTTAAGGTCCTGAACTCTCGACATCTGGGAATCGGCCGGTCCTCACTTCTGCAAACTCTTTTTCCAGTCTAATTTCCGGTGGAAATCAATACCATTACATACAGTCCATCGCGGGGAGGGAAAATCGACGAGAGTTTAAAGTTGCCCTGACCGAAAGAAAAAAAAAGTTATATAGAGCCTCTCCCCATCCGCCCTCTTTGCCACCTCCCACCTCCCTCCTTCTTGCATCCCTCTCTCTTTCTCTCTCTCTCTCTTCATCTCTCGAGCAGGTTCCTTCGTTCTGTTCCTACAAACTCTCGCTACTTTCTTTCCTTGTCTATACTCTCTACGAGACCATTCTTTCACCATGAAGCTTCTCTCTTCCCTTGCTCTGCTGGTCTCCGCCGTGGCAGCCAACCCGATGGCGCGGGCGAGCAACGCCAGCGACACTTTCCACCTGAAGACAGCCGGGGCATCCGATGCGAAGCACAACGATCTCTACGTGTATGCCTATCACACCGGCGCCGGATTCAACGACGCTGTCCTGACCTCGGACACCGACACGGCCAACCCGGTCTTCCTGAACAACACGCACGCCCAATTTGCCCTAGACACTCCTTTCCCGTGGGGACTCAACATGCCCCCGCACAACAACTATGCCGGTGAGTACTTTCCCTGGAAGGGCCTAGATTCGGAGGGATTGAGGCTAACATTTTTGCCTTTCCACCTGTTAGCGTGGGAACCGGTCGAGATCAACACCGGATACGGGACCGACGGGTTCTTTATCGATGACACCGGATTGCAGTGGTCGAGCAACCTCTTCGGGGGTTGGTTGGGTAAGTTTTCCCTCGTGATGCGTTAGACTTCATTGTCTGTTAGAACGGGTATGAAGTCATCCTTGGTGAATTTGCCACTAACGGAGCGCCCCAACCGATATAGTGTGCGACTGGTACCACAACGAACCCCAGCTTTTCTACCTGTACCGCCCATACGAAGCCAAGCTGCCCTCGTCCTGCAGCAAAGTTAACCTGGAAGTCGAGCACCTATCCTGAGAGAAACGACTCGGTACCACCCGACGAGGGCAATGGTTCAATGACGCGCGTGGCGCAAGTTGATGATTCATACGGACGATGTACCGCTCGCTTCTCCCAGATTCGTACCAGAGTCAATGAAAGTTTATTGATAGGCCGTCGGGGAGATGCCGTGCGTGCATCCGGATAATGATAATTTTCTGTAATGACTGCGATGGCCTTGGAAATATTATGGCGGACGGTTTGGTTGGCTTCGAGGTGGATAACGGGTACTTATGTATTTCTTCTTGATGTTTGATAATGATTGTTGCATGTATGTATCTCGATCGACGGAAATGCGACAGACGATATACTTTATCCAGCCAACGATCACCCAAGGTTCGTTGCCAATAATTGCCAATAATGCACGGCCGCTGGCTCGGTCGGTCCGCCGGGCGACCGTGGAGCTGCCTCGGAGACGGACACAACCTGGAGTCGGGACAACTCACCACCGAGGACTGCGACGGAGTATTCCGTAGACTTTGGGCCTACACCGTAGAAGATGAAGAATTGCGAGACACTGTCGGGTCTGTGAGGCGCGGTGGACGACCAACGCCAAACCAGGCCAATCAATGTGATGCCTCAGGCCGGCAGCCAAAAATAGACGGTGTCTCACATGTTGTGCCCAAAGGGGCTTAGCGCTGTTGACTTCTTTCTGGTCTTTTTCACCATTTCGCCTTCTGCCGGCCACTTCTCAACTTCTCACGGCCCTCGCTCGCTCGGCGTCTTTGTTTCTCGTTTTCTTCCCATCTCGCCGTCTCTGTTAGACCTCTTTCTGACCTCTCGCCCGTTGTTGTCTACCCTCGTTGCGCCGTTTCGCATCCCAGTCACTCGCTTTACATTGTTTACCCACCCGCCCGCTCTCAGTCTCCTCCCGGGCTCCTTATCATCCGATCTGCAGGTTTCAGGGCCCACCGCGCTGGAATAATAATTGGCCTGGTTTGCATCCCACTTGACTCGCCGTCTCCTGAGCAATTCTGTCGTCCGTCTGTCTGGGCCTGGGGCAAAAAAAAAGCACATCCGACATCTTTTTGTTGATCCCTCACTTGACTTTTCCCTGATCTTCGTTCCCACTCACTCGTTTGCTGTCAATATTGGGGAACACTGGGGAAGATTGGACCATCGATCGGAATCGAGTTTCTCTATCACGGGATCCGGTTGAGCTGTCTTTTTGTTTTCTTACTTGATTCGTTCGACCGTTAAGCAACGCCATCGAGCTTCTTTCATCATGCGGACAACCACCTTTCTTTCCGTCGTTTACCTTTTCCTCGGCCTGGTCTCGGCTTCGTCAAATGGCTTAGACCTGGGCCACGGTGCTCTGGTTCCTCGAGCTGGTTAGTATCATCGAAACCCGTCCTATATCTCATTTAGTCGACTCATGCTAATCGTCTTCGGTTCTTCAGATGAGACTACCACCGCTGCTGACAAGGCCACTACGGGTGCCGCTGCGACCAGCGAAAAGACCGCCACGAAGACAGCGACCGACGACGCCACCAGCACGGGCACAAAGACCGGAAAGGAGACCGACAAGGAAACCGGCACCGCAACTGGCAAGGAAACTGGTAAAGAAACCGGCACGGGCAAGGAGACTGGAACGAAGACGGGCAAGGCCAGCAAGACGAAAGATGACAAGAAAACCACCTCGACCTCGATCGATCCTCGTTCGCCCGCGGGTGGTGTCAAGATGCTGACCCCGTCGACTGGTGCCTCGAGCTACTACAAGATCGGTGAACACGTCACCTTCGTCTGGAACTACACCTCGCTGCTGGTGACCCCTTCTGCCGTCAATGTCATTGCCTCTTGCAGTCTGAACAGTGCCACCTATACGATTTCGAGCAACATGAGTGTCGAGGAGACCGGAAAGGTTGTGTGGGATACCAAGAAGTACCAGGCCAATGCGACCGTCCCTCTCCTGACTGCGACCTACACCTTGGTCATTTACGATGCGGACACCGAGATCGGGGACACTGCCGGTCCCGGTCACCTGAGCTCGCAGAACCAATTGAAATTCGGGATGTATGTGCCTCAATCATACACTCCCCTGAACGGTAAGTCTACGTCTTCTCCCACCCAAGATTCCAAAATGACAAACATCTAACTTGATACAGAATATCACTGCGTAACCTGCAGCGGAGCTCTATCCGACATGGAGCGCAAAGCCCTCAAGTTCGCCGTCGGAATGGTATTGATAACCGTTGCCTCCTTCACTTGGTTCGCTGGAGACTTTGGCGTCTTCTCCACATGATCTTATCTTCTCTCCGGACCCCAACACCGGCGATGAAAATACACCGACCCTACATACATCAAAAAAGAATATTGATTGCATCGAACTGAGCGGATTCTCGTTTTCAGTCATGACGATAGCGTTACTCTCAGCAAAGGAACTTGGCCTGGCGTTAAATGCGGTATATTGCTTGGGATCTATTTCACTTATTCCGTTGTTTATTTTCATTTTTTTTTCTTTATCTCTTTGCCCTACAGCACCAGCGGGAATTTTTTTTGAGTATAATTATCAATTTGCGGATGATTTACCTCATGCCATTTTTTCCCTGTATAATGAGCTAGTTGATTTGATACATAGGATTAATTCTGATGGATATTGTACATGGATCTACTTGCAGATCTTGAGTGTGACAAGTGACTGAGGATTGAGACTGGACAGAACAGAAATGAAACTGCACATCTACTCTCTACATCTTATTAATTCAACTTGTTCCATTCATCCTCCACCATGCATCTAGCCTATAGACCAATCCGATCCATTCCAATTGAATCCACAGCATGGCCTGCTGACGTACTGTACATACATAGACAATGCACTCTCTACCTTGCAGTCCCACCGTTGGCAACATACAGCAGGTAATCAGCCTAGCCTTCTGGTTCTGTTTCCTTTATTGGCTATTATCTTGGTAGTTGGTGCAGGTAATGAATGGGCTGCTGTGGAGCGTGGCAATGGAAGATAAGTAGGTAGGTATACTGGTCGGGGACTTCCCATCTATCTCCCTGGTCTCACCTTCGCAATTCTAAGCGCTGATTTCTCTCTTGTTTCTATCTGAGTTGTAATAATTCATTTCATTAAGGCATGTTGATCTCGTATGTTGATATTTCTTCATAAGTATGAATTTTCAAATCTCTCTATTATTCGTGCATTCTATGTACATAAACATCCTCATGTGTTCAACAGGTTAGAAAGAAAAGAGAAGATCCCTCTCAACTGGGCTAGGTCTGGCCTGAAGGGCCCCTCATCGAGGAAACTCAACCCTATGGCGTTTGTCAATGGCAACTAATCGATGTCCCTCACGAACCGTGAGCCGGATGTGTGCGTGCGTAGAAACGATGCCGGTTACCCAGGCGAGACGATTGGTCTCAATGGGACGACACGGAGGGAAGAGAAAGGGGGGAAGGAAAGGAACGTATGTGCGTGTGAATGTGGGCATGGATGTGGTGTGTGATGTAGGTAGTGGGTATTGTTGTGCAAATAACGATGGTAATCAGAAAGACAGGCCGGTTCTATTGGCGAGGCAGTCACCGGGTGAAAGATATTATTTCTCGAAGAAGGAAGTTATTGGATTTTTGAAGAGGGCACTTGGTTGGAAGTGTAGCGTTGTGGGTGCTGGGTTTGGGATCGAGATGGGCGGAGTACTCGGCTTGTTGGCAGCATGATCTGGTATATCGGAGTGCTAGACGGTAGTGATGGCTTAATGATGTGGATTGGGTTGGACCGATCTGAATCTGTGATGGTGGTGCTGTGTGCTTGGTATTTGGTATAGCGTTTGGGGCCAGGGTCGATCAGATGCAGCTGGCATGATAGACTTCCCAGGTTGAAGATAGCGGTTGCCCTGCCGTTGGAGAAGGCATGAGTTTGTGCTGGCGGATCGTTGGTAGTTGAGTTGCTGCGTCGGTCATCTTGCCGCATTTGATGCATGGGGTTTGCTTGATGCTGGAGTAGGCAGATATCATGTCCTAGTAGTGGTAAGTGTCTGAACATTTCAAAAGTCGGCGACGTAAACTTACAAGTAGATGGGCAAGATCCCATTGCCGAGGTCGTGCATTCAAACAGTCGGTAATCAACTTCTCCAACTTCGTCTGGGGTTGTCCTGGAGCCGCCTTACTCGTGACTTGCCATTCAGGCACTCCGTTCCCTTCCGTTCCGCCAACAGTGTGGACATCGAAGACCATCCCCGCTTTTCCAAGAGCAACGATAACAGAATCTTCGCTTTTACTAGGAACCAAACGCACACCGGGCACATTCCTCTGAGCGAAGCCGTCCACGACCGCTCTCCACCCGCCCTCGGCCGATCGGATATTCGACCGCTCCTGCTCCTCGGCAGCTTTGCGCTGCTGCTCGTTCTTCTTCTCTTGCTCCTTCAGCAGCTCCTCAAGGATCGTGTCGTAATCCTGCTCCCATACCCCGGTAGGCTGCAGCAAGATGCCGCCATTCTCCTTGATCTGCGCATCGACATGCTCCCAGACGGCTTTCATCTCAGGGCCGCGCCACATATTCTGGAACGCCTGGACTTCGGCAGCGCCATCCTGAAAGCATTGAGAAAGCTGCTGAAGCAGAGCCCCTGGCGACTTTGGCGCCGACTGAGCCTTGGGATTCGGATTTGGCGTCAAGGGATCCAGTAGGCGTTCCGGAAGCAGAGTCCGGAGTTGGTGAACCTGCAAGTGTTTAAAAACCATACATTTTCTAGCGCATGCGCACCAGCAGGACGCGAAAGGGGGTCACAACATACCATGGCCTCCAATTTCTGGAGTTTCGCCAAAGAAGATACAAGCTGCATTTCGGACTCCGAGATCTCGGCGCTGGAAGCCCCATTGTCGACCACGACCGGAGCGATGTTCCCCTTAGTGTCGGGTTGAGGCTGAGGCCGAGCGGCGGCGCTCGTGGCGACATTAGCCGGGTTGAGCGGATTGCTCATGGTGCCGATGGTAGAAGGCGTAGAAGTACTTGGATTATTATTATTGACAGGATCCGGTTTCGCAATTTTCGATTTGGAGGGATCGGAGCCTTGCGGTGGGGCCGCGGTAGACGGAACTTGCATTCTTGGTACGACGACTGCTACTGTGGGAAACTGTCTGGGGGTTTGCTTGGAGGGAGTGGGCATAATTTCTTCGTGATAACTTTTTGGATGCAAGAATTGGAGATGTGATTTCACGGGGAGCAGCACTCTATTCCGACTTTGCGGCTGATAAAGAGGGTCCAGAGATCAATACCGCGAAGTCTTGTAAATTCACTTGTCGGAGACTGGAACCAGTCAAGACAGGAAAGCGTGATGATATCAGTTCATGAGAGAAGAATGGGGGACGATGGTGTTCCAGAGCTAGAGAGATCCTTGGTGGTTGAACATTGAAATGCGCCAGAACAAAGCCGCGGAATAATTGGGTGAGAGTCGCCGGGTCACGGGGTGCGCCACAGTCTGGGCCGACGCCACAATGGGGCTTGGGCTGTTCCTTACGGGGATGGTGCCTGAGGCTCCTATTGGTTACTCTTGTTACACCCACTACAGGTTTGGATGACCACCGCTAAACCTTCAATATCATTATCACATGAAACAATCTGTGATTGTAATTATTAAGAAAGTCTGACTTTCACTCCCCGGTCATGAGACATGGTAAGAGTCGAATGAATCTTGGGCACCTGGATTTCCGGATCGGCGCATTCTACAGTTTGGAATTTTTGAGCCAGCTTGACCAATGTGTAGCTTGCTTCGGTGAGTGCATATTGCTCTGAACGAATTGGGGTTGTTAGTAATGCTAAGGTCTCGTAATTGGGAATAATGGGCCATGATGCCAGGACCAGGAGAACTTACGACCAAGACAAATGCGCGGTCCACCGTTGAAGGGAAGATAGTCCCAGCTGCGGCGTCCATTTTCTTGCCAACGTTCCGGACGGAAGACATGTGCATCAGGGCCGTAGAAGTCGGTCCGTCGATGCATGGCGTAGACACTGTAAGTGACCACCATTCCCTTTGTGACGTAGATTGGAGATTTGCGATCCGGCCCTCCTCCCACAGGCAGCGAGGTGTCCTTGGTAGCGACACGGAAATTCAAAGGCACGGGTGGCATCAATCGAAGAACTTCATTCAGGACGTATCGCAGGTACGGAATGTCCTTTAACTTGGTCTGTGTGATCTGTTCTCTCGGGTGCTCGCTATCTCCGAATTCCTCCACGATTAACCCCCGAAGCTTGTTCCAGACGCCGGGGTTGCGAGACAAAAAGAAAAAGGCCGAGCTGAGTAGACTGGCCGTGGTATCACGACCGGCCAGCAAGATGTTCAGCATGTTATCACGAAGAACCTTGGGGTCGTCGTTGTCCTCGGCCAATGCTTCAGCGAAGATGTATCTTCCCTGCTCCTTCTTTTCGGGGTGTCTTTTGGATTCGATCGCAAGGCGCACATAATGATCCACCACCTCGTGGACACGCTTGACGGAGTCTTGAAATTCCTTCGGGTTCACCATCCAGTAGAAGTCCACCGCTCGAGATCGCGACGCCAGATAGTCTTGGGCTGTGTTGAATGCTTCCGCAAAGCCCTGCGCATTGCCAACTGATGACTTCTCCAAAAGACCCGCATCGACGGAAGAGTGCATGGAGCCCACCGACTCGCCGAAAAGGAAGTGGGTCGCAGAGTCGATGGTCAAGAGAAAGAAAAGGCGCTGAATATCAAAGGACGAGCCGTCCTTCGGAATGAGATCAATCATGCGGGAGACATGGCCATCCATGAGATTCAGATCGGCTACCTGGTCTCGCGCGAATTGGGGCCGCAAGAGACCCCGCGCATGAGACCATCCTCCCCCATCGAGGGTGAAGATGCCATCACCAAGCAAGGGGTAGAACTCGCGGTGCCGGGTCCCCAGACTGAAGTCGGTGAACTGGGTGGCTAGCAGAGCTTTGATGTTTTCTGGATCAATGGTGGAAATCATTCTTCGACCCATGACCTTCTGCGTGAATGTATTTCCATACAGTCCGTACTGATTAGCAATGTATTCAACCCATCGCTTTTCCTTGACTGCGCGAGACAATCGAAAGAAGGTTCTAAAACCGAAGATACCGGGGGAGCCTGGGGCGGCCGGCTGGCAACGTAGGGATTGTGCGTGCTTGCGATGCTTGTATAGTTGTTGGATGTATTGTAGGACCAAGAAGGTCACGTACAGGGCGCCACCGAAGACCACCACGGGGGTCAGCATGGCTACAGTGGGGAATGAGCTATCAGCTGGAGGATAAGGTAATAAAGGAAAAAAAAGGCTCGGGGCGAGAATCAATGTAAAGGTTTCTTCTCCAAGCAGTCGTGTCTCGTGGCGGGAATCGCCTGTAATATATTCCTGTGGGATGCTAGTCTCCGGGGTCGCCTCGGTCGAAAGGCATGTGAGGAGGTAGAGTATGACGGGGCATGCCTCGATGGGGTGAGAGACACGATGACCCAAGAGCCAAAGACGAGGAGATGATTGGAAAAGTGAGGAAGGGCGATTCCACCTCGGAACGGGTAGATCGCAAGCATGTCCCAAAAGGGCTAGTGGACTGGCTGACGAAGAAGACACGCTAAACCCGAGGATCTTCCAAACTATTACCTACTGAGTATGTATTACTATCGTTGGTATGTTGTGTACTATGTACTGCACACCGGAAATGCTACCTACACTAGGATGCGCTTCCTTCGGTGGGCTTGTAACATTTCAGCCACTCCTTCAGGGCCGCCTGAAACAGCTCACGTGAAGCCTTGCCCGGCGTGGACGTTGGCTGGAAGTCATAGCAATGCATCGAATTTTTAAGAATCTGTCCAAATATCGTGTTCGGCTTTGTCACCCCGCACTCGGGGATCTCGGTTGTCCAAGCGACATCTTGTGGCGCGATTTCTTCGGTCGAGACAATGGACAACGTGCGCCAAGGGTCGAATTCTCCGCCGCTAAAGTAAACATTGGAAGGCCGGATATCCCACCCACCGAGCTCCGCATTGAGCGCATCAGCTTGCGGATGTGCTGGGATCATACCGGGGAACTGTCGATCGCAGATCCATTGCTGGTACTCCAGCGTTTGGTAGCGAGATAGAAGCCCGTGGGGCCCGAAATTGTTGCTTTGAAGGAATCCCCATTCTGTACAATACATCCAGGTCCAGCTGATAGAGTCCGGGTCGGTGAGCGGAGAGTTCAGTTCGCAATCCAGAGGAAGTGAATCGTCGGCTTTCCTGCAGTTGGCCCCAGTGTTCAGATTGACCAAGGGCGTGAACACAGGCCACGAGGCCCAGCGCTCTGCCAAATGTTTATTTCCGAGGGTTGGGGCCAGTCCCTCTGGGCCCGCCGTCTGGTTGGTCTCTGGGTCAAGCTCCAAGTAGTTGCAGAAGTCTTCCAAACTTCCCACGCTGGTCCCAGCTGTCCCGTAGTTCTGGAAGAAACCATATAAGCTGCCTAGGGCCGTGGTGAAGTCCTCGTTGCTATTATTTTCGGCCCCATCGCCGAGGAAAAGCTTCTTGATAGAGGCTGACGTTTGGGGCTCTGATAACTGCTCGTCGATATACTTGAGAGCCGCGTGGATGTCTTTGGTGCAGTTTCCAAGCCCGTTGGCAACCATTCCCCGGTAAACAGGCTCGTAGTATATGCCCATATCAACGCGAGCTTGTACCGGAGCGGACGAAGAAAAGGCAGCGAAAATAGTGTCTGGATGTTCGTTACGGGTGAAGGCAGCCCGAGACCCGGCATATGATCCGCCGACCATGACCCACGGCGTGGACTTGGGGGTTAGATCTAGATCGGGATGGCTTTTGCGGCTGAATGTTTTCGCAAAATGGGGAATGTCTTGCAGGGCCTGCTTAGTGGTATGATACTGTAGATGTTCCGCGGGTGTGTTATTGTTAACGGGAAAGGGAAGAGAGTCCCCGAAATACCTGACCCCTGTTAGTCCTGCGCTCTGCTCGGCATGCGGAATACAAGACCAACCGGTGCTCCCAAACAATCCCTATAGCTTGAAGGTCCTGCAGCATTCTCCGAAAGAAAGATAGATCCGACATTAAGCGGGATTGGGCCGTCGCTTCTGCGCCGGACTCCCCAGCGTCATACAAGATAACTGGACTTCCCGGGACGAAGAACTCTTCATTTACCCAATATCGATTGTTGTAAGTTCCGACAGACAGATTGTAATGGTCGATAGGAATCTGAAAGGCGATGTCAGAGATGCCATATTCACCGGACTACACAGGAGACCATACCTCGACATATTCTGCTGGGACCGCAGGCGCTTGGTTCGGACCGTGAGATATCAAAGAATGGAAAGTCGAGCGATCATCTAGATATTGTCCCGGATCTATGCCTAACTCAGCCGCGAGGTCAAGTTGCCGTGTGAATTCTAGATTGTGCAATCCTAAGCCCAGTACAGGACTGGACAAAAGCACCAGGGAGAAAAGACTTGAATATGTGAATATAAACATGTTGCAAGGTGTGTCTTGAGGGGCGTGATAACTCAGCCCTTAATCGGTATTGACAGGCACCTGAAAGTATACACAGCGTACCCCATACGGAAAGACTGTCTGCATTATATACTATCAGGCGGACAACGCCGCCGCTCACGGACAATGGCATGGCAAGATAGTTATCATGCCGACAATGACATGTCTAGCAGAAACTTGAATACCAGGAAGTGGGTCCCATCGCATTTAGGCCACGATATAATCGTGTGCAGCAGACACAAAAGTATGTTGAACAACAGGTTGCCCAATGCGGATGAGGGTTTGACGTCTTGGGGAAGGGCTCGACAGGGGCGGGTGGCGCTGCCCGGAACGACGATCGGAATGCTTCCAAGGGGTAAACCAGCCTCCAGATAGCATGATTCGGATGAAAACAAACAATATAGCAGTGCCTGAACATGGACAGCATCGCTGGAGCAACTGAGCTGTTAGATACAGAATTGCATTCATTGGCTTGATGCCAGATTTCGGAGCAAGATAGGAAGAAAAAGAGACCGATTGTCAAAGATAACGTCGGCGGAGCATCAAAAATAAATGCTGACAAGAAGGGGATTCGAACCCCTGTCCCTTTCGAGATCCGTGTAACCACCTTTTTCAGGTAAGGATATAATTGTATATCACTTGAAACGGACGCCTTAGACCACTCGGCCATCTTGCCGCTTACATAAGCTTTCGAGTACTTGGTTAACGTAAACCACATGCGAGCTGCGAATCTAAGCGAGCTGCGAATTTGTATTCCCATACAAAATGGCACTTTTCAACTTGGAATATCTCAGCCATTTCTATATCGCATAAAATATTATTAAAACCTAGGATTATATGAAACTATTTAATGATAATATACTAAATTTTAATCTATTCTTTAGACTAATTGTCCAGGTATTATAAATTACACTGTATTATAAAGCTCCATATGTATTTGAGACTCCCATAGGTTTCTTTATTATATAAAAAAAATATTATACTACTTACCTATATAATACTTCAGGTCTTCAATATATTTTATTAGAATAGAGGGATGGCTGAGATACTCCAAGTTGAAAAGTGCCATTTTGTATGGGAATACAAATTCGCAGCTCGCTTAGATTCGCAGCTCGCATGTGGTTTACGTTATGGCATAATGCATTATCAACGGGGCAAACGTACAATTCTGGGAGGGGACCAAACTTTCCTTCCTATTAATTCCATCTATCATTGCGTCAGATTCGGGAAAATGTTGCTTCTCGTCATTGCCTGCCAGAAATACCGATGTATTGACTAAAATGTATTCTGCTGCATTTGTCATTTAGACACGTCACACTATCACATAAGGTATACGGGACTCCGTCGGAAGGAATTACTGTCAAGGGCAGCATCTAATTCTTTCCTCGAAGGCAAGTGGACAATCCACGCTACAGATGGTTGACAAGAGTTGAAGTCTTGAAGAGGAATTGGACCCAGTCACCCACTCAACAACAGCCGGGCCCACCCGGAGCGTTTCATGGCAAGCTCGTTGGCAAGTCCTAAAACAACCCGCTGATCTTGGCAACTCAGGGCCGCAAAAACATCGGCACAGGGTGACACTAACAGGATGGGGTGCAGGACTGAGCACATGGTAGGGCTAGGGGATTAAGGACCATTTTAGGCCAATTCCTACCTCCGGCGGGGCGGATTGCCATTGCTAGAGACAGGCCAGGTTGACTGGTTAGTGATGTGACATTCCACGGAGCACCAAGTGATTGATGGACATTCTACATGAGCAAGCCTCGTTACCGGACTCCTCTGGACAATCTACCGATCGATGGCCCTGAAATGCAATGCTTCGTAGCAGCAGCCTAGCAGGCCTCGGACCCTTCTCACATAAAGGTCCGATCAGTTACTCTTTTCGAAATGCCGCCAATCTACATCTGGGATAGAGTATGGGATTACTTAGTGCTCCTATGACGCTTGAGGAATGAGATCCGTGGCGTGGAAGGAAAGACGCGCTTTTCGAAAACGAGTGAGCAACCAATGATCCGATCAGGCTCAACCTCGCTTCGATCACGGTCAACTAAAGATATCCGTCCACCATTCAAAGACGACGAGTGACAGGATAGCCTTTCTTCAGCATGCTTAAGTTGGATTCGGACGGGTGATCAGCAGTCACGAACTCGGATTTTCGCTGTAAAGCAAGCCGATTGTCGATCGCAATGTGACAGTGCTAGAACGCTAAGGTCGAAAAAATCGCAAATCGATGCTTGATTCAAGTATACGCATCAGACCAGCAGATCATGAAGTCTCATCGTACATGTTGGCTACATCAACAAGCGGTTGCTACTTGGACTCGTCTGCCGAAGCTAACGGCTATGTGGGTTCCCATACTGAAGAAGGTGAAACGGCCATCTACGCCGTCGGATTAAAGGAGCATTCAGTTAAACAGGGGGTTCTTGGCCCAAGCCGGTTTGTATTCGATATTCCACTTCGACGACCAGCTTTCTCCGCAATCACTGGATATTAAAAGAAATATCGATATTAATAATGGATGCCGTTATGGCCTTAGTGCCGGTCGCCTACGCTCGGTAGCCTCGGTCTTACGGCCGTGTCGAGTACTACATGGCGTGCAAGTAAGCTGTCGCTTGTCAGATTGGTGGAACCGAGTCATGGACAGAATGTTAAAAATGATCAGGGGCTGTAAGATGATGCGAAGGTTCGCTGTTGATAGTTCATACTAGCAAGTCTGGGCACTTTTATTCGGTTTTATTTTTATTTTTATTCTCTAGCTAGAAGAAACTCCTGTCCGCGCGAGACATAAATGTCTTCGCTGCCCGCCAAAATGTCTAACCTGATATCCGGACAACTGCAATCCACTCAAGATGTGGTCGAAAGCCTTATTCCTGTCATCGCTCTCGCTTTGGGCCAGAGTCGCTAATGCGGCGTTTGGACTTACCACCAACGACAACTCCTATGTCATTGACGCAGGATCACCAAATTCGCTGGTATTTACCGTGAGCCGCTCCAGCTGTGACATTACTTCCATCAAGTACTACGGCTCCGAGTTACAATACCCCAGCCAGGGAAGTCATATCGGCTCTGGTCTCGGCAGCGCCACTGTGTCTGCGGTGCAGGATGGTTGGTGAATCCACACTCATAGGGTTCGAGATCGACTTCTTACTGTGTATAGGTGATTACATCAAGGTCACTTGTGAGGCGGGCACTTTGACCCATTATTTCGTCGTCCACAATGGAGACCCTATTATCCACATGGCGACTCATATCACTGCGGGTTAGTACTCTTATTTTCGAAGCTAGGATGGCCCAGTCCTGACAAAATTCAACCAATAGAACCCTCAATTGGCGAGCTACGATTCATCGCACGTCTCAACTCGGACCTGCTTCCTAACGAGGAACCTTTTGGTGCTGTCTCAACCACCAGTGGCGGCAGTGCTATCGAAGGATCGGACGTGGTGGGTACTGCAAGTCGCTGAGATGATAATGGTTTCTGATTTCAATATAGTTCAACGTCAACGGTCAGACGCGCAGCAAGTTCTACTCTAGCCAGCGGTTTATCGACGATCAGAGACACTGTAAGAGGGCGAGGAAGGTCACTTCGCAACGCTTAAAGCTAACCAAGACCAGGTATTTCGGGAAGTGCTCACCGCGTCTGCATGATCCTCAACCAGTACGAGGGTTCCTCTGGCGGCCCTTTCTTCCGGTGAGTGACAAACCAATCACTAGACAGCGATCAGCACTAATGCCTTTAAGTGATATCAACACCAACAACGGCGGTAGCTACAACGCTCTCTATTGGTACATGGTATGTTATTAATCCGGATCTGAATCAAATAGCGCATGCTCATTCGTATAGAACTCCGGCCACGTTCAAACCGAGAGCTACCGCATGGGTCTTCACGGCCCATACTCGATGTACTTTAGCCGCAGCGGAACCCCCAGCACCAACATTGATACCTCCTTCTTCGGCAACCTCAACATCAAGGGTTACGTCCCTGCGAGTGGACGAGGAACCGTCAGCGGTACTGCATCGGGCGCTGACTCCAAATTTGATTGGGTTATTCACTGGTAGGATGCACGTCCCTACTGCCAGAGTGTATCAAACACACTAACGCAGAGAAGGTATAACGACGACGCTCAATACTGGACCTACACCGGGTCGGGTGGTGCCTTCACCTCCCCGGCGATGAAGCCCGGTACCTACAAAATGGTTTACTACCAGGGTGAATTCAAGGTTGCCGAATCGTCTGTGACGGTGACTGCGGGAGGAAAGACAACCAAGAACATCTCCGGCTCTGTCTCTACTGGCACCACTATCTTCAAGATTGGTGAATGGGATGGACAGTGAGTTTCCTATCCCCATACTAGCTTCTCACCTACGGAAATAGACTCACAACATCTAGACCAACTGGCTTCCGTAACGCCGAGAACCAGCTCCGCATGCATCCTTCCGACTCTCGGATGAGTAGCTGGGGCCCGCTCACCTACACCGTGGGCAGTTCGCAACTGACTGATTTCCCCATGGCTCTGTTCAAGTCCGTCAACGACCCTCTCACTATCAAGTTCACCGCCACCTCTGCCCAAACCGGCGCAGCTACTCTACGTATTGGAACAACCCTTGCTTTTGCAGGCGGTCGTCCTCAGGCAAAGGTATTCTCATTGTATAGAGTCCCGTACGGAATTAAGCCATGCTGACCCAAACTAGGTCAACAGCTGGACTGGATCTGCTCCATCCGCACCCACGAACCTCAACTCCCGAGGCGTCACTCGCGGCGCGTATCGTGGCAACGGAGAGGTCTACGACGTTAGCATCCCTGCCGGAACTATCGTCGCAGGGTCCAACACGGTTTGTCTTCCTTTATCATGTCAATTGACTGAGCATTAATACTAATATAAACTAGATCACTCTGTCCGTGATCTCTGGAAGCTCAGGAGCTGACTTCCTCAGCCCTAACTTTGTGAGTACCCTGTCGGCCTGGCTTAGTAGAGGTGGCTCATTTACTAACAATGCGTACAGGTCTTTGACTGCGTTGAGCTGTTCCAGTAGGTTGCAATCTACTGAGGTATTAGGGAAGAGTTGATCTCGGACCTAGGTGCTGCATTCCTGACTGTCCTTCACAAGCTTGGGTAGTCGACATCGAACATTTGTGTCTTATTCTCTAGTACAGTTTTTTATTGATCCTTCGTAGGGCTTGAGTTCAGTCCACGACGCTTTGCTTCTCTTCTTCAGAAGCCGAATTCACTAGTAGTCTAACCATGACGCTATTGTACATATGGTATAATCCAAACTAACACCCATCTAAGTATGCATGCACTCTATAGTATGTCCATCACCTCGATCTCCGCAACGCAATGAAAGCCCCAATAGTCGCCGCACCGACTCCCCAAAGCCAGCTCCAGGAAGAGTCCTCAGCACTGCAGTCTTTCTGCAGACCACCACCCCGTCGATGGACCAGTTTCCCACGCACCCACACAGCACGCACATTCCGGTCATCGCCATTCCACACCCATTTCTCGACCTTCTCTCCCCAACTCTCTGTCCCAAAAACATCCACCCGATTCTCATCCCCGCCCCCTGTCCCCAGCCCTGAGACATCCCCACCCAACGAAATCAACTGCGCATCCCAGCTCATCCCTAGATCAAATCCACCGACCTCGTCCGCCAAGTCCACGAGTTCCGCGCCGCCCCTAGTCGCCAAATACAGCGCATCACCAACACTCAGCGCTATCCTCTGCGCCTCGTCATCCGTGATGCTCGCGTCCGTATGCCGATACAATCTCGAGACTAGACACGCCTGACGCACATTCTCCAATATACTCGCATCATACCCGCCGCTCACATCAGTCCCCAAGCCCACCTGGATGCCCGCATCCAGGAGCCCACGCACCGGACAAATCCCCGACCCCAGCGCCGAGTTCGACGCCGGACAATGCGACACTTTAGCGCCGCGGGCACGGACCGTCGTCTTCTCCGCCTCAGACAAATGGACCGCATGCGCGAGGATCGTGCGCGGCGTCAAGAGCCCATGCGTCGCGTACACATCGGCATAACTCATCCCGTAGATCGACTCGACGGCCGCCACCTCGTTCTTGTTCTCCGAGATATGCGTCTGGATGTGTAGCGGGGGGTCGAATTCCTTCGCCAACGCAGCGACCCCGTCCATCGCGTCTTCCGAGCACGCTAGCGCAAACCGCGGCGTGAGGACCGGTTTCACGAACTCGCCGCTCGGGTCGATCGTGTGGATGTGGTTGATCACGTCGCGGGTGAGAGCCACTGACGCCGCGGGGCTCTCGTCCCGATAGTCCGTCGGGGTCTGGTCGGCGCGGTCCATGCAGACGCGGCCGATGAGGGCGCGCTGGCCGGCGCGCTTGCAGAGGTCGGCGAGCAGGTTCGTGGCGGGGACGTGGATGGTCGCGAAGTACGAGGCGCAGGTGGTGCCGTTGGCGAGGGTGCGGGCGATGACGCGGTTGTAGACGGCGCGGGCGCGGTGCGTGTCCTGGAAGGATTTCTCCATGGGGAAGGTGTATGTTTGGAGCCATTCGAGGAGGGTGAGGGAGCCGAAGAGGCCGGCGTTGGGGTATTGGGGGGCGTGGATGTGGGTGTCTGGTTTTGAGGGATGAGTCAGTCGTTTGTTTATGAGAAATTGGACTCAAGAACAGAATAAGGACAATGAAGACGTCCGGTGTATAAGAAACGTACCAATGAAACCAGGAAAAAAGAACTCATTCCGTTCCTTCTCCGCCTTGACGATCCGGACTCTGGGTCTTTTGGAGAACCCAGACGCACTCGAACCCTCCACCACCCACCCCTTGCTCGTTACCAGGGCCAGTAGGTCCTCGTCGCTGTGAACACTCCAATCGAAGCCCTGGATGCGACCGTCGGCATTAGATACCCAGAGCGCGCCATGCTGGATCGCGAGCTCGTGGTTCAGCCCTGTTTTCTCCCTCGGGAGGTGAACAAACGTCCCGAAGTAGAGGGTATAGGGCGGGGATGTCATGGTTGATGAGACCCAGTGTTTGAACTGGTCCTGTGGTTGTGTTTAAGTAGCCGAGGGTATTCAAGTATTTAAGGGCATGAAGAAGAAGTGCTATGGAAACGTCAGTATGCGTGAACAGTCAGATGCAGCAGCACCAGCCCGGTATCCAATAAACACCGGACTTATCGGTCTACCTACTGTACAGTCCCAATCAGACCAAATCAGCGGTACCTGGGGTGGATACTGGATCGCAGGTGCAAATGCAATGATCGACCGGCAGGTGGGACACGAAGAGACGAACACCGATAGTATACGGGGTTCGAAGCCTTATAAACTGCACGAAGGGTGAGGCGCATGTGAGAGAGGAGAAATGCGACACAAGGAAATCCCTCGGGGCGAGAATGGCGAACTCCGCCAATGACAAGCCCGAATAACGGCCGGCTCCGATGCTGAACTAGGCTTAGCGTGAGGAGATAAGATATCAGCTTGATAAGATAAGGACACGTGTTGATAAGGCTGACGGTTGATGCATACAAAACAAACACCCTCTCTTGCATGAACTATATCTATGGCTTCGACTCGACAAGAGCTCGTCTACTACCCCGTCAATTCCTTGGGAATAGAACTCTTAGATTACCTAAAGCTATCACTGAGAATTACAACAGTCTGTGGATGCCAGTGAAGTACATAATATTACTAGAGCACACCCGTTTCCATTTTTATACAACCCTCTGAGACTGGATACAACTTTTAAGAACAGGTGGATGGCTCATGGTTCACTTCGCATTAGCTTACTGTAAGTAGAATCATAAATTGCACTTGCCATCTCCAGTTGTTTATTGAGAAGTAATAGAGTCGCAGCAAGAGGTACGGATAGGATGTTTCGGCATATACTGATATCAAAGCGAAATGTACACTCCGGATATCTGGAGAAATTGGCGTTAAACGTTGCCTCTGATTAGTATCTTTGGTGCGCGAATAATGCCCTCCATTTTACCTAACCACTTGAGAGATAGGTTACTTCACTGGTCGTTATCCGTGCCAATACGTCCAAGGAAGCCACCATGCAGCATAGCTTCTATAGGCTCGTTGAAACTATAGACCATTAGATCTTTGTTTGACAAGGATGTCTCGTGTTTTATTCAGAAAGGAGGTTAGTCATCTAGATGCATTTAGGGCGCAACCAGTTTTTTGATGGCCCTGAACTAACCCTAGGAAACATCACGAGGTCAATCACTAGGGAATGAAAGTATTAGATAAAAACCTCATAGCAAAACCGACGTAACATAGTGCGAATCACCTCGCTGCCTAGGCATGTCTCAGATGAATGTAACTGTCCCAACCATGGCATTCAAGCCCTATTCAGTAATTGGGGCCATTTTCCGTGGGGGCCAACTGGTAGACCCCCAACTACTAGGATTAAGTTCTGTTTTATCAATCTTGGCCCCAGGTTTAGAGGTTATTATAATGAATTCGTAATGAAGCCTGGCTGCAACCAAATCTACTCCATACGTCCTCCCTAATGATCATCTATAACTTGATACTCATAGCGGACAGAAGCCCATGTTCAGACCCTAATTGGTATAGGGTTGACCTAGCTTAAATGTGTAGCGTATACATGCCCTTTGTCCTATAGTCAGTTCCTAGTAGCTCCAAGTTGGAGATTCCAAAACTCTCATCTTTCATAGTTCCACCCTTCTCTTACAGATATATGTTATAGGCCTCAACTCAAGTATTACAAGATCAAGTTGTTAGCCCATTCACGAAGGAACAGGCGACTCGCTTCCTGCAATCTACCCTCAATCAGGTTATATCCTCGACAGTTGGCTGATGAATAGTATCTATTGGAAACTTGCTCATCCAAAACAAGAAGGACCCTGTATCGAATTTGTCGCCAAGCGCCGGCCACGCTATGGTCTTCATCCAAATGCACTGATACGGCACTAAGCCGAGGGATAGCTCATTATTCCCTGCTTAGAGGACCGCTATACGAGGTGGATGCACTACTTTCAACGGATCAGGCACGGAGGACAAACCCGCCACCCCACAAAGCTGATACTACAGCCACAAGGCACAATCAGATCCGAGCAGGCTTGGCTGTATCCCTGCTCTTTCCACTTCGATGTTAGACTGCTCGCCAAGGATACATGGGCTCGGAAGCCATCCGCCTTGCCAAGCGCTCCGGAGGTATCTGACCTCAGCGATGATGTAGGAAGACAGGTCCTGATGGGGCTGTTAGGTGAGCCAAGAGGTGTATATACCCAAGAAAAGAGAACGGACACTCTCGTTGAGCGCGAGGATCAGATACGAGACAAAATGCCATCTGATGTACTGTGGGGGACCAACATTCGGACCAAGAAGCGTTTATACCCGAAATGGCCATCCCTTCATCCTGATCTTTGCAAGTGAAAGAGCATCGCAGTGAGGGTGAGCACCGCGCTCTACACATGAATTGGAAAACGTATAAGTAGCACCTCGAATCCTGTCCCAGACTCGATCATCCAGCACACGTTACCTCCACAGTTTAGATCATCAAACTATCCTCCCTCCGTGCCTCAAAAAGCATTCAAACGCGCCAAAATGGTCTCATTCGTGAGTTATCCCTCCCGATATATCCACCACAATCACGCATCATATCTAACAGAGGCACCCACAACCTAGAAATCCCTCGGTGTCGCTCTTATCTACGCCCTACCCCTAGCCACCCAAGTGGCATCCACTGCTCTTCCCAACGAGAACGCAGAAACCACCATCGAAACCCCCGAGCTTGACAAGCGGGCTTGCCTTGGAGGGAGCCTTCTTGCCTGCCAGCAGTCTAAATCGGCGGCTTGCACGGGCCAATGCGCTGTGGGAAGACCGCGTCGTCAGTTGACCTGCTTGCATTCCTGCCTTGGCAATGCCGCGAAGTCTTGCGGAGACGAATGTAAATGATTGAGATTTGGGACTTAAAGCATTTGTGCACAGTTGCTGTCGGGGTAGGATTGCTGGGCAGGAAGGCTGCGTGGAGAATACCATGTGTGTACATATAAGTTGAGGTGCAGATGGGATGGATGAAGAGTGATCAAGTTTGATATTGGAGACATCTCGGCCTCTACTGGTTGTACCCATTGCCTCGCATTCGAGGTCCATTCTCTTTGGGAACAGTGAATTGAAATGCCCAGACAGATCTTACTCTCCAATCTTTCTTTTCTTTCTTTTCCATCTCTTAGAAAATGCCCCGACCGTCACGTACCCCTTACCAGTAGAGTCAACTTATTCCAAATTGGCGGGTGAAACATCCGCAGGCATAAGCCCCGAATACATATGGATCTACTTCTCTCTCTCCATCAATCCTTACCCGCGCTCCCCGTATTCATCAGGGGAAATCCCAACCGACATTAGGAGCACCTAACGACCAGCTTCATGTCGCTCATTCGCCTGCCTGATAAACTCGTCCCGATATTCTTTCGCCAGGTCCTGGCTATTGCGATACGCGCTTAGACCCTGTTGGTAGGATTCCGGACTCCCGATCAAAGAATAATGCCCGATCTGGGTCATCACGTAATCTGTCTGACGGTCTGCGCCAGGGTTGATATTGCTCGGAGTCCGCGTCGGATGGGTCGCATAGATGCCCAGCGTTCCGTCATGGAAGGTAGAAGCGATCGAATAGGCGTGATTATCGTGGGTGGAATCATGTGCAGGGCCGGGAGCAGGCGCAGGATCAGAGCAATTGTCATCCTGTGGTCGGTTGATGCTATTGCTGCCGATGCTGATGCTGTTGCTGCTGTGGCGCCCCTCTTGCGCATGTCCATATTGCTGGAGGGAATGCATTGCTCGAGCGCCCAGAGCGCTATCATACAAGGCCTGACGTTTCAGCACATACGGCGAGCCACAGTGACCCTTTGCCTCGACGAAGAAATTAGGCGTGATGGGACGGCTGGTCTGCCGGGTCGGGATGATCTGGTCATTGAGCTGTTCCTGGACACGAGGATGCAGCTGGCAAGGCGGCGCGCCGTGGTACATATCAGGCTTAGCATTGGCGAGGGTGCCGTCCGTGAGCGGCGCCAGATTCGTGAATGGATGGTTGCCGCCATCATGGAAGGACGATTGTTGCGGACCATTGAGAATTGGAAGGATTTTTTGGATCACAAGTTGCTCGTCGGAGGTCCAGGCGTTTAGTTCTCTAAATTTTGTATATTCTTTGCGCAGGGAACCTTCAGACAATGCGAGAGACGGACGACGGGCTTGTAATTGTCTTTGAATATCGGCCATATTCTCCGGTTCGCCGACCTTAGTCCCATCTGAGTATCTAGCATCGGGCAAGAAAATACCGTGGTTGGCCATATGACTTTCAAAATGTGGGTCATAGACAGTCGTGTTTCCGGTCTTTGGAGTTGGTCCCCTGGAGCTGGAGTTGGTAGGATCCATTGAGTGCTGACTGAAGTGGACTGGGGCGGGATACTAGAAACAAGATTTGCCTAGTTAGTATGTATGCATCTATATCATCGAGAAGCGTCTTAGGCAAAGGGGATAGAGCGACTAAACCAACGTTTCTGATATCTGATAGATCTGGCCCTCCACGGTGGGAAAGCTTTCTGATCTCTTGTAAACAAGTAGCTGAGCAGTTGCGCAAGTAATCTGGAGCGAAGGTGTAAGAGCGAGAGGACGAGATACTCTGATCTAAGGATAAGAGGTGATATCGTCGGTCAGCTTCTCGCAGCGCGCTCTTGGTCAACCACAGCTTCGTGAGATTCTCCCAAAACAAGGGAGGAGGATGGAACGTGCGACGCTTCCGTTGTCGAGGCTGATGCTTGGAGGACGACATATAGGGATTCTTTACAGGTAGAGAAATCGAAGAGAAAGACGGTAAAGATTAAGAATCCGGGCCTGTTGGTGGGAGGCATTTCATGGGAACCTAAGATAAAGAGATTACTGTGAAACAAGCATGATCGGGCTGGCGGTTGGATTAGAACAAAGAGAATGGGTAGCATCACCACAAAGCATCCTTTATCCTGATCCCCTGATCATTATCCACATCACTATTTCAATGCGCGATCTAGGTGCCATGCAACAGCCAGGATGATTGTATAGTCGTAAGCAGGAGCTTCGCGCCATGAGGTCAAGGAGGAGCTGAGGTCATACCGTAAGCGAGCAGGTAGATCAGAGGATCGGAGGGCATCGTGTGCTCAATTTACTCTTCGGAACTCTTACCCTGCAACCAGGGGTTTGTCGCAGGCAGTTTGCGACCGAGAGCGATGTTTTGTGGCGGAGCAAATCGGTAAATTCTAGGAATACGAGGTGGTGTTTCTAGGATTTTGTTTGTCCCTCTTAACTATCAAATCACCATGTCTGAATATAATCGATCTTCCGATTTCTGAGCAACGAAGGGATATTTTACCAGGCTTTTTTGATTAGTGATGGAGCTCGTGAGGTGTGGAATGCTTGAACTGTACAGGTCTCGAAGACCGCTGACGAGCTATATCCACTATGGGCCACATTTAGACTAACTACATGTATGTTTCGGTCATGATGTGGACAAAGCAGAATAAGACAGACAATATTTTTAGCTAAGAGAAGCCACGTAAATGTAGACTCTAATAGCGAAACGCTGATAATAACTATTTTGAAGCGGCTTCGGTGGTTAAGTCACCCAGTCCTCATTCTACTGGGGGCCAACAATACGAGGATGTTTTCATCGCTGATGGCCAAATAATGGCATAGAGGACAATTTCGTCTCTGGGCGAGCTTATTACTCTTTATAGTCTGGTATATCTATTGTTGATGCATGAGTACGTAAGATAGATTATGCTTAAAAGATATCGAATTTTATATCCTTAATATGATAATACTATTCTCTATAGAGATATCTCTTAATGACCTAGTTTTGGGTTACGCTCTTAGTAACTCTAACGTTTATATGAGGTAAAAGAAAATTTAAGAAATTTTACAGAATTCGAACTAAGAAAGATTATGACTTTAGGAGATTCCTTTCACAGGGCTCCTTGAAAATCGAAAAAAGTGTCAGCTATTCTCCGCTGAAACCCTGTTTGTGAAGGAAAGGCTAGAGTAGAGTAGCTGGGTCGCATTCTACGGAAAAGCTAAATATAGGCAAAGAAGATTCTTAGAAGGAGAGAATACCGATAAATCGAGCTGAGGGAATGTGAAGATAGAGATGAAACACGACTTTGATAACTTTACCAAGGAACCGACCTTTGATCTGGTATGAACACCGATTGTTAAAGTTTGCCTATGGAGATAAAACGCTTAGCTTTGCAGCAAGGTCTTATAGATAAATGTCTATGATCATACAGGTACGAGCTACTCCGTATGTCGAGAACAGTTGAAGGCTAGTAAGTGAGGGACAGGGTCCCATAGCTCTTGTATCATGCTAGGTATGTCTAAGGAATATAACGCCCACATCCCAGTATCTATAAGGATTATGTTGAATCTTGCGTGTCGCCACCACCGCGACTATGTCACCCCAAGTCCAACCAAATATTCAGTGTAAATGTTGAAGAGAACAAGAACAGGCAGGTAAAAACAAACAATTCGTAAAGAGTAACATGGGTATCATATCTAGTCGGTATCTTCAACAGGTCCGCATGTGCAGAACAGGTTCTGATCACCATAGGCTGTACAGTCGTTAGCATATATAGGTTTATAAGATTGTTGCTGCGGAAGGTGACTTACCATCATCCACTCGCGTGACCGACGGCCAGAACTTCTTCTCCAGAAGCCACGACACGGGGTACGCGGCGGCCTCCCGCGTGTACGGGCGGTTCCACTCGGTAGCCAGAAGGTCACGTTGCGTGTGCGGTGCCATCTTCAGCACGTTGCCCTCGCGAGGCTGGGCGCCGCTCTCGACGGCAGCAATCTCCTGGCGGATAGAGATCAGGGCGTCGCAGAATCGGTCCAGCTCGGCCTTGCTCTCCGACTCCGTCGGCTCGATCATCAGGGTGTTGGACACGGGCCACGACATCGTGGGCGCGTGGAATCCATAGTCTTGCAGACGCTTGGCGATATCGATCGCCTCAACGCCGCAGGTATCCTTGAACTTGCGCACATCGAGGATGAATTCGTGTGCGCAGCGACCGTTATCGTTGGTGTACAGGATAGGGTAGTGTTCCTTGAGGCGGGAAAGGATGTAGTTTGCGTTGAGCAAGGTGATCTTGGTCGCGTGCGTGAGGCCCTTGGCGCCCATCATGTTGATGTAGTTGAAGGTGATGGGCAGGATGCTGGCGCTACCCCAGGGGGCGGCACTGATCGGGGGCGAGGAGGATTCCGAGCGCTTAGACACCAGGTATTCGCTACCGGGGTGGGAGGGGAGGTATGCGCGCAGGTGCTCGGCAACGCCGATGGGCCCAACGCCGGGGCCACCACCGCCGTGGGGAATACAGAAGGTCTTGTGCAGGTTCAGATGGCACACGTCGGCACCGATCTCACCGGGGGAGCAGAGACCGATTTGCGCGTTCATGTTGGCGCCGTCCATGTAGACCTGACCGCCGTGCTGGTGCACGAGCTCGCAGGCCTGCTTGATGCCGGGCTCGTACACACCAAACGTGCTGGGGTAGGTGATCATGACGGCGGCAAGCTCGTCCTTGTGCTTCTCGCACTTAGCCTTCAGGTCCTCGAGGTCCAGGTTGCCCGTCTTGGTGTCGCATTTGATGGTGACAACTCGCATGCCGGCCATAGCGGCACTAGCAGGGTTGGTTCCGTGCGCCGACACGGGGATCAAGCAAATGTTGCGCTTGGAGCCTCCGTTGGCCTCCTGGTACTTCTTAATCACACGCAGACCAGCAAACTCACCCTGGGCACCGGAGTTGGGTTGAACGGTAACTTCAGCCATACCCGTGATGTCCGCCAGCTGCTGCTCCAGATCGTCGATCATCTGAGTGTAGCCCTTGGCAACGTCCGAAGGCATGAAGGGGTGCATCTGGGAGAATTCAGGCCACGAGATGGGGATCATCTCGGATGTCGCATTGAGCTTCATCGTGCACGAGCCGAGGGGAATCATGGAGTGGGCCAGCGACAGATCCTTGGATTCCAAGTGGTGGATGTACCTAAGCATTTCCGTCTCCGAGTGATGAGTGTTGAACACGGGATGGGTCAGATAAGGCGAGGTACGCTCCAAGCTGGCGGGGATGGGGGCAAGGCCGAGATCCTCCTCCAGGGTGACCTCGCCCTTGTTGGCATGAGTGGCAAACACCTGCAGAATGGATTTCACCTCCTCGCGCCCGACCGTTTCGTCCAACGAGATACCGACCTTATTGGGGGCGACCTGGCGGAGGAAGATGTGCTGCGCGCGAGCGGCGGCAACGATGGCCTGCGCCTCCTCGCTGCTGGGAAGCTCCACGGTGAGGGTGTCGAACACAACACCGCCATCGGCAGCGTTGGTTTTGATGGGAACGTTGAAGCCCAGGGCTGCAAGCTTGGTCTGCAGAGTCGTGGTCATGGACATGATGCGCTGCGCAATAGCCTTCAGACCCGTAGGACCATGGTAGACGGCGTACATGGCGCTCATGTTGGCCAGTAGAGCCTGAGCCGTGCAAATGTTGCTAGTAGCCTTCTCACGACGAATGTGCTGCTCTCGCGTCTGCAGAGCCAATCTCAAGGCACGGTTGCCCGACCGATCTTTCGAGACACCGACCACACGTCCGGGGACTTTGCGCTTGTACTTGTCCGCGCACGCGAAGAAGGCAGCATGGGGACCGCCGTAGCCCATCGGCACACCCAGTCGCTGAGCGCTACCAAAAGCAATGTCGGCACCGAATTCGCCGGGCGCCTTCAGGACAGTCAAGGCCAACAGGTCCGTGGCAACACTGAAGGTACCGCCAGTAGCGTGGATGGTATCACTCAGCGACTGGAAGTCGTAGAGACCACCCTCGGTGTCGGGATATTGGGCGAGCACACCGATGAGGTTGTCACTCTGCTCCTTGACCAGCTTGAAATCGTCCGCCAAGATATCTCCGACGACCAGGTTGATACCGAATCCTTCGGCACGCGACCGCATTACCTCCAGGGTCTGAGGGTGGCAGAGATGGGAAATGACGTAGGTCTTGCCGGGCTTCTTCTGCTTTGCCATGGGAAGAGTAGCGAACGACATGGTCATGGCTTCCGCAGCAGCGGTGGCTTCGTCGAGAACGGAGGCATTAGCAAACGGCAGACCCGTCAGGTCGGCCGTCAAAGTCTGGAAGTTCAGAAGCGATTCCAGACGACCTTGACTGATTTCAGGCTGGTAGGGGGTGTAACTGGTGTACCAGGCCGGGTTCTCCAGGACATTACGGAGGATGACGGGGGGTACGATGGTGGGATAATAGCCCGTGCCCAGGTATGTCTTCCCCGACACGTCGATCTGTTTCCGATAGGTATCCAGCAGCTTCAGCATGTCCGTCTCTCCCAGACCACCATGCACATTGTCCCGAGCCAACTTGGCGTTGGTATGAGGAGCGCTAACGTCGAGGTCCTTCTTCGACAGAATGTCGGTGGGAAGGACCTGTTTCACGAACTCGTCGAGCGAGGCCACCGGAGGGTCCAGCGTTGCCAACATCTCCTTCGCAGCGTCCGGCGAAGGGCCAATGTGCCGGCGGGGGAAGGTATCGAGGGGCTGGAAGACATCTCGAGGATGAGGATCACCATGGTCCGTCACCGAGCTGGTGTAGACGGCTCTCCGGGCGGTTGCCGATTGTTCTGAGGTGGTGTGCAGGGAGCGACGAGCGGAGAGGAAGGGCGGGGATCTGCGGAGAGCCACAGGAGGCAGGGAAGAATGCAATCGAGTGCGTAGAGCCAGCTGGCGAGCGCCTCGAAGGGCGCACCAGGTCGCAGCCATGGTCAATTAAGGAGGAGACGCCAATGGACCGCAGCGGTGCTGGTTTGGCCAGGCCAAAGGATACGCGGGAAAGAAGGGATGGGGATGGAAAGCGTGGAGGAGATAAGACACGGTCTCTCAACTACCACACATTCAATTCATGAAAGGGAAGAAAGAAGAGGAAGCAGGGATGTAGAAGGAGAAGAGAAGAAGAGAGGAAAAAGAGCTGATAAAAAAAAAGCTCCCCTCTTGAACCACGAGAATGGACAAGATCGGATTATCGTTTGGCGGGCAAAAACCGCGGGCGATAAGCGTCGCGCACGGAAAACTGCGATAACACGCGCCTCCGGGCCAATCAGGGAGCTGTCGGGACCCGCCCGGCGCTACTCCCCGCGACCGATAAGGACCCGTTTCCCGCGGGAAAGTCCGCGGTGTTGCATTAGCAGGTATATAACTTTCCCCCTCATAGTTCTTACCTACCTTGGTATATTTTCATGACTAGTCAGTCCACCGCGCTCCGGATGCGCGACCGCATCCCATTTGATCGGGTGGACTAGTACGGATGAGAAGAATCCCACGTTGTTTCCACTGTCGGAGTACACTTGGTCTGGGATGGAGCTGCGGGGAGGGAAAGTCGGCGAAGACTCCGGGTGACTCGACTGGTCCGAGCTCGGCATCTAGATCTCTCTCCGTTCTCGCTTCCTTTTCCCTCCCTTCCTCTCTCCTCTTCAATTGACACCGATAAGCATCACTCGCCTCCCCCTTAAAATATCCCAAAGCGACCATGGATAACCGCAGATGCCGGGAATTTCCCCTCCAATAATCAGGTTTCGCATCGACTGTTGCTTATCTGCCCACACGCATCTTGATCAGTTGACTAGCTTGTCCCGGCCTTGGACAACCTCTATGTCATCTTGGAAGTGATGGGTGTCATCGGCGACGTTCCAGGTCCTGGATGGGAGCCAGGTCCATGAGGAGAAGCTATCAACCATGAGCTATGCCATTGTTCGTGCAGGCTAATCGAAATGAAATCACTGTCATGGTACACAGCGTTTCATGTTGATTCAAGAATAGGCCGTGGAACAGACCAGAGCCGAGATAGTATGACTAGTGAGTAGTGACCGTCCGTCCTTCCTGTTGATCTGCTGGGCGCAAATTGTCCAGAACTGAATCTGGGAGTGTCGGTATCATTTCTTTGAGATGATAAGACCTATGACAAATTGTGAGAACTTCTACGGAGTAAAGTGAAGGCAAATGGAAGAGATTCCGTGGATGCCTGGTCAGTCAGGCAAGTGGGGAAATGATGCCTTACAGCTGAGGCCGGGAAGTTGCAGGAAGATTCTGCGGTCTGTGTGCCTCTTAGCGCGTCGAACTTTTTCAATCTTTGGCTGGCAACGTGGATCATTCCGTCACCGTTATCCATCTGCCCTTTCAACTATATTTTAGGCCCTTCACAGCATGAGCCTGTCCGCCACTCAGCGCGCGAGGTTTCTGTTATCGCCCTCCGAAACTTGGCAGGCACTCCAGCTCTTGCAGCATGGTCTGGAGCTCCCTGCTTCAGCTTTAAAAAAGTCCCGCAGGCTGGCAACCCGATCTCGCTTGCCTTGCTCTTTTTTCCTCCTTCCTCCCACCAACTAATCTTATTTCTCAATCCCATCCATTTGGTGCATCCGTTGATTCTCTTCTCGTCATTTTGTATTTATGTCATATATTTCCTCTCAATGCTAGTTGTGAATCTATATCATGTCCCTCGTACAGCATGTTTCTGCCATTGACGGTGTCGATCGCGAACCTGAGCCCGACGACGACACGACCGATACTACGGCAGTCTCGGCCAATTTGGATGGACTCGCTCCCATCCGACGGAAGATTAGCTACGATGTGTTCCCTCCACCTGCCCCGGAGATCGACGATAAGCACGCGACCGCGGCGTACAAGGTGTCGGACATAAGGCGTTTGGGTTAGTTACCTGACCTGCGGTTTCCATGCATTGGTGTGCGGAATTGAACATTGCTGATTTCTTCAGTCCAGGTAATTGTCACTGTTCTTGCTTGTTGGTTTGCCTCGGGCATTGTGTTTGGTTTTGCGGCGTTGAAGCCGGTCCTGGTCGAAGAGGGGGTCTATCGCAACCTGTGTACCGCCGAGGAATTGCAACGCGACGTGGAGCTTTGCTACAAACAAGATCTGAAGTGTGTTTGCTTGGACTGGATTATATTTTCCGTGGCGCTAGAATCTAACAATAATCAGGTTGAATCTATTTTTCACGGTCGGATCGATCACGGCCAACATGTCGGCTCTTCCGGTCGGAACCATCCTGGACCGTTTCGGCTCGCGCGTTTGTGGCTTTGCGGGCTGCTTCGCATTAACCATGGGTTGTCTCTTTATGGCTGCCTCCTTTTCATGGCCGGGATTCGATGGCTACATACTCGGGAATCTCTTTCTGGCTCTCGGCGGGACCTTCATTTTCGTCCCCTCATTCCAGATCGCCAACGCCTTTCCACGGTATGCCGGAACCATCGTCGCTCTGGTCACCGGTGCATTCGATGCGTCTGCGGCGATCTACCTATTCTACCACCTCATCTACGAAGTCGATCGTCAGAAGTTCAGCCCGAAAAGGTTTTTCCTGACCTACCTGGTCGTCCCCGCGATGATCTTCGTCTCGCTGCTCACCATCATGCCGGCCCATGATTACCAGAGCTCCCGTTTGCTGCAGTCCAAGATCGAGAAGGCAACGGACGCAACGCGGGATGTACACGAGTCGGACGAAGACATCGAGAGTGACTCCGAGCTTCGGCGCATTCGACAGGAGCGCGCAGCCCGCCGACGCGACAAGATCGACAAAATCAACGGGGTGCTAGGCGATGAAGACGAGCGCAGACAGCGTGAGCTGGACGAGGAGGACCGTCACAACGTCAGCACCGTCTGGGGAGTTCTTCACGGGCAGCCGGCCCACAAGCAGATGGCCACGCCGTGGTTTATCTTGATTACGCTGATGACGGTCCTGCAAATGCTGCGGATGAATTATTTCATCGCCACCATTCGGTCGCAGTATGAGTACATGCTGCATTCGGAGCTGCAGGCCGATTGGATCAACCGCTTCTTTGATATCGCCCTGCCTGTCGGCGGTGTCATCTCGACTCCTTTTATCGGACTGATTCTCGACCATTTCAGCGTCCCGGCCACACTTCTCGTCATCGTCGTATGCACCACTGCGATTGGGGTTCTGAATTCTGTGCCAGCGCTGTGGACTGGCTACGTGACCATTGCACTGTTTGTGCTTCTCCGACCGCTATATTACTCGGCCATGTCGTAAGTATCCGTTGTCTTGACATAAGCCTTGATATGAGACCTCCTGCTAACAACTTCGCAGCGACTACACTACCAAAGTATTTGGATTTGCCACGTTCGGTCGCGTTTACGGCACGATCATCTGTCTGTCCGGTCTGGTGAACTTCTCCCAGTACGGACTGGACTCGCTCACCCACGGGCCACTTAAGGGTAACCCCATCCCAATCAATATATTCTTTGCATGCGCGGGATTCGTAATCGGCACGGCACTGGTGGGATACGTGTATATTGCCGGACGACGCTTGAGCGAGAAACAACTGGAGGACGCTGAGGACGAGGAACGGGAGCGATTGATCCGGGAAGAAGACGAAGAGGACGAGGAAAACGAAGTTTAATTTTCACGATCATCCCCGCTGTCAATATCGATAGGAATAGATAGAGGTCGCGCTATTCTCACCAGGGGATAACGTAACGAGGTAATTGTCATGATTCATGAAGTGATCCTGCCAGGAGTATGATTGTTAGTCCACAAATATGGGTAACCCCTCGCGTGGAGCATAGAATCCCCCGTAGTTCCGAGGCATATAGTTCCTATGTTTTATGATCCATGATCCATGGTCCATAGTCCATGGTAAGTTCGAAACCTTCGCTCAGACAGCCAGATGGACTTTCTTTGTTTGATTCGGGTGGAGAAAACCTTCTTCTGTTCGGTGTCTCCGTCTACTATATACTTCCTACCTCTATACCATCTACCAGCGCCACCAGAACCAGCAAGCCACGTTACACAGGAGCTACCAACCACCGAGAAATATATACCAAGGTAATAGACACGGACATACCCCGACCCCAGAAGGAACACCGAGAACGCCGGCGCCAACAACAGTGCCTTTAAAGAAAAAAACAAAAAAGGAATGAAATTAAATGAAAAAAATCCGAGTCAACAACCCAAAGATCAAGCTTTCCCCGAGAACCCGACTGAGACGATGATGTCTTCTCCACCTACCCGACAAGACCTCCTTGATTACCGATGAATGGGTAGATGGTTTCGCATCAGGTCGTCTGCGCTAGGCGAAGACGGGAAAGAGAGCCGTTATGGGATCGTCCTGTCCTGTTAAGATCGGCTTGCAAAAGGGGGACGGGAAGGCGGGGATAGGATGTGATGGACATGGATGGTGTGTTGATCTGTTTTGGGATTTTGCGGGGGAAGGTTTTGCTTGACTGTTTTTCTTTTTTCTTCCACTGGGTTGGACAGAGTGTCTGTGTTTATCTTAGAGTAATAATAAAACCTATCGCCTAGGTAGAATGTACCGGGTAAGGTTTATGTACTGCAAATTGCACAGGCATAGGAGATTACGGAATAAGTTCTAATCTCTCCACAAGGTATGACTCCTATCGGCCGGAGATAGACAGAAATGAGATAGACCGCCACTTCCTCGACTCGTCTCCATTAAAAAGCTCCCACGAACCACTCAAATCCGCCTAAAGAGACAGCCCACCTAATCTGAGGGGGATCGACCCCCCGCGCAAGGAAAGAGCACCGACCAGTCCGGGTTCCATAATCGATACCCAATCTACCAAGCGAGCAGGTAGAGAGTATCGGATGCATCGTGCCCTCAAAGCCAGATCCAGGAAATAAAGACCAAGAAAGCTAGTCGGTCAAAAGCTAGGTACCGGCCTCTCGGGATTTGGGAGCCCCCAGTAAGAAGACGAGACAGGGGAACCACCCGAGGCTCACTTGCACAAAACAGTAGGGACTGGGGATGCTGGAAGAATCTGCCGAAGGGGACACGAACAGCCAAGGGAAATAAGAGTGAATACGCGCATTGGCACGGGAAAAGACGGGCGTGAGTGACTCCCAGTGCACGTCTGTGGAACGGTGGCGAGTTGATCAGTTGGTCAGACCGGGATGGGGCGGGTTCTGGAGAGGTAGCGTGATATACCTACTGAAGTAGTTAACGAGAGCTCATTCATTAATGGGAAGTAGAAAGACTGGCTCCGAGTTTCGAGTGACCACCTTCCGAGACGAGGAAACCTAGACGAAGGAAAAGAGGGACCGACCACGAGACAAACGGAAACGCCATGGCTAGAGACAGGATTCCATGCACTGGTTCCGGCCGGAGGAAACCAAGCCAGCAAATCTCGAGCAAGCGAATGGGCAACAGTCGCCAAGCTGCCAAGGAGGATGTCTTGATGTCAGTATCACTAACTAGTAGTAACTATCTTCCCCGCATCCTTCGCCTTCCCCACAATAGACCGAGCTGGCCCCAAAAGCTGGGGAAGGAGTGTCCCCCGTAGTCCAGTGAATGACACCCATTTCTTTGTTACTCTCCCCAGGCCGAGGTACATCCTGGAATTCCAATCGGCTATTGCAAAGCCTGGGCTGGTCGGCACTTTCCGTGGTCTGAGAGCGAATCATTCACAAATTAACCCGTCCGTTGAACATGGAGGGGTTACCTGGTTTGGTTTCGAGATGCGTTTCGTTGCAAGGCCCTAATGTGCCACCCTGCTACCGCGCCCTGTTGTCCAACACGTCCTGCAAGAACTACATATATCGTCGACCCTGCACATCGCTGATCTTGTTCCTCTTCTACTTGTTTATTTCTATCAACTAATTCTTTGCACATTCATTGCGACGCCTCAACTCTCCCAGCCATGTCGCGCTCAAATAGCGAGAAGGCGGTTCCCAGCATCGACAAGATCGAGGACGTGAACCAACCTGCCCTGAACGATGTCGACTACGATGAGGAGTACTCCTACGCCGAGCAGCGCAAGATCATCCATCGCATTGACCGTCGTCTGGTCACGATGACCGGTCTGGCATACTGCGTGTCGCTGATGGACCGAACCAATCTCAGTATGGCCGCGGTGGCCGGGTAGGTCTTGCATCGACGATGGTGGTCCAGCGCGGATGCTAATTGGAAAATAGAATGACCAAGGATTTGGAGCTGTATATTGGCCAACGCTACGTGAGTCTCCTTATCCCAATAAGGGGACCTTTTAACTAATCCCTATCATACAGTCTATTATCGTACTCATCTTCTTCGTGCCCTATGTCATCTTCCAGCCCCCCATGACCGTGATCACTCGTAAAATGGGTCCGACTTTCTTCCTCGGAGCTATCGTGGTATCTTGGGGCGCGATCCTGGTGGTAAGTGGTCTTGTCGCGGTTTTGTGCACGCTCTGACAAATATCTCTAGGGAATGGGTTTCACAAAGAATTGGGAGCAGATGGTCGGATGCCGCGTGCTACTCGGTCTTCTCGAAGCAGGTTCGTACAGTTTGTCTGGCATGCCACCGACCACGAACTCATGTTTCTAGGTTACTTTCCCGGCTGCGTTTATCTGCTGTCTAGTTGGTACACTCGATGTAAGCTCCCTTGCAACACCCGCCCCTGTCTTACATCTGCTGACGGCCCCAGTCGACGTGCAAAAGCGATTCTCGGTCTTCTACCTCATCGGCTGCGTTGCATCCGCATTTGCCGGTATTCTTGCGTTCGGCTTGATGCAGATGCAAGGACTCCAAGGTCTTGAGGGTTGGCGATGGATCTTCATCATGGAGGGAGTGGTATGTCACAGCTGGCACTATGAGAGTCAGAATACTAAGTCTGCCAGATCACCGGAATCATCGGTATTCTGACCCTGATTTTCCTGGTCGATTTCCCCGACAGGGCCCACAAATCCTGGCGCTTCCTCACCGAGAAGGAGAGCTCGTTTATCGTGCGACGTATCAACCGGGACCGTTCCGATGCCGACGTGGAGCCGTTTAATCTCAAACGCTTCCTCGCCCCGGCCCTGGACATGAAGATCTGGGGATTTGCCATGATTTTCTTGTAGGCCTTCATCCAATCAACATCTCCCAGGTATAGCTCTCACTAATGCCAACCACCTCAGCTGCTCCACCACCGTCACCTACGCCATCGCCTACTTCCTCCCCATCATCCTCCAACAAGGCATGGGCTACGACGTCGGCGCCGCCCAATGCCTCGTCGCCCCGCCCTTCGCCCTCGCCGGACTGGTCATGTACGCCACCGCCTGGGTCGGCGATCGGTACCGCATGCGCGGCGCCATCGTGGTCTTCAACGCCTGCCTCTGCATCATCGGCCTCCCCATCATGGGCTTCGCCAAGGGCAACGCGGCCCGCTACGTAGGCGTGTTCTTCAGCGTCGCAGGCTCCAACTCCAACGTCCCCGCCGTGATGGCGTACCAGGCCAACAACGTGCGTGGACAATGGACTCGCGCCCTGTCCAGCGCCACGCTGGTCGGATTCGGCGGTATCGGCGGTATCGTGAGTAGTTTGGTTTTCCGGACCGAGGACGCGCCGAATTATCGGCCGGGTATGTGGACGACTATTGCGTGAGTTTCCCCCCTTCACCCCTTTAATTGGGTGTTTTATGTTCAAGGAGGGTAGGGGAAGGCTAATGGGATATAGGTGCAATCTATTGATTCTGGTGATTGTTGGTCTGCTGAGTTTGTGGTTCCGTCATTCGAATAAGCAGGCTGATCAGGGGAAGAGGGTGATTGAGCAGGATCCTAACTTCCGGTATACCTTGTAAGCTTGACGATATGATGATGATGATGATGATTGAACGATGGAGGTTGCACTACATGGATCCAGATGAGATCATTCAGGTAATCAATTAGTCAATTGAATAGCAACCATTGCGAGAATCTACAGTACATACCACCCAGACCCTTGTAACAAATCCAATAACCCCAAGCGCCTATCTATCTATCCATCTATCACCCCCCATCTGCACAGAGAAAGAACATTTCATAAAAATAGAAGCAGAAGGAGAGCAGTCTACATTGAGTGGGCAACCGAGCAATGCATGTATCTAGGGTTCCAGAGAACCCCAACAAATCCCTCTCATCAAGACTCATAAAACCAACGATGCTGAAGCGCTTCTCTTGCCGTGATCCGTTTTGTCGGATCCAGACTTGTCATCCTACCCACTAAATCCCGGAGGTCCGGCTCCACGTAATCCCAATGCCGGAAAGGTTGCCTCAGATCCCCTGCCACGAAACTA